ATATTGGTAGTCCAGCTCGCGAGATGACCACCTTCCCGTCCAAGCGCTTAGGCAGCGAAATGGCAGCCTAGCTGTATTCAATCGGATACGATTATTTGACGAATGGACAATGTCGTGAGTGTCATGCGTAAGCATTATAGTTACAATCTGACCCGCATACACCAGACGATAATTTGCCGCCAAGTGTTCAGCCACAACGCCTGGGCTCACGACTACGCTCGACCTATGGTTCTCGTTCTACACCGGTGCGGTCGTATTGCCATTTCCACCTAGGCTCTGTTAATCCTTCGCCTTGCGAAATCAGCTGTCTCTGCTTGGCAATATTTTGGAAGGCTGCTACACCGGTCTGAGTGGACACAGCTGGACTGAAGCCTAGTAATACGCTCTAAAATTTCGAATGGACGACTTGGCTCAACGGCTGATCGAATATATAATGGTAGAGTATGGGTTGTAAACTTTTTTGACTTCAAGCCATCGACATCGCCTCCTTCATTGGGTTTCGCCTCGAGCAGTTCACGTTTGACATCGTGCTGTGTTTTTGTCCTTCATCCAACATAATCCATTCACTTTACCACACTACCAGATTTCAATCGCTATGCATCTCTCACATATCTTGAGCGTTCCGATGGTGGCGCTGCTTGTGGCGGCTCGCACGCCTCGATACGCAGCCCCACTGAAGCGCGATCTGCTAGAGTCTCGTCAGTCGGGAGCTAGCACGCGCAACGATCCACGTCCACAAAAGGGCAATATCCCGTACGGTGGTGCTGGTATTCGCACATGTACCCAAACTGGCACTGTCGCTCTCACATTCGACGATGGTCCCAACATCTACACTGGCCAGGTCCTTGACAGCCTGGCACAGTACGGCTTCAAGGGCACATTCTTCGTTAGCGGAGACAATGGTCGTGGCGCTCTCGATGGTGACTCTAGGTGGGTCAACCTCATTCAAAGAATGGATGGCGAGGGCCACCAGGTCGCCAGTCACACCTGGAGACATCCGTACCTGGATCAGATCTCAGAAGATCAACGTTACGAAGAGATGGTCCTGACAGAAATGGCTATCCGAAACATCCTTGGTAAATACCCAACGTACATGCGCCCACCATATACCGAGTGCTTCGAATCCTGCCAAAGAGTCATGAAGAATCTCGGATACGTCATTGCGAATTACGACGTCGACAGTAATGACTGGAGGTACCAGGATAACATCCAGCAAGCCAAAGATACCTTCAAGAACTTGATTGATCAAACTGGCGGTCCTCGATCTGGTCACCCCATTGTCCTTGCCCACGATATCCATGAGCAAACAGCCTCCTCTTTGGTGCCATACATGCTTCAGTACCTCAAAAGCCAGGGCTGGAGGGGTGTCACCTTGGGCGAATGCCTTGGAGAACCGAAAGAGAATTGGTACCGTGCTAGTTCAGGTTCGCTCCCTCCCAGCGGCTGCTCTGGATCTAGTTGTACGCCCTCCACCAACGGCCTCTGCGGAAGTGCGGCTGCAATGACTTGCACTGGATCTGTATTTGGCAACTGCTGTTCGCGATTCGGATACTGCGGAAGTAGTGCCGACTACTGTGGCTCCAACTGTGATCCTGCGTACGGCACTTGCGGTAGCGGATCGACTCCAACTCCAACTACCATTCGCACTAGTGCGGTTCCAACCTCAACCCGAGCTCCAACCCCAACTTCGAAGCCAATCTCTGCCAATGGTCTTTGTGGAGTACAAGGTGGCGAAACGTGTGCAGGCTCCGTTTGGGGATCGTGCTGTTCGCAATGGGGGTACTGCGGAACAGGATCAGACTACTGTGGAGCGAATTGTAACAAGGACTTTGGTAGTTGTTCTTAGTAGATTTCAGTTGCCCGGGTACAGCTTCGTCAACACATAGAAGATATATAGACTAATAAACTAATGATCACCACAAATCTTGTATACCTGATGGATGCGGACAGCACCTACGCATGCATCAAATATGAAATCGATGCTTCTGAGAGACAAATCGGTAACTGGTATTTCGTGTATACCCTCCTGTGACAACGAAGGGTCCGATGGCAATGGCCGAAGGTGTCAAACAGAAAGAAAGCAACTATCACGGAAGGAGTCGATGGTCACGACCCGTTCGAGAATCGAAGCCTTCTGCACGACGAGCTTGGTGGGGCACCTGCATTCGGCTATAATCTTACTTCATGTCAGCGCTAAACCTCTGTGAGGTACCATGCTTATCAATGCGTGCGGCGCGGACCGCGGCAGAAGACGATGCGACATCACGGGCAGCGTTTTGCGGGAGCAAGGTGGGCTACTGTCCTGACAACCGTCGACTCGAAAAAAATCGCAAGAGCGGAATAGGAAAAGAAAACTGCTAGAAGGGCCGACTTATCCCAAAGTAGCACATCAGATGAGCTGCAAGACACTACTGAAATCCGAGATTCAGGCATCCCGCTGACTCCACTTTCGGCATGCCCGTCCCAGGTATCCACTTTGCCGAAGACGAAGAAGATGAGTCTACCACAGAGGACGCTCTATCACCTCTCCAACTTGCTGCATGGCAAGGCGACCTCGTTTCCGCCTCTACACTCTTGGGAGAAGGTGCCGATCCCAACGAGGAGCCCCGAGGGTGGTACGGCAAGACAGCTCTACAGGCAGCAGCTCTCCAAGGCCATGTCGAGATTGCGAAGCTTCTCTTGGAAGCGGGAGCCAGCGTCGATGCACCCGGCGGGAACAATGGGGGTCGTGCAGCGCTCGCACTCGCTGCTTGGGCTGGTCATGATGCAGCCGTGGAACTGTTACTCGACTCTGGCGCAGATGTGAACTTGCCACCGCATAGGTATACGGGCCGTACTCCACTACAAGCCGCGGCGGAATTTGGAACCTTGAGTATTGTTAAGAAGCTGGTGACGTTAGGCGCAAAGCTGGACGGTCCGGTGGCTCATAACTTTGGTCGCACTCCTCTACAAGCTGCGGCGGAGAATGGACATGAGGATGTTGTCGCCTTTTTGCTGGAGTGTGGCGCAAGCGTGAACTTCCCACCTTGCCGTGACAAAGGCATCACAGCACTTCAAGGTGCTGCAGCTTCTGGATACGCGCAGCTAGTCCGACGGCTGCTCGAGGCCGGAGCAAATGTCAATGCAGAAAGTAGCCGGTATATGGGTGGCGCGGCCCTGTGGCTGGCGGCCGGTGCGGGACATGTCGAGGTGGTTGAGATACTGCTTGATGCTCGAGCGGATGTGAATGCACTATCGGGGAACCAAGGGCATCTGTGCACGGCGTTGCAGAAAGCGAAATTGAACGGTAGATCCGAGGTTGTCGAACTGTTGACAGAAAGGCAGATGATCCCCGGCGTAAGAGACGCACCTTGCTTGGTGTACGGGTCAGTCAAACTTCGTACAGAAAGCCGGACACAGTAGCTTCGAGATCTCGTATGCATATAGCCATTTTACTGAGCCCGCTGTAAGTGCTTTTGTGCCTATTTAAAATAAAGCTTTAGAAGATCCTGGAACTATTCGCAGTTTTTGTTTGACATTTTATTTGACCTCTTAGATCATTGTGGCAGTCTTGCTGCGTTACTTAATCCTAGCTCAATCTGCAACTTGAGAGATCGCATATTCCTAGTTTAATCATTCTCATTGACGTTCCAAACAGATACAACTACGCATGTAGCGCATTGGAGAGCTTACCTGGGTACACACGAGTTACTCTCATCACACAAGAACCTGTGCACCCGCGAAAGAGAACCGTTTCATGGACTGGCGCCGTGTTCTAGGTCTGAGCTGAGTTAGAGAAAGTACCATAGCTACAGAAAGGTAGCACTCCTGAGCTCTTGCGATCCCATCGGATCGGATACCTTTGAGATTCAATGATCAATACCGCGGCAAATAGAAGATAGAGGTGAATGAATATCTTGTAAAACGATTGAAAGCATCTCGTGGCAAATCTCGAAGCTTGGGATACATGTTCTCCGTCTGATGATGCAGGTGCGGCTGAATGAAGGTTGGTGGGGCCGTCACTACCGTACTCCGGACGGGCAAGACCACAATCCCGCTAGAAGCGCTACACTTCTTAGTACAGCCTGACCTGCATATAAATACCAAGCGAAGCCGGACCTCTGCTTCTGGTATCGCACAATACTGATTTCTCTCCGTAGAAACAGTGAGCATAGCAGCTTTGAGGCGTCATTATCAGCACTTCATAGCCTGAACAGCTTTGCCGCTCATAGACCTTCGCGTGATGTCTCAGAATGTTCGCCTTGCCTCCCTGTCTCGTCTATGGGGCATGATCTGGTTTTCCATCTGCCGTAAGTCTTTCGTCACTCACCACGATACATCCAGACTCCACCTAATCCATATCTCACACAGTACATTGGGAAGCTTTGGTAACAGCCATTCGTCGAGACGGCATTGCAGCTCTTCTGCATCTACAACAAATTAGAGATACTGCATCAGCGAAGTTGTTTAATAACACTTGTAAACTCCTCGCTCGATCATTCGTGAATGCGCACGGCCTAATCACCATGCGTAGCCAACGGCTTCATCGCCTATGAAGACACAACAATCGTTCCATCGCTCGCCCAAGCCGCAAGCGGCATTGTTCTCGAACTAGGTCCCGGACCCGGAAACCAACTGCATCGCTTCAACACCACTCAAATCGACCGCATATACGGCATCGAACCCAACGGACATTACAAAGACAGCATAGATACCAAGGTGGAGAAGCATGGGCTACAAGACAAATACGAGCTGATTGTTGCTGGTATTGAAGACAGCGACATCCTGAGAGCGCAGGGAATAACCGAAGGGAGCGTGGATACTGTGCTATGCATTCAAGTCTTATGTGCAGTACAAGACCCGAAGATGGTGATGAGAGAAGTGTGGAAGTTGTTGAAGCCGGGAGGGAAGTTCATCTTCTGGGAACATGGGTGGAGTAGGGATCGTTTGACAACTATCGCGCAAGGTATGTTCACGCTAGCGCTTCTACCATGCAGACCACTGACGTGACGAAAGTTGTATCAAATCCTGCTTGGAGCACATTTGTCGGATGTCACTTGACGCGCAATGTGTTGGCGGACATTTTGCATGCGGGAGAATGGCAGAATCTGGAGGATGTTGAAGAGCCTGTGGATCCGTTGAGTCTTTTACCGAGGGTTCAGGGTGTGCTCATCAAGAAGACTTGAGTATGAGTAAAGTGCAAAGAGATTTGCGACATGATCTTGAAGAAAGATAAAGGTAACCGGAACTTTGTGAAAGAAGGTGCTAAAGAATGCGGTTATGATATCATGATGAATTAAATGTAATATGAATGGTTTGAATAAGGTCCCCTTAGTGAGGAATTGGCACCGACGCATTCGGATCATCAGTCAACACAACATAAAAGCCAATCGGACAACTGTAATCGCTCTGCTTAAACATAAAAGTCGTATCCTTCGAGCACAAGCTTCCGCTCACAGTGACCTTTCCAATATTCGGTGGCACACCACATGGTGCAGCATTGATGATGTAACTGTTCCCAGGCTTAATCACCGGAGGTGGGTTCGGCGGGCTCGGACCTGGTCGAGGTTGGTGGTTGTATGTCGTCTCGCCAGCAACAGCGCCGGCGTTGATGTCGTATCCAGTAAATGTGAAATGGCCGCTACCAACGAAAGCAAAAGTTCCGGGTGCTTGTATGAAGCTGGGGAAGTCGAAGACAAGGTTGCAGACCTTGCCTTGGACAGCGTTGGAATCGAGTTCGAGGTTGAAGACGGTGCAGATGTCGTTGGGAGTTACGGTCGCCCATTCGGTTGCTGGATAGGCTTTATCTGGGTTCTTTGAGCTGATTGGGACGAGGAGGGACGTCGAGATGGAGCCCTTGGGGAGTTTCCCATCGGGCTGCGCGGCATTTGCTGGACAGCTCTTCTGGTTGAAAAAAGTGCGACCTTCGATGGCTGAGGTGGGTGCGGCAAGTGCTGATGCTACCAGCGCTGATATTACAGTAAAGGTCTTCATTATGGGGTATTCCACGCCGTGATCGAAAATTGATAAGTATCAAACAACTGTTAGATAGTAGTGCTCGTGGTGATGCCTGAGGACTGCGATTCACAATAATTCACCTTACACTTTATATGGACGACCTGAATATGCCTAAGGAAAGATGTAACCGCCACAGCTCGCTTCTGTGGGAAGCTTTATTGATCATCGTCGCAGATTTCTGCTTGTACATTTCCGGCGCTGACAGGCGCGCAACAACTGGTTGGGGTTCCGCAACACGAAACACCGAAGTGCCACTACAGGTTCGGGCTAGACTTCGCGCTTTCGCATAGCTGATTCACATGGCGCAGGGAGAAATTACTATCGGATGCTGAAGATGATAAACACGTGGAACGGGAGGTATCGCGAACGAACGTGGTCGGGGATCAAAAGCTCCCACGTGCGATACGCTAAATGAGAACGAGTCTGTTTCGAGGCTAGCGTAATCCGGTCGTGCATTCCGTCGTCGCATGTTCTTCACGGAGAAATAAGGTTGCAATAGGTCTAAGCGATCCTCAATGCCTGAATAGTTTCTCCTTGAGCTTCTGCATTTTGCTGCTTCCAGATTTTATGTCCTTCTCTTCCCTGTGATGCTCTTCATTTGCATCGACACGTACAACCGCACTCTTGTCCGGCTGGACTGTCGCAGTCTCGACCTCCTTTGCTGGCGTGGATGAAGTTGAGACATGGACATGAACACTTTACGACTGGTTCGCTTCTACGTTTGCGCTCTTCTTTGCTTCAAACATGTGAGCTCAATGTAATCTTTCTTATTGTCTGCTGTATGTACTTTGTTCAGTTTCCCACTCTTTGATTACATTCTCACGCATCTTCTGCCATCTCTCCGCTCCTTTCTTGCCTTTGTAAGGCTCGGAGCCCGTATCGCCCCCAGCGAGTGTCTCAATGCCAGCGACTGAAAACATGATTACTGAAACTTGGAACAAATGTGAGCTTGCGACTAAAAAGAGTGGGCGATTTGAGGTAGCTAAAGTAACGCAACCCTATCTGTAGTCTCGACGATTCGGAAGTGCGCCACTTCGTGGCATGCCCAGCAAGGCTGTGTGATCGCTGCCTTGAATGTCGAATGCTCAATTTACGCCCCGAGCTTGACTGAGAGCTGGATAAATGCGACAAAGGTTAGCATCAAAGAGACTCGCCTACGAAGGGCTATGCACCGCGCATCGCGGCCACAAAGGACAAGGACAAAGACTGCGATTCGCGCCTCACCGCCTCAATGCGCTATTCGCTATATTGACAGCCTAGAAAGAGGTGCAGATGGTGTTGATCGTAGTGGCGCAGCAAAGTCTGCCTGCTGAGGAAAGAACCCCACCACCTTGACATAATCGCACCACGACTCCGGCGTCTCCACGACTCTCTCATTGAAACATCGATGTATGAACATGATATCTCATAATTGGTGCTATTTAGAACGAGCTCCACACAACTCGCACATGCAAACCACCCTGTATTTAGAACTCTACGTCACAATGTCTAAGACCGAGCCGCCCTCCATGACACGATACACAAAGGCGCAAACTATTGGACAAAGCTGTCACCGCCCAAATGCAGTTCACACTCGAAAGCCACATCAGCGTGGTATCACGAACATCCGCAGCACTTTCCTAATCCACCATACCCTTCACATCCTCACTTGCATGCTCGCTTACCGTACCCTTGCACTCCCTTACTTAGTCGTGGTAATCGTGCAGTCCATGTGCGACTCAGACACTTCGCGCGCTGCTGTGTTCAATGGCCTTGCTTGGCAACGACGCGCGGCAAAGGAGGGTTCAGCTGAGGTTGATGTGGTGTGACACCAATTCAACTTGTGCATACATCCATCGTAGCGTGTGATTGCAGGATCTTGATCAAACACGGAAGAGGAGGTTGATGCGATATCAACGGGTTGCAGCAATGGCCAGAAGTGAAGTGAGAATAAAGTTGTGGACCCTTCATCTATTCTGCGTGCCTTGCCTTGCGTGCGGCAACGGTTGTGTAACGAAATGTTTCAGCCGGCCACGACCGCGTGAGGAAGCAAGGGAGAGTCGGGATGCGATAACGTTACTTCAACGTCGTGGGACGAAGATTGAATGGTTCCATGACTGGTAGGTGACGACATTGTATCGACGAAGATGGAATACGCTGATATGGTGCTACGGACGCACTGAGTGCTACCATGTGCGCACAGGAAGACACAAAGTGGGGAAAAGGCAGGTCAACCTTTAGGCGATTCAGGAGGAACAATGGGACGAAAACATAGAAACATCACGATCAAGAGGCACGTAGTTTTGTAAATTTTCAAGTTCTTTATCACCAACACTATCCCCACTAATTACAATTACCCTCTGCGAGACAAAGGATATCTACTCGAACATATTGACAGATCCCATGCAATGCATCATGTAAAGTCATAGCCTACCAAGCGGCAAGCTTAGTTGGTGTTTGACATTTACAAGAAGAAAGCAGCCAAAGCACCAACACCAGCAACGAAGCCAGCGGCGTTGAGCGAAGAGGCAGCGCCAGTGAACTGGGCAGGGTTGGAAGGAGCGGGCTTGGAGTACGAGCCAGTGCCGGATGCGGAGGGCATGGGGACACCGGGAACACCAGTGCCGGCAGGGACAGTTGGGTAAGGAGCAGGGGCAGATGGGTAAGGAGCAGGTACGGAAGCACCGGGGCCAGCAGGGCCGGAAGGCTTGGGGCCAACGGGGTAAGCTCCAGTTCCGGTGGGGTAGGGGATGGTGACGGTGATGGTGGTGGAGGAGAGGCACTCGCTGGTGCTGGCGTGCTCAGCGGGCTTGGAGACCTCAGGAACCGCGGGCTTGGAGACCTCTGGGACAGAGGGCTTGGAAGCCGAAGCAGAGCTTGCTGGGTAAGCAGGAGCAGAGCTGGCGGGCTTGCTGGCCTCAGGAACCGAAGGAGTAGAGGACACGACGGGGTAGGCCGGGTACTCAGGTGCCTTGGAGGTGACGGCAGCGGGGACCGAGGGGGTTGCGACCGGGTAGCTGGGGTACTCGGCAGCGGGCTTGGAAGAGGAGACCTCAGCTACGGGGTAGCTGGGGTACTCGTTGGCCGGGGCAGGTGCGGAAGGAGTGGCCTTGGGGGCCGGGGCCTCGTATCCGTACTGGGGGACAGCGGCAGCGAAGCTGGCGAAAGCAGCGAAGGCGGCAATGGTGTAACGCATTTTGGCTGATTGGTTGATTGAACTTGGGAAAGTTGGTGGTGGTTGAGGGTGGGAGTGGTGGTGGTGAATTAATTAAGGATAGTATTAGTTGAGTGCAACGAATGGACAGACCGAAGGGTCAAAGGACTTGAGCTGATGAGTTGGCTTGGTGAAGTGAGGAAAAAAGGTCCTGGGAACGAGAGGAAGTCTTATGTACCCGGGGAGATTGCCAGCACGGTAGCGCGGACCGGCAGCAGGTGGCCACTGAAAGGGGGAGGCAGCGCGGGCGACTAGGGGCAGCGTGCGCTTAGGCTTGGTGACTGGCCGGTCGGTTGTTTGTGCTAATGCAGGAACCACACTAACCCGGGCCAATGCTGGCCATTCAAGAGCCGTGCGTTCCTGAGGCTAGGCTCTGGTCGGCAGGTTGATCGTGAATAGCTTCGGGGGCCGCTCGTGTTGCAGGAAATGAGCAGCCCCAGGTGCAGCGGCGTTGGCTGCTGTCCGAAGCTCAGGTGTTGCGTTCAGCCAGTCAGCACAGCGGTTACTGCTCGCCTCTGCGTTCCCATAGGCGTCCGCGCAGCCAGCACCATCTGGGCTGGATATTAAGCGGCACGCACAACGGGCCCGCGAGATGTCCACATTTGCTCGCCTCAGGCGCCTGATTTTCCCTGAAAGACTTCCTGAAAGGGCCACAAGGCCTGCGCATCTTCAGGGGCGGCCCCTTATCTGGCTCCTCCGCTGACACTCTGGGCTCCACGTGTCCGGCCAGTGACATGGAGACTTCCTGGAGATCCTTAACTCAAAGCAGGCATCCTGCAATGGTTCTTCAAGTGTCAGTGTTGCAGAATCTGCAGGGGTCGTCAGCCCAGCGAGTCTGTTTCGGCGCCACGACTTCACCGCCTTGGACGTGCGGGAGCCGCTTGAAACGAAACAAGATGTCAAATCTGCGCTTATTCGTCACTGACCACACCGCTTTGTATGGTGCGTTCGACAAAGTTCAACAACAGTCGAGGCTGCGCTCCGTTGTTTAGGTGATGCGCCGCTTTGTTGCTGGTGATGTTGGCGCTTGTGCCCTCGGTCGGCGCTTTGTGCGAGGCGGCCAGAATCGATAGCAACGCGTGCACGGTGGATATTAAGCATCCTTGGTAGCTATAATTGGCTAAAGCCTTGGCGGCGAGACCTCCTTTTAGCTCAACTTCATTTCGGCATCAGCCCTCCAGCGCCTGTTGCGTGTCGGTTCCACCATGGCACCATCGAGCGTCTGTGATGCGTCATCAGCTTGCTCGTCTTCCATCGCGATGGATGCAGTTTTGTTTCGCGATCCACACATTACGTTCGTTGAGATGGGTCCACACGTTCACCTCGCCACCGCACGTTGACCGCCCCGTCCACCAATTGCAGCCGAACTAATATGTGCCGCGTTGCTGCATTCTTCCAGACGGACGGCAGTCGGCTTGGCCATGTCGATATCTGAATCCCGGGGTCGAGCCAATGGCGTGGGCCCGCCCCTAAATGGCAATGCAGATCAGGTGCATGTGCCATGCACTGACATGGCAGTGTGCGAACCTTTCTGGAGCCGTTGACAAAAACAGGACGTTCACAGAATGGGCAAAAGCTTAATGTCGAAGCGAAATGAGGCTGCCAAATCCTACGATGTGCGCACGATCATTGCTCCACTGGTGCAAGAGCCGGCTTGCGCCATCATTAGAATGGGAGATGAGCAGAGGCCAGGGCCGAGAATGGACCATCTTCATTTCGCATCGGACATAGAGCCGTCTCGATCGTGTTGAGGAATCCTTCAACCTCCTCACCCTTTCGGTGTCTTTCCATCGTCGACAGCATCGCCTCACTGCCATCCGGCTTTCTTTTCCTTTGTCGCACCATTTTCTGGAGTTTCAGTTAAGCAGGTATGGACTGAACTGTACTCAACATCAAATCGGACCTTTCATCCATGGCATATCGATTTCCTTGGACCTAGTCTTTGACCACTCTTGCTTTGCCCACGGGATATTTCCGAGGCCCGTCCTATACCTACACTCTCGAAGCATCACCCTGTCACACCATGGATTCTCCTCTGAAAATGTCTTTGCGGAACGGCTCTTGGTCCATCTTGGCTCGTGGCTACTGTCTACAATCGTTGCTTGTGGCCCACACAGCGAGAACCAGTCCGATCAATTCTCCAACCACTAGCAAGCCGCCCACCCTGCTATCACCTGGCCTCCGGTACCCAGACTTCCTGGTTTGGTCTGTCACGAATGACCACCAACATCGGTGCAGTGCCAATTCACTCAAATGTATCCTATGTGGCCATGGCTTTTCCTCCGAGCCATATCTTGACTAACCAAATTCTGCACGGAAATGTACATTTCTTCATTGTAATGTTCTTTACACTAAAAGAAGATCCATGGACATACCCACACACGCTCGCTTAGACTAAGACCCTATCAGAGGTAGGGATTATATTGTCTTTTTTTTTTTTCGTGGCAAGCTTGTCATTGTCTTTTTCTCATGAAAACATCGTCCACATAATGATTTCAGAACTTTCCAATCCTGATCATACGATATTCCGGATCCACGCGCATGGGATGTCCTGATGTAATGGGCCTAGTCATTCACGGAACATCCTTACTGTACTCCTTCGCTATTGTATCTAGCGAGATGTACACTTCTGACCGTGACTACCGCCAAACTCTCCGAGTTCCATACAACTTTGCGCAAACCCGCTACCGTCGCCGTTTTGGTACCAGTCACAAAGCTGTTACAATTAAACTGAACATATGTCACCCGGGGGATGTAGCCTGAGGTTTGTCCTTCGGCAACGGCTTGCGTCCTGCCGAGAACTTTTCTCTACTGTTCCCGGTTGTACCCTATCTGAAACCGTTACCTGAATTAGGTATTACTGTCCTGACTCTGGTCATGTACGTGAGAGACAGTCTATTCTCAGCATACCAGAGTCTATAGCAATGTGCTGGCCTTTTTGTTCACACGTGCAGGTTCATCGTTGACTTGCTTGTGCTGAGATCTGCGGAACAATTGAGGGACTGGTTCCAGTGACAAAAAAGACAATCTATAATTATTTAGATATTCAATGCATCACATGTAGTTTCTAATCGTCGACGTATAGCGAAGATCGATTTTCCAACTTTATCGAACGAAGCCTAAGGATGAAGTCAAGTTGGGCGGGGTAGTCGCAGCCGGCGTTCGGCAAGTGCGCCTTCTCCGGCTCCCACTCATCTTCTCCACAACATTTACCCCTATTACATCTTCTAATGCCAGTGTCGCTGGTAATACCCCTCATACCAACGCATCACTACAAACTACGCAAATTTGACAGTCATTCTCAAAGTTGACTGAGGAGTATTGTGTCACGAATGACATTCCGGCCCTATGACGCCGCAGTCGAGCCCACCCGCCTGTGTTCACAATGCGCCACATATGGATTTAGCACCTTGCTACAGCTACTGCGAGAGACGGAGGATGATGCCGTGGATTGCACACTTGACGCTCGCTCCTCATGGGATCTGAAGAATTGCCAACTTTGTCACTTCATATCCCAATGTCTGCCGCTGCCAATTGCACAGCCACCAGAAGTGACACATGGCGAAATTGTCAAACTGGTATCTCGAAGTCGAGATGAAATTGCAGAGGATCTAGGGGTTGTAGCGCGAATTCTCAACTATGGTGAGCTTGAAAAGAGGAGTCTGACGCTTGAATGTTATCGCTCCGCATCTGAGAGAAAACCTTCACAATCTTTAGTCGCCTTGTTGCGCGACGGACAATGGCCGGATATCAAGCCGACTTCTCCAATGGTCGACTTCACCTTACTTGCTGGCTGGTTGAAAGGTCCGACGTCCGACCTCTCTAGCGCGCCCGCAAGAAGGAAGGCATTGGGCTCGAATAGATCTACTCGTAACAAGCCTTCACGAACGGGCTCATGGGCGGCCGCTCAGCTCCGTGTACTTGAGATGGAATTGAATGTCATCGACTGCACAACTCGCCACATTGTAGAACTACCCAACGGAAGTCAATATGTTACACTAAGCTATGTCTGGGGAAAATCCTCAGGCGGCATTAGACGAGGCACACCGAGAAGGCCAGACTCTATGCTTGGCTCACTCCGGCTGGCAGGCACTAGCATGAACGAAGATCAAGACCGAAGCTCGCGGTTGCCATCCAAGTTTCCACTCACCATCGAAGATAGCATCAGCGTATGTAAAGCACTCGACTATCGATATCTATGGGTAGACAGATACTGTATACCGCAGAAAGACCAGCAATTGCGTGCTCGTCAGATCCAACAAATGGACGACATCTACTGCGGTTCTGCATTGACTCTCATCGCTAGTGCAGGCTCGGGTCCGCAGTATGGCCTGCCAGGTGTCTCCAGATCACGTGCAGCATGCCCTGCAATCCGTACAGGGGCCTCGGAATATCTGCAAATGATTCCTACCGTCCAGGACATCCACTCGAGCACCTGGGCGACAAGAGCATGGACATACCAGGAAGCACTGCTCGCGCAACGTCGATTCTTCTTCACTGATCGCCAAGTCTACTTCGAATCAAGTGACATGGTCGAAAGCGAACTCACAACACTTGCGCCGGTCGTGACTAGAGTTCTCGACCCACGGATATATTCCCAAGTTACTTCGTCAACATTTCCAGTCGACATATACAAATGCATACAAGCATACACCCATCGCAAGTTATCCTTTCAGTCAGATGTCTTGAATGCCATGTTCGGTATTCTGACCTACTACGGGCGCGAACACGACATCCGTCATCTTTGGGGTGTTCCATTCTCCGCAAATACCCCTGCGTCGATCGACGAGCCACCTCGCAAGCACATCATTACATTTGAAGAAAGCTTATGCTGGTATCCGAGTGGAGAGCATTCACGGCGCGAAGGATTCCCGAGCTGGTCGTGGGCCGGCTGGATGACTACAGTCACGTGGGACATATGGCGCCATGACCTCAAGCCTGCTTCTGCACCATTGAAGCAAGGTCAGGTGTCAGTCGAGCTTGAACTAAATTCTGGGGACTTACTCCGCTGGAGTGATTATCAAGCAAAATATGCCGAGCTAAATGACAGCAGCAGCCAGGACCAATTGAGCCGCTTTCTCCACATCGAGACTTACGTTTCCCGACTGATATACACACAGAACCCGACGGATGGTTCCGACACGGGAGGATGCAGCACGATGGGGTTGGAGGTAGGCGAAGTTGAAAAGCCAGTAACGCTTGATCTCTTCAGCAATCCAGCTCGAACTGCGGATAATTTGGCTCACTTCCTTGCCGGACCCGCAGAATCATACTTAGCGCTGCATCTATCCAATTGGCAGGAAGACTCTGGCACTATACTGGTGGTACAAGAGAAAGGCGGGTATTGGGAAAGGGTAGCGCTGATGGATGATGAAACTGGGATCTTGCAGCGAGCGGTGAAGAGGTGGACGAAAGTACGCTTGGGATGAAGTCATGACCCTGTATACATACACATCGACTCTATCGCGATGAGAACAACATCTTTTCACCCGAAGTCTCTTCATCTGACATCTTATTGCTGTGGGTGTATCAAAGTAACTGGTTGTTAACATCATTGTCACCGCAGCTCCGTGATCCCGTGGCGCTGGGTCGGCCTGCAGCTTTCCGCCGCCTCGCCACGGCAAGCAAACAACTTGAGACATCCAGCGCAATCTTTGCCTCACCGCTATCTGCAGACAAAGGAACGAATCGGGGAAGTCACGTCATGAGGCTCGCGGATGGCCGGTGGAAACTGTGCTCTCACCGGAATATTTCAGCAACGACAGCTACCTGGCTACCATAAGTAGACGTTGGGCTGCATCGCTCAGAGACTTCCTTCTCGTCACCAACTACCAGAGCTACTTCACAATCACTTCTCTTCAACAGTCGACTACTTCAACGACACACTTCCTCATCGATACCAACCATCTCAACCGAAACAATCCCAATACTTCAAAAATGAAGCTCACCAGCATTGTGCTCTTCTTCCTCACATCCATCGCCACGACCAGCCTAATCAGCCATCATGTCCGTCCCAACGATACCAACGCACTGCTTGACTTCCATAACGACTATACCGAGTTGGTCCACATGCACATCGACGACCTGGCGGACGCCGCACTGAGCAACATGGAGATACTGCGGGTAGTCCAGCACTGTGCCCTATCATCCGGAACACTCGGCTTGAAGGATCTCGGCCTCCCCTCTTGCCTCGTATGGAGTGAGCAGATGTTTGGCATGTCTTCGTCCATCGCTTCTGGGGTGGGAAAGATGGACGGTCTGGATGACTTGCTCGACATCATGGGCGAGGCGATCGACTTGGAAAAGCATACAGGAGAGGTGATGAATGCAATCGAGAAGGTGTTTGGCTTCTAGTTGTGGTATGAAGACGGGGATGTGGGGTGTGTGGAGTACGGGAGTGGTGGGAAGTATGGGACTGACGGGCAGGAGGACAACACCGGAATGGGAAGGGCACATTCAACATGTGTTCTGGCTTCTTGTGTTGCAGATTGCTTTTGTTTTTCCTTCGGTACACGAGCATTTCTACAGCGAGTAATACGCATGGCCGTAGATGGTCGGCATTTCATTGCCTTACGTACAAAGACATGTTCCTTCTACGTGATCGCCCATGGAGTTTGACATCACTCACTGTCTAGTATACCCGCGTGAACTTGATGCATCAAACATCCACATCTCAAACCCGAACAATGAATGCATCTGAAACTTAAACAAACTCGTTTCACACACAAAGTTGCGCAATGTAGTCTTACGAACCTATGGGCTATGTCTCAGCATACTCAAACAACAATTGACAAATTACTGTACGCTGCGAGAAGCTTCCTTAGATTGTTTCCTTACTATTTAACACCTACTACCCCACACTCCTTATCCTTCTAACTTATAACACGAGTACCTTTGCACGGGATACTAGAGAGGTTTGAATGCAAGTAAAGCATCTCTGCTTAACTTACTACCTACGCTATAGTATACCTTACTCTCTCTAGCCTTCTCTCTTCTTTCCTTTCACTTAGAGCTAGTCTACTCTAAGCTAGCGTATGCGCTAGCTAGAGCCTGCACGCCTTGCAGTATACATAGCTAGCTACTCTCTTCTAAGAGTCTACTATTCTACCTTTAGTTGAATACAAGCACTTTTTATCAACCTGAGCCTTCTACGCCCGCAGTCTGCCTTACAACCTTCATCGAACCAAGCCACATTGCACAAATCCAGAACACAAAACGCAAGGGCAAAAAAAACTTCTCGACCTAGCACTTGGGCAAAGGCTGCCAAGTATGTCGTCTACATAGTGATGCTGCTCGCAGCTATCAACTTTTTAGTCACTGCGATTGGACCGACCACCATCAACACATCATCCGATCTCCCAAAGCAACATAGCGCTGAATTCCTAGCCAAGAAGGCGAAGATAATAGAGAAATATGGGGAGGAGTATTACCGCAAAGCTTACGACGTCGCTCCGAGACTCAAAGCCCTGACGAAACTCTACGGCCATCCCAAGAACTTTGACACATCCAAGGTCATCACCAACGTCGCTGAGCACGAGGACTTGCTCGCCGAATATGCTGAGCGCCTAGACCTATCCGTCGCGAGTTGCATGCGCAGGACAAATATGTTGAAACGCGCTTTTGACAGATTTGACAGTGGCCTGCTGTCTCCTGAATTTGTGGCTAGGGAGGATCACATGACCCAGGTAGCCATGTACGAGGCTGTTATGGCGTTAGATCGCGCGCGGTCGGCTATGCGCATGCAGGGTAGGGAAGCTGATTTTCCAGAGCTCATAGGGCAGATCGATGGCGCGATTACGCGTGTGGAGAAAACGAAGGGTGAAAAGGGGTTAGGACGGTAGTGGTGGTACATGGTAGAGAACACACTCTGAGAATACACGTCAGGTATGTATTTTGGGGTTGTTCTTTGTACTCGAGTAACTGAATCCCATGATCTAGAATGTCTTGTTGCAAGTGATGTACTGTAATTCATCGCCTTGTTTGAATTCTCATTGCGTGATCTACGGGCTTCTTTCGTTCTCTCCCACCATGTCTCGGATCTGGTTTGTATTACCATGTAGTCAGGAATAGTAACGAAAACAGCCACATTGAACACACCAAAACCGCTACGAATAGCAACTTTTCAACGCTCTATTGGCAGCATCAAACTCATCAACGAGACTAAAATGATCGAGTAGCAGCACGTTGGGCGAGGTTACTACTCTCCAGAAGCGAAAGATTGACTTAGATTGACATTCCTACACAATTTATACGTCCAGGCATTATGCAGACTATTTTCACGTCGCCATGTTGCGCACTGTAGACTCTCGTGGAATGAGCGCGACGTGTTTCAGCATAGGCAGACAATATCAGCGTAGGCAAACAATAATTCACCCGATGCTTAGGCAGCGCGAAGGTTCTCTGGTTCGTCTCCTTGCGATTTAATCCCTACTATCCTACCCTTCTCTTATTTCCCTAATCTACAACTCAAGTCACACAACCACAACTCACGGTACATAACACGATGGCTCCGAACACTTTTCAGACTACCTTTGGTCGCATTGTGCAGAAGATCATCAACATCATCGTTGGCATCATTTTGCTATTCGCAGCTTGCGGGCTCGTAGCGACCGTATTCGAATCCACGACCCCAGACGCCATCGTCAACTCACCGCCCTACTCCTACCAAGATGAACTCCACCGTATCCCTAACGGCTCCCTGCTCGATACCTTCGAGCCACGCCTCACGCGCATCATCGCCCGCAGTCTGATTCCCGATAGTCCCATCACCAACGCTAATGTAGCTCTGATGCTGCACGATCACTGGAGCATCAAGAAGTTGGTGGACCACGGTATGCTGCGACCGATGGCGAGTGGCCTGCCGGAAGCTATCGACGAGGCTCTTGGGGCTGTGAAGTGTGTCAAGCTCATAGTTATGAAGCAGGGACGTAGTGCGCGGGACGGAAAGCACGTGAACAATCATATGCGCTGGATTCCTAAGATCATTGAGCGGTTGGAGAAGGAGAGTGCGATATGGGAGGAAGTGGAGGACAAGGACGGCGTGATGCAGGAGGAACTAGACGATTGGATTCCTGAGATCCTTGAGCAGTGGGAGAAGGAGAATGCGATGTGGAAGCATGTGAACGAGAAGGTGACGATCGAGGAGTAGAATAGGAAGATGGATAGCTGTCTCGCGCTGAAGTCTATGCCCTCGTGGCACATGTTATATGTATTGCGTAGTCTCGTACAAATGTACTAAAAAACCTCATGCGCTAGACTGTTCGGTCTGAGTTGACACACAATATACTCTCTTCCTTCTCCCATCTTACTTTGCACTTTGCCTTCATCACTTATGACCCATCCAGTTCTCCACCCCTCTACTCATCTAACATACCAAACACCCTCACTATCCCCACACCTAACCCTTCCCTCCGCCGCTACCTCCCCACCATGCACCCCCGCAAACCTCCTCACAACCTCCGCCAAAATCCCCACAATATCCTGATTACTTATCAAGAACGCATACTCCAGCGGCTGGCCCGGCGCGCGCCCCATGCTGAAGCCACACGGCGAGCCGACCATGTTTTGAATATAGCCTGGAGGTTTGCCTGGGGTTGTTAGTATGGATGGGGAAGGGGAGGGAATTGGGGATGGTTGCCTTTGAAATCCACGCTCCAGTCGCCAGCTTCGCCGAGGACGCCACGACATGCGTCTTGGCAGTCTGAAGATGAGGGAGGGGAGGTGACGTTGAGAGTGCGGTCGGTGAAGGAGAGGAGTTCACAGTAGCCAGGGGTGGATGCGTTGCTGGTGCAGAAGTCTTGTGCGGTTGTTAGGGTTGCGAAGACGGCGAGGGAGAAGGTGGGGATGTGCATTTTGATCAAGAATGGCCGCGATAGAGCGAGGTCGGTTTTCATTGCAAGACTGCACAGGTGCTTTGTTATACACGATGCATTTTTGCATGAGGGTGAACTGCGAGCTCATAGGCAGCGCTTAGAATTGATGTGATGGCCGAGGCGATTGGCTGCAGCCTTAGCTCATGTGATACCGGCGGGACGGGTACGAGTTGGGGTAATATGTCTGCAAGTAGAATCATATCATGCACACCCACGTTTCGAATCGTGGCCAATTGAAAGGACAAATATTGCCTGGTGGTGTTGATGGACTGCATAAGCTGCATAGACGTGCGAGAGGTCGCAGATCAGCCTTCGTGGTACCTGGACGATTCAGCAGTCAAACGGTAAAGGAAAGATTATATGCGAAACACTCCTTGGGGTTGATGGTATATTCGCGCGGCTTCCTGAACATATTTGCCTTCTCTTCCAAATCGAAGCATGGTTGGCACAAGGGACGCATGCAATGAGCATCCGTAAATCACAGCGAAATATCGATCTCGTCGCACTAGATTAAGCGGTCGCCGTGCGCCCGTGCTTGGATTTTGAAAGAGCGCTCTGGTGGTTGAAACGCTGAGCTAGGTCAACGCTTCCACCAGTGCCGCAGTGGCATCTCCACCACGCGTCGAATTAGGGCCGACGCTCAGCCGCGGATAAGAATTGATGCATTTGTTATAGGTCGTGGTGTTTGTGGCTGTATCGTATGTGTCCGAACAGTCCTGAACACATGAGAAACCAGTGCACTGTATGCCATCAATGCCCCGAACTGACGAAGCTCTCTCTTGTAGGGTTGCCTAGGAACAGTCCGTGGCCGTCAACTCAAAGACACTGGAGTACAGTTCGACAGTGTAATAGAAGCCGTCCGTGTTCATGACTCGGGTGACGATAGGGCAGTGTTTCCCTGAAGGACCAACGCTGGCGGGTATTGTGACGGTTAATGCAGTGTTGTTCAAGGCAATATTGCTTGAATCGCGGTTCAGGCTAATGCTTGGGTCGCATATCGATCGTTCGTGGATTAGGTAACCAAGGTATGACATGTCGACGGGACAAGCTTGTGAAGAGGAAAGGAAAGCGGAAAGGAGCCAGACACGCGCCTTCCCAATGGCGAAGCTTACCAGCAGATTACCTCGCCTCGGAAGTCGACCTACCTAGGGCTTCTGCAGTGCCGGTGAAGCTCTACAGCGAATCTACAGTGTACTGATCCTACCAGGATTCAGCACGCGCTCGATGCGACCTGCAGAGATGTCGAGACGCGATTGTGACGCGTGTGCTTGTCGCGATGCCGCATACTCGATTGTGGTGATGGGCTCATCTGGCCAACAAGCAGCTTTTCGCATTGCTTCGAGAGACACGCGACTCGAACATGTGGAGATATACAACACTGAGGGATGGTGGTGTGCGTGCAGATGGAGGAGGTTCAGGAGTGACGGAAGGCTGGAGAGATGAGGCTCTGTTATCGATAGCTTGAGTCATGCTAGGATTGCGGGGAGTCAAACACCAAAAAAACATCCCCACCATCCGGCTGCAACTCCAAGACAGCACCCAATCCCGCCATGTCTATCGACTTCCCCAAGGAAGAGGAGCGTATCCTCGCGCGCTGGAAGGAAATCGACGCCTTCCAGCGACAAGTCGAGCTGGTATGTTCTGTTCTGTTCCTGCATCACCACAATGAGAGGCACGCGGGCGCATAAGCAGTGTGACGCAGCATCACTTTTCTCTTCACCAGTGCTAACCCATTCGTGCACAGTCCAAGGGAAAGCAACCCTACACTTTCTACGACGGACCGCCTTTCGCAACCGGCCTGCCCCACTATGGCCATCTCCTCGCCTCGACCATCAAGGACATCATCCCCCGCTACTGGTCTATGAAGGGACGGTATGTCGAGCGACGATTCGGCTGGGACACGCACGGCGTACCCATCGAATATGAGATTGACAAGGAGCTGGGCATGTCCGGTCGCGACGCCGTACGGACGCTCGGTATTGCCAAGTACAACGAGAAGTGCCGGGCTATTGTCATGCGATATGCGGGCGAGTGGAGGACGACCATTGACCGCCTGGGACGCTGGATCGACTTCGACAACGACTACAAGACCATGGACACGAGCTTCATGGAGACTGAGTGGTGGGTCTTCAAGCGCCTGTTCGACAAGGGCGCCGTGTACCGCGGCTTCAAGGTCATGCCCTACAGCACAGCCCTCGCCACGCCTCTTAGCAACTTCGAGGCTTCGCAAAATTACAAAGACGTCCAGGATCCGGCGGTAGTTGTATCTTTCCCGCTTGTAGAGGACCCCAACACACTGTTGCTCGCATGGTGAGTGTGCATCCAACATCCAACATCCAACATCCAACGAGGGCACGACTAACATTGACTAGGACGACAACACCATGGACGCTTCCCATGAATACCGGCCTCTGCGCGCACCCCGATTTCGAGTACGTCAAGATCCTCGACGAAGCCACTGGCAAGCACTACATCCTGCTCGAAGCGCTCCTCCGAACACTATACAAAGACCCGAAGAAGGCCAAATACAAGGTTGTCGAGAAGCTCAAGGGCAAGGACCTGTTGGGCTGGAAGTACGAGCCGCTCTTCAACTACCTATACGACGAGTTCAAGGACCACGGCTTCAAGGTGTTGAACGACACCTACGTCACAGCCGACAGTGGTGTTGGTATCGTCCACCAAGCACCCGCATACGGAGAGGACGATTACAGAGTCGCGCTCGCGGCTGGCGTCATCAGCGACACACGGCCGCCTCCAAACCCCGTTGACGATGCCGGTTGCTATACCTCCGTCGTCAAGGACTTCGAGGGACAGCATGTCAAAGCCGCCGACAAGGCCATCATCAAGCACCTAAAGGGCACTGGACGCATGATCGTAGACTCGCAGCTGACCCATAGCTACCCCTTCTGCTGGCGATCAGATACCCCTCTCATCTACCGAACCGTGCCCTCCTACTTCATCAAGATCCAGGACATCGTGCCGCAAATGCTCGAGAACATTGCAGGCTCACATTGGGTCCCATCGTTCGTCAAGGAGAAGCGCTTTGCCAACTGGATCTCCAACTCGCCCGACTGGGCTGTATCAAGAAACCGCTTCTGGGGTACTCCGCTCCCGCTCTGGGTCAGCGACGATGGCAAAGAAATGGTCTGCGTTGGCAGCGTGGAAGAGCTGAAGAAGCTGAGCGGTTACGAGGGCGAGCTTACCGACATCCACCGAGACAAGATCGACGACATCACAATACCCAGCCAACAGGGCAAGGGTGTGCTGCGAAGAACGCCCGAGGTTTTCGACTGCTGGTTCGAGTCTGGATCTATGCCCTACGCAAGCGCGCATTACCCCTTTGAGAATGTTGAGCAGTTTGAGAAGTCATTCCCCGGTGATTTCATCGCCGAGGGTCTCGATCAAACTCGTGGTTGGTTCTACACACTGACCGTTCTTGGAACGCATCTATTCGGCAAGTTGCCTTTCAAGAACTGCGTTGTCAATGGTATCGTGCTTGCGGAAGACGGCAAGAAGATGTCCAAGCGTCTCAAGAACTACCCAGATCCATCGCTTGTCATGAACAGCTATGGTTCGGATGCCCTCCGACTGTACCTCATCAACTCGCCAGTTGTGCGTGCTGAGACTCTTCGCTTCAAGGAGGCCGGTGTCAAGGAGATTGTGTCAAAGGTCCTACTGCCGCTTTGGAACAGTTACCAGTTCTTCGAACAGCAGGCGACTCTGCTCAAGAAGGTTGCTGATCTGCACTTCGTCTTCGACCCAGCAGCCGGGAAGACCAACAAAAACATTCTAGATCGATGGATCCTGGCATCATGTCAGTCATTGCTCAAGTTTGTCAATGCCGAGATGGCGGCGTACAGACTGTACACCGTGGTACCGCGACTACTGGAGCTCATTGACAACACAACGAATTGGTACATCCGATTCAACCGTCGGAGGTTAAAGGGCGAGTATGGTATGGAGGATACCAAGCATGCCCTGAACACTCTGTTCGAAGTCCTCTACACTCTCTGCCGGGGTCTTGCGCCCTTCACCCCCTTCATCACCGACAACATCTACCTACGCCTGCTACCACACATCCCCAAGGAGCTGCATGCCGAGGATAACCGCAGCATACACTTCCTTCCCTTCCCCGAGGTTCGAGAAGAACTCTTTGACGAGGTCGTCGAGCGCCAAGTCAAGCGCATGCAGGCCGTCATCGAACTCGGTCGTATCTGCCGCGACCGCGCGAACAAGGGCCTCAAGATCCCTCTCAAGACTCTTGTCGTCATCCACCCCGACCAGCAATATCTGGACGACGTCAAGTCGCTAGAGAACTACATCTGCGAGGAGCTCAACATCCGCGACCTGGTGCTCTCCAGCGACGAGGAGAAGTACAAGGTGCAATACTCCGCAACCGCCGACTTCTCCGTGCTCGGCAAAAAGCTCAAGAAAGACGCCATCAAAGTGAAAAAAGCGCTGCCCAACCTCACGTCCCAGGAGATCAAGGACTTCTTGAAGAAGGGAGAATTGCTTGTTGATGGCATTAAGGTAGAGGCCGAGGACCTCATGGTCAAGCGCGGCCTCGCCAAGGACGATGCAAACAAAGACCAGGAATTCAACACTGACAATGATGTCCTCATCATCCTCGACGTCGCGTCGTACCCCGAACTCGAGCAGGAGGGTCTAGCCCGTGAAGTCATCCGCCGCGTGCAGGACTTGCGCAAGAAAGCGGGGCTTGTGCCGACGGACGATGTGGGCATGGAGTACCGCGTGCTCAGCGATCCGGAGAATCTGGGCTTGGAACAGGCGTTTGAAAACCAAGGGCCGTTGTTTGAGAAAGCACTCAGGAGGAATGTGGATAAGCATGTCATCACGGAAGTCGAGGGCAAGATTCCGGAAGGCAAGGATGAGAAGGTCATTGTGGAGGAGGAGCAGGAGTTGCATAAGGCGACGTTCATGTTGAGGTTGGTCAAGTTGTAGGGAGGATTCAATGCAAGTCATACGAGATTCGTCAATGTGACGTGTGGAATCATAAGTGAAATCTATGGTATTTACACCCTCACTCCGCCCAATACTTATGTTCCTCTAAATTCGTTTGTTATCATTTCTTATACGCTTTCTGCACGTCTTATTAGAGGAGATTCGAGTGTGAATTGGAGTGTTGGAGGACGAACCAGGTAGCACTCTTTCAGCTTCAAGAATTCTGTGGCGCACATGCTTTTATGCACATTGTTGTAGTCTGCAAAGATACATTTGCCGTATATGGAGCTCTGGGAAATGGTCAGTCCATCAAATCTAGGAAATGTTTCTAGACGTTTGGTGGCGTGTAGCATACCTCTTTAGAGCATTTCCCCACAGCTGTGGCGAGCTTGTCGATGGGTCGTGTTCGGCCTGGCATCGTGAAGTTTGCCTTTATCGACGAACTATCTTCTTTGCAGACTAGAGAAAGGAATGATATAACTTGAATTTTGGTGTCGCGAACCCATCGCCTTTGATCATGACCTCAACGCGCACAGACCCCCTTGGCACTTCCGCGCCCGCCGTTCGCGCACGCTCAGCCAACCACTCGACAACAAAGCGCGTCTTCCCGAACAAGGCGCGCCAACTTCACTCTCACCACACCACCCATTCATCTCTACTCGTACTCTAATGCTTAATAACCACGCCTCGTCTTCACCACGGCAGATTTTTGGAAATTTCGCGCTTCGCTTCGCTCACACCCCATGTTGTCGCGAAGGCGCCGAAAGTCGAGTCGCGTGCACGAATGCTATCCTCCATGAAACGATGCGGATGAGGGGCTAAAGGACGAGTTGACGGATCGAGGTATGCCTTGGTGTGATTTAGTTTAGAAAGAGGGCTAATTAGAGAACAGCGATTGAAACGCTTTATGATATTATTCGACGCGCGCAAACGACTGCGCAGACACATCCTCGCGCGAAACAGTCGCCGTCTTCCAGTGCGCTTTTCAATGCCTACGAGCAGGTCCTGAACGAACAAGGGCTGCAACCTGCCGACGATGCGGTCCTACATCGCTTTTTGTTTCGCATGCAGGAGGATAGACGGCGCGATGAGGATATCGTGCAGCGTTTTCAGCGCGTGCTTAGCGAGATGAATATCCAGGTCGAGGTCAACGAGGAAGGCGAAGGTGTGGAAGTCACGTCGAATCTGGACAGGACGCGCGATTTGACGCGTGGTGGCGCGGTTGCTGCGCTGGGACGACATTCGCGGAGAAGCAGCTTTGACAGCTTCTTTGATGGGACGGCGGATAAGGTTGCGGGGACGGATTATGGAGACCTCCCTGTACGGACGAGCAGTGGTTCGAATGCTGGCGCGCCGAATGGATACCACCCGAGGCGCGTGAGGTCAGATACGGAAGCGCATTCGTACCAACAGGCGCAACTTCCAGTGCGCAGCAAGGTCAATGGGTATGCGCATCGCCGCTCTGCTTCTGGACAACAGTACCAAAGGCCGAGGAGGAGCGCTTCTGTGTCCAGTCGCGGGAGTCTTCAGATCACAAGACCAGGCGTGGCAGCGGCTTCGCGGGCTGTTGACTACGATGCAGACGATACCGAAACCGATCGCACAACGAGTGTCGACCTTTCACACATACAAGTACCTGGCATCAACGCGCCGATTCCGGACATTTCGCGCGGCTCGTCAAGTCAGTACCAGCCATTCGTCCCAGAGCCCTTTCAGCCATCCGATACCCGACTACTGGACGAGGCCGAGATATTCGAACAGCAGCGGCTGCACAGGGTGACAAGAGACTGTATACAGACATGGCGCAATCGTACTCAAGAGCGGCTATCGATTCGTGAAGACATGGAGAGATTAGCAACTGCTTTTGATCGCAGGATCCTTCTGAAGCTGTCCTTCGAGCAGCTTCGCGACACCGCGCGCGTCCGGCGATCGGGCAGAGAGACGGAGCGTTTCTTCGGACGCTTGGAAGAGCGCGCTGATCGAGCTCGGAACATTTTTCTCCTAACCAAAGCATTCACACACTGGGCAAAGAGTGCGGAAGACGAGGTACAACGAACGTCGGTCGCGCGGCGACATATCCTACGAACACGATTCTTCAACGGCTGGCGCGACATCACGGCTGTCAACGAGCTCAAGGTTCAGCATTTCGTGCTGGCCAAGTTTCTACGACAATGGCGCGCACGGGCGACGACGCTTCTTGAAAATACTCAATTCGCTGTGCAGCTGTACGAAGAGAACTTGGTGCGCAGAATCTACAAGGAGTGGTTCTTCAAATTCTGCGCTATTGCTGCTCCGGCATGGCGTAATGATCGCACCAGGAAGATTGCGCTGCACAAGATGGTTGAGATTGCGAAGGTCTTGAGAGAGAGGCAGGAGTGGGCGGTTGATCGCTGGCAGAAAGGCGTGTTGAGGAAGACGTTGCAGCACTGGCGAGGAGAGACAACCACGGTTCAAGCACTTACACCGCGCGCAGAGGACTTCAGACGAAACAGTGTGATGTCCTCAGCCCTCGACGCACTGTATAAACACGCACAATTAGCGCCTTTGCTACGACAATTTCAAGAACGAGCAAGTGCTCGTATTGGCCAGAAGGCGTTACAAGAATGGCGACACGCTGCTCAGCTCTCTCAACAGGCACGCAATGTGGACCGCATGCGAGTCTTACGCAATGCTTACACGGCTTGGAACGACCGTTTACGCATCAAAGCACTCGAAGACCGGATCAACGACCGCGTGATCGTGGAGGCACTTTACAAGTGGACCTTGGCCTCAAGAGTCTCCCTCTTCCAGCGCGTACACAACCGCCAGCTCAAAGAAGATGCTTTCCTCACCTGGGTCACCAAGGCCAATCAACGCAATAATACGCTTGAAGCTGCGGAGAGGAGATTTGCACAGTTCAAACGTGCTCAGATGCTCCGGACATGCTTGCAACGGATGGAAGCGATCACGACTGAAAAGAGACGAGAAGAATTTGCCGTCGTCGCTGAGTTCCAGCAAAAGCTTAAGCAGCGCATCTTTGAGAAGTTGAAGGAAAGACAAGCACACTTCCAACAGCTCAATACATGGGCTGACGCGGCACATTTCTATGTTGTGAGCAAGTCTACACTGAAGACCTGGAGTGCGGCGACTCAGCACTCGCGCCGGAACCGCAGACGCGATACATATTCTCAGGTTCGAAGAACTGTCAAGACAAATCTCGTGCGCAGGCTCTTTGCGAATTGGAGGGAGAAGTCGAACCATATTGCACATCTCAACCAACAAGCCAACTACATACTGGAAAATCGGACAGTGCAGAGTAGCGGAGCCGTTCTTCACCAATGGCACGATCGCGCACTCACACTCCGCCAGCAAGAGTCTCAAGCAACAAATCTTCACGCCTTTAAGCTTGGAACCCGCTACTTCCGCATCTGGTCTGAGCGCTTGGAAGTTCTCCAGACAATGGAGGCCCAAGCGGCGGCTCTACGACAAGAGGGCGCTGAACTCGCCGCCACCTCTGCGCTCAAGAAACTCGGTTGGCGTCTCTGGAACGTCCAGAGACAGGAAGAGAACGCGCGGGCGTTGTATGAAAGGAATTTCGAAAAGCACGTCCGTGCCATGATACGTTTTTGGGCTGAGCAGATGGCTGAGCGATTGGCGAATAGACCAGTCAGTCCAACGCCTACGAGTCGGTCGAGAAGAAGTCGGAGGGATGACGACGACGGCGACGACAACCGTGGGAATGATAATAGATCTCAAGGCGCATTCGGCGACACAACCCGCAATCTCGAAGCCTGGTCCGCCTTCGACGAATCCGCCCTCGGCCTCAACAACGACCTCGATCTCTCCCTCAGTATAACACCCGAACACCGTCCCCCACCCTCATCCACACGCCCGCCTCCCACGCGCTCCATCCTACGCCCTACGCCCGCGCGCCCAAAAACTTTTCCACAACTGCAATCAGCCCTGCGCCCTCCGCCGCAAACTATCCCAGAAGACTCCATCCTCGACCCGGCGTTTGCGGCGGGTTTGGATCGGGATCTAGCGGACACGGAGAATTTCTGGACGGGCACCCCCACGGCCCCGTTACCTAGTGTGTCGACGCTGGGTAGGCCGGGCTATCTCAAGACGCCGAGTAAGAGGAGCGTTGTGCGCGCTAAACGACCGGAATTACTTGCTTCGCCAGAGAAATTGAGAGTCGCGAGTCCGGTTAGGAGGCTGGGCGCGATGAGTGCGCCGCCTGCGCAGCGCGGACCTCCTGTTGAAGAGCAAGGTGGTGTGACGAGTTTCCAGAGACGGCTGAGGGATGGCGGGTTTAGTAGGAGTGTTGCGCCTGGGCGAGGGAGGGGCAGGGCGAGAGTTGGGTTTGGGGATGTTAGTCAGTTGGGTTGAGTTGTGATATTAGCGAGGCGTTTTTAGATAGCGGTCATGTTTGTGCTGGTTGAAGTTAGGATACCCTATAGTTATGTCCATGTCTATGTTTATGCATCGAAGTCCATTTCGTTTCCCTCAGGCCTACACGACCACCTCAAGACTTCCAAAAACATATACACATGACACTTGTGAGTTCCCGACACATATTACCTAAGTAACTGTTCCGCCAAAAAGAAAGTGCTAGAGAAAATCCTGCTTACGCGGGGGGAAGTAAACTCTTCGTGTTTCTTACATTTAAGATTTCCTTTTTTTTTCAGCCTCTTACTACCTCTCCTCCTAGTCCTCTGCAGACCGAAAAGATATCTTGAAGCGAGGATGCGCTCCGAGAAGTGTTCGAACCCCGACCATGTTGCAAGATATGAGGTTAGAGGGTATATCTAGGTGCGAGAGGGGGGAAGGTGCGGTTGGAATTGTTTTGAGTGAGGGAGTGCGGAAGATGAAAATAATAAGAACTGCCCCCAAACCACCACCCCTCTTGTCATTCTGTGACGGTCGGAGCGGTCATTATCTTCCCAAGCTTCGCTTCCGCCGGACTTCATTCGCATTCTATCTGTCTGCTGGCTGAAGAGCATGCTATGACGGGTCGACGTTGTTCGTGTCTTCAAAGAGGTACTCTCCAGCTAATCTTAGGACGGTTCCATTGGCATGCTCTGCGTTGGTGGCAGCGTGCGGCTTGGCGGGCGGTGTGATTTGCATCGCTTCCATCCTGGTAGGTCCCTCGCCTAGGAGGCTGATGTGGTTGCCTATGAAGTTAATGTCGACCTGGATCTGCACAGCCTTCCGTGTTCGTACAGAGTTTACCCAGTCGTCCTGTACTGTGTTTTCCTACCCTTCCAGCGGCGGCATCATTCTCAAAACCGTCGTTAGCGTGGAGCTTGGTTATCTCAATCTCCCTCGTACCGAACATGTCCAGTGTCATCAAGATGCTACTGAGGAGGACGAGTTCGCGTTGAGATTGCTGCAACTCGGAGCTCGCTGGTGGCCAAGTCTCAAATTCTATCATCGTCATCCGGACGCGCCGTACCCATACGGCTACCACTAACCGCCTGATAGACATGTGGGATATACAAGCTCTGGTGCCGTTGTTATATTGGACCTATTTGCGGACAACTCGACGGCGAGACTTGACGCATACGACGCACCCGAGAAGTCTGAGACTTGGGCACGCGTGGCATTGTCTGCGTCCATGGACGAGCGGTGTGCAGTTCTGAAGGACCTTGGCGCATCTCTATACGAAGACAGAGAGAGGTGCGACAAACTACCAAAGACTTTGGAGGAAGCCATCACAGAAGGCAAAAGGTACGAGGAGCTGATGCGGAAAATGGAGGACGGCCACTACCTTGACAAGTGGATAGAAAGTCTTTGATTGGATCATGTATCAAGTTTTAGGCAGTATTCAGCTCGAACCAGCTTCGCATGCAAGTTGGTGGTCAATAAGACTGAAAATGGCTAGACGAAGGTGATGAAAGAAGGGAGAAGGAAATCCAGAATAAGCGACGCGACTGAGCTATGATTGGCCGGGCCGATTTCGGCAATGAAACACCAGGGTCCTTTCACGAAACGCCCAAGAATTCATTAAATCGTGTTCAAAAGCCCTCAACGAAGTTCCCCGGCGAAGAAATGCTGCTCCGACCATCTCAACTCTGTACAAAATCTCTCCACACTTCCGCACGGGCAATATCGGTCCGGCAGCCGCTCCAAGCCCTTATATCACCTTGCCGAAACCGGCAAAACACATTTCCCAAATTTTCGACGAAAGAGTCATTGACGAGTAGACGCGCATTGTCAACTTCAACCTCCAAATTTCAACAGATCGGCTCAAACGAACCTCAACGGATCTCAACATCCTCCAAAATGGCGGGCGACGATCATTACCTTACTTTGCAATGCCCCGATAAGGCAGGTATTGTGTACGCGGTCACGGGACTGCTCGCGAAAGAGAACCTCACTATTCTGGACTTGCAGCAATTCTCCGACCCGATGTCCAAGACTTTCTTCATGCGCGTGCACTTCGGCCATTCTGCTGAGCTCAATGGCTTGCAGGAGAGCATGAAAAAGCTGGCCGCGGACATGCAAATGGACTACCAAATCCGCCGCGTGGACGCGAAGCCCAAGGTCCTCATCATGGTCTCCAAGATTGGTCACTGTCTGAACGACCTCCTCTTCCGCGTCAAGTCTGGACAACTGAAGGTCGAAGTACCAATCATCGTTTCAAACCACCCAGAATTCGCCGAGGTGTCGAAGAACAACGGCATCGAGTTCCACCACCTCCCTGTAACCAAGGATACGAAGGAGCAGCAGGAGACCCAGATTCTGGATCTCATTGCGAAACACAACATCGATCTTGTTGTGCTGGCGCGCTATATGCAGGTCCTCTCACCACGACTTTGCACGGAAATGTCGGGCAAGATTATTAACATCCATCACTCTTTCTTGCCCAGCTTCAAGGGAGCGAAGCCATACCACCAGGCTTACGAGCGTGGCGTTAAGATTATTGGTGCGACAGCGCATTTCGTCACTGCCGACTTGGACGAGGGTCCGATCATCGAGCAGCGCGTTGCAAGAGTCGACCATGCACTCAGCCCTAAGGAATTAGTCGAGGAGGGTAGCAATGTTGAAAGCCAGGTTCTTGCAGCTGCAGTTAAGTGGTGGAGTGAGAAAAGGGTGTTCTTGAACGGCGCGAAGACTGTTGTTTTCAACTAGACGGGCTCGAAAGACGTGGCACTTTAGATATCATCAAAGACAAAATCGTATATACAACGAACCGTCGCATGCTATACTTGATCCCTCCAGCTAAGATTATCGGTAATGGTATGTTGAGGGATTGATCGTGTTCACTGCATCAATAGTCTCGTGCAAGCCAAACAAGTTATCAACCCTCGACCGTTCATTATCCTTGGCTGTATGCTCACAGAATGCAGCATGATAATAAGATGCTATGTCCAGACTGCCGGAGGTTGAGGCGTTGGGTGGTGCTTACGTGTATCTGCTGCGTGACGCTGCTATAAAAACCACTAGCTTCTGCATCCCCCCAACAGTGTGAGTCGCATTCGTTAATGACGTGGTGCAGGACGACAGGCATGAACAGTTTCCCTCTTTCTTTCAGAAACCAAACGAATCAAATTTTGTTGAGGCTTCATCCATCATAGGCATCCTCAACTCCGTGTCTCTTGTGGCGCTTCTTCAGCCCAGCATATGCGACGCCCCGTCGAAGCGGACCAACCTCTGACGCAACGCCGAACGCGCAATGTCCAACGCCCTGCACGCCCTCACCACCTACATACCCACCCTCTGTATGTTCATGGAGCGCACCGAATTTCAGCCGCGTATGCATGAGTTCCATAGGGAATGGGTCATTACCGAGACAGGCACCACGGCTAATATCATCGAGCGTAGTGTTCCTTGTAGTAACAAGAATACGAGAAAAGCCCGTCGAGAAAGTGGCGCCGTCTTGCCAGATCGTCACTGCGCCAAAAGCGAGGATGAGAAGCGTGATGAATATCACAGGCGCGTAGCATTGCCACAAGCGCTTCGGAACGTAGACGAACGACGACTGGTACCGCGAACGATTCACCATAACCATCTCCTTGCTGGAGACAAGCATTTCTGGCGCGGATAAAAGGGATAACACCATGTCTGCGTAAAATCTCTCAATCTCCTCGGAAAGATTTGGCTTTGGCTCACTGCTTTTGTTTACGAGTCGTGTTTTGGTGATGTCGGAGTAGACCGTGGCGTATGATGGTCCGGGTACAGGAGGCTCGAGGTCAACGTGTCCGCTGAGGAATGCTCTTAACCTCTCCCCTAGCGCGTGATATGCAGCTGTCTTCTTGTACTTGAAGATGTCTGTACGTGGGCTAACGTGATTCCCCACAGGTTGAGGCTCGATGCCAAAATTTTGCGTGCCATTCTCGAAAAGTGTGATGTTTGTGTCCACGATGGGTTTGATGTATCTGCGCGATACGGTCGAACTGAAGGCTGGTTCTGTGTAGTCCCATTTTACTTTGTATTCTGTCTCCATATGGACGCAACGGGCGATTTGAGGTTGATAGTGATGGGTCCAACTGGTGGTGAGGGGATCGTCCTGGGCTAGAACCTGGCTGGTGTTGTAAGACCAGCCAATCCACAGCACTGGTTCGGATTTGAAGACACCAAGGTCATCAGGAATTGGTCCAACAGGATAGCCACCGGGACCCTTTTTGAACACGGCATTCTGTGGCCGCGAGTACGCACCAAGGTCCACGTTTGCGTGGTATATTTCACTACCCATGGGAACAAGTTCGCTCATGTCAAATGGCGCTCCTAGCTCTTTCAGCGTGCCGATATCGTTGATTCCGTTTGCCACCTCTGTGCACTGATAGCCTGGCGCGATGAATACATGCTCGTAAGTACAATTATATGCGCCTCCACAGGCATCCTGACGGGCTCTTGACCTCACGTTCGGGTGGTCCATGTTGTTGTACGCCAGCAACAGCGCAATCCTTGTGAGTTCCGCAGAAGGCTGGTCGTAATAGTCGAACATTCCAGGGGCTAATGCATCGCGATCCGTTGTGTTGTAGAACATCGTCGACCTTCTGTTGGAGCCATCGGGTAGCTTCGCAGGCACGCGCCAATTCTTGTCTGTCTCTGCAGTGAAATTGATTGTAGGTACCATGAGCTCAAGTGACTCTCTTTCCAAGTAGGTCCCGAAAGTAAGGGCGCCTGGCGAGAATATAATCGTTGCTAGAGGGATAAGCCAGATGACCATGGCGATGGTTACGACGATGGGAGCGCTCGAAACAGCTTCCCAGTTACCGAAAATAGAAGGATCCTCCGTGGCGCCGAAGAATTGGTCGATCGAGATTATTGATAAAGCCCGGTCGCGGAATGTCCTCCAGATGCGTTGTCTGTAAACTAGAACAATACATCCGCCAAATGCCACCTTTGCACAATAGGCCAAAGCGCGACCATATAGCACAAAACGGAACTTCTTGTCTTCATCGATGATGCTCTTGTGGTGAAGCCAGCGGTAAAGGAAATGCTGCAAGAGGGCAAATACGATACCCATGAAGAGACTGAACGCCATCAGACTGGGAACTCGCCAATGCACATGCCATTGTGCTGACTGAGTTGCTCGATGGGCGATCAGTCTTTCTGTCATCTGGTCCGTTCGCGATCGAGAAATTCCTGAACCGAAGGAGTACAGGGTATCTGGCGTTCGAGCAAACAGAGGTCGTGGTCCCGATGAGAACGTCGGTGGAGAGTTGAGGCCATGTTTAGTGATCGATTCTCCAGGGTGATGCCTCGCACTTGGTGTCGTTGGAAACGACACTGGTATCATCTGAATGCCCAGACCAGGATCATTATTTCCTTGAGATCTCAATCTTTGGCCTCTTTGCGATTCGTTTGAGTCATCGCTTATTCGTTCTGGTATGGAGGCATACTCTGGGCAACTAATGTGCACCGTTGGCGAGGCTAGCGGTGACACCGGATAATGCGCGGGGTGGGAATCCATTGTAGGCGAAGCAGTCAGCTACCGGCAGAGAACGTCAGGGAAGTGCATGATCTTGCTCTATCGTGAAGAAAGTACGAAAGGCTGCCACATGAGTTGGAAGGAAAGAATCAGATTGACTTGGAGCCTGGTAGGACATGGTTAATGATATGGGTCAACGTCTCAGCGTCTATCGAGCTATTCGCAATTTTGCAGCTGAATTGAATGTCTTCCTGGGCCGAGCTGCACATGTCAGCTGCACCGGTGTGTTGTCTGTATGGTGCAAAGCCGTAGGGAGGCGGTGCAGACATCCAAAGAACGTCGCGCAATGCGGATGCTGTATCATGCTTACTGCTGTCAGCCGCACCGCTTACCTACATTTGTACGTCAAATGTCTGTCATCAGCCACAGCGTTGTATCAGGCCATCAGGTAATGGGAGCTTCAAGCAGCTTGTCGAGTTGAGTTGTATCACGAAAAAAAAAGCCGCTTCGGAGGCTCAATGGCCGCGATGCAAACCCCTGGTGGACGCGCAGCCTGTGGAACGCATCCAAGAAAGATGCCGTTGTGTCTTCATATTTCACCCTCTAGAAATTAAAGATAGTTTGCGGCATGCGATGGTGGATCGTGGGCTAAAGCGGTGTCTGATGTTGTCGCGTCACGCATGCAGATCAGACCAACGCGTCACTCCCCAAAACGCACTTTCCCTTTTCAAGTTCGCGCTCACCTGCAACCTCAACCCAGCCCGAAAGACACCATATGACGACTAAGAGGTCCGCCACACCGAGAGCAAAATTCGCCTGCTATCAGCAAGCACCTTTTGCGATGCCTGAATGAGACATGGAACGAAGTCATATGCATGGTCGTTACATTCATTGTTCATGATTGTCTTGCACAACAGCCAGACCTATAAAGAGCAGGACGCCCAGGGGTGACAGCGGTTGAGCAAACATGCTCTAACCTTGAATCACAACGATATGGTTGTGTCGCCAGAATCTTGGCCTGTGTCGCCACCAGTTTTTCTTTCAACACATTGGCTTCGATCAAGAACGAATATGTCATCCACACTTGCACGAGCTGCTGCACTTAGGCGAGCAATTCGTCAGTCGGGTAATGATCAAATCGTCAACTAGTTGATCCAAGAAAAGTCAGGGAATCAAGTGCTGTATACCCTATCTCCTGGTACTTCAATGACTCCGGTGGATCTATGCAGCAAGAAGCGAGTAGTACTTTCAGAGGTCGAGGAAGGTATTGCTGGAGGGACCAAAGTTCGAGACATTGCTTTCTGGCAAAAGCTTTTTCACCTTGGACGGTGTAAAGGGATCGGGTCAGTACTTTGGTGATACCATTTGGTCTGCGGCAAGGTCTCAACCCGCACTCTAAAGGTCTTGTGGTACAAATGGTAAACGCAGAAGACACGCTTCGACTTCTTCGCTTCCTTAGTATTGCGTAATTGAACGCTTCGAGCACGTATTTATGCCCCACAGAGCCCCGAACTGCTGACAAATCAAGAATGCTCATTTCACTTAGACCCAGCATCAGCTCGAAATCGGTTAGCTATCAATCTGGAAGTAGTCCTCGTATATTGGCCCAACCATATGTTGAAGTCAAACACGCTACATGCCACACAAACTTCTTACAACACACCTAAACCCCCAACACATCAGACACTTCAAAACCATGGAAGACGAATCTATCCTCACCCAAATCTCCCGCGCAAAATGGTTCTTCTTCGACCTCGACGACACGCTCCACTCCTTCCGCCGCGCCTCCTCCCTGGCTACTACATCAACACTCTCCCTGATCCTGATCCACCACACCCACCTTAATCTCTCAGACCTGCAAACCTCATACACCCGCATCCTCGCCTCACGCACCAAATCCGCCTTCGCAGACGGTAAAACATCTCACGAGTACCGTGCCGAGCGCTTCCGCATGCTCCTCGCAGAACACGGCGTGCAAGATGATGCACAGCTAATGGAAGCGCTGCTGGAGTGCTATGAGAAGACTCTGATGCAGAATCTTGAAGCAAAAGAGGGTGCGATGGCGCTTCTGCACGCTATTAAAGCGCGGGGGAAGAAGATTGCGGTTGTGACTGAGGGCCCGCAAGATGCGCAGGAACGCACGGTTGAGGCGTTGGGACTCGGGCGTTTTGTTGATTATCTCGCGACGACAAATGCGCTTGGCGTAGCGAAAGTTGATGGGATGTTTGGGCGCGTGTTGGAGAAGGTGGGTGTGAGGGGGGAAGATGTGGTTGTTGTGGGGGATAGTTGGGATCGCGACATAGTGCCTGCAAGGAAGATTGGGCTGACGTGTGTTTGGTTCAACTCGCAGAGCGAAAAAGAGAACAACGTAAGAGAAGAAGGAGTTATTCACATCCGAAGCCTGAAAGACTTGGAAGATATCATATAATTCATGTTTCCTACGCAAACCCTGCCATCCCTAAACTATCCTCCCACAACCTCTCCTCCCCATCCGTATCATAACACCACGCCGCATACCCCTCGTTCGCATACTCGAACATACCTTCCTCGCGCCCCACCTCCTCTCTACTCCCCTGCTCCACCATGCCGCTCAAATACCTGCCTCCTTTACTTGCCCACTCCTTACTCACCGCAGCGTAAACCTGCGTCGCCGCGCCCTGCGCACTGCTCTTGAACGTGCACACCAGCGCCTCGTCACTAGACAATGCAGCTAATTCCACTTCGGGCACGTGCTTCGTGAGCCCAGAGTTCTCAGTGATGCCGCCGGGATGCACAGACGTGGCGTGCAAATTGCGGGCACCAAAGTGGCGCTCGATGGCGTTTGGCCATCCATATATTCGCCGTTTTGGACTGCGCGTATGCGTCCCAGGGCGAGTATTCCGTCGCGTCGTAATGGTAGTCACCCACATGCACGCCCAAGCCGAAGATGTGTGCGGCTAGACTGGTTACGCTGACGTATCTGCTGGAATATTGGGGCGTTGCGCGGGCCAGCATTGCATCTTTGAGGAGCTGGAAGAGCAGGAAGTGGGCGAGGTGGTTGGTGGCGAATTGTTGCTCGAAGCCGTCGGATGTGAGGCTGTAGAGCGTTGCCATTATACCTGCGTTGGCAACGAGGACGTTCAACCGCCCCTTGTCTTAGACAGGAACTCTGCAGCGCCGGCACACATGCTGGACAGCGAGGACAGGTCCATTTCGATGAGGTCGATTGGGCCACCGGAGGGGTGATGCTCAGAGAGGAGTTGGGAAACGACGGTTTGGCTTTTGGGCATGTGCGGAAGCCTAAACTGCAGCTTTGGAATGTGGGTCAGCTTCCGACATTATCCATGCGATGGTGCGAATGTCAAGCGTTTCGTCCGTAGGGCGCATCGCATGCTTTTAGCGAACGTTTCGAGCTTGAACATGGGTGAACATTAGTTTCAATACCCGCAGATTTGCGGTGCTGGCAATGTCAGATAACGACGAGTTTGTGAAAATTATACCATTGTATTCGACAGACCATCTTCATCTCATCTGGAGCGACAACGTACTGTTCACATCTCCGCCAACGCCACGCAATGCCTCACGCTCATGATATCTTCAACTCCATTCATACGCCTTCTGCACATCCCCAGCGCCCTCGCGGGACCTAAAAGTCCTTTGTCAAATCGTAAATCTTCTGGATCTCTGCCAACTGCCCCTCATGGTCAAACTTCAAATCCTTGAGTAGTCCATCTCCGAAGCCAAACACCCAGCCATGCACGACCGGGAACTCGTTTTCCGCCCAGCACTGCTGCACCGCGGCCGTCTTGATGACATTCCTGCACTGCTCGTGCACATTCAACTCAACCAGGCGATCGTACTTCTTCTCAGAGTCGGTAATCGCGTCGAGTTCATCCTGATGCAGCCTGTACACGTCGCGGATGTTCCGCAGCCACGGGTTCAACAGGCCCATGTCCTTGGGTGTCATGGCGGCCTTGACGCCGCCGCAGCCGTAGTGCCCGCACACGACGATGTGCTTTACCTTCAGGTGGCGCACAGCGTAGTTGACCACGGACATGACGTTGAGGTCGATGTTGTTGACGAGGTTGGCGATGTTGCGGTGGATGAACATCTCGCCGGGCTCGAGGCCTGTGATGGCTTCGGCGGGGATGCGAGAGTCGGAGCAGCCTAATGCGCGTGTTGTCAGCTTCCAGTTGCGTTCCATATCTACTGCACGTGTCTTGCGCTTGTGTGACTCGAGAAGTGTTTTGTGAACTCACCAATCCACAAATACTCAGGCGCCTGACCAGCTGTCAAGTCGCTGAAGAACTCGGGCTTCTTCTTCCGCATCTCATCCGCCCATTTTTTATTGTTCTCAAAGATGCGATCATGGCTCTGCTGGAGGTACTTGCGCACCTCCTTTGTCTTTTCCGGGTCTTCGGCGGCCATTCCAGCGATAGAGTTCCAGTTGAGCGAGAAGTGTCGAGTAGCTGCGTGTGCAGAAGAAGAAGGCAGAAGGAAAGGACCCTTCGCAGCAGCGAGGGGAGAGATATAGCGGCCCGCCCGGACAACGTGGGGTGCCCGTCGCAGCAAATGCATCATGACGAGAAAGGCCAAGTGTCTCACCAACGCGACCTTCGACACACTCGAGCTGTCGAGCTTACCCCCCTCTTTTTTTTTGCTTATGCGGGCCTGCGGGCAGAACGCGGTGCAATTGCGAGTTGGGGCGACGCGCGATTGGGCGCTCTGACGTCAAAGGATTGGATAACCTGGGTGACGATCATGGCTTTAGCGCGCAGATCTATCATCTATCATGTATCGTGCAACGGCGGAGAAAGTCAAGACGGTCACTGCAGCACGTAGTCAATCTATTATCTTTCTGTCCAACACTCCAAGCACGCGAGATATGCCGGGTATCCAGCTAGATGACGCCCAGAAATCGATAATTTTGAACCACGCCAATCGCTTGCTGGGCGCAAGACAACATCCCAAGACGATCTGCCCCTCCGAAATTGCCCGTGCATTCTCAGCTCAGGAATTGCAGAGTCTCGGCGCCGCAGAGTGGAGAGAGACTATGGACACTGTGCGACAAGTCGTATGGGAAAAGCGGCAAGCTGGGGAGGTCGAGGTGATGCAGAAGGGCGAGGTTGTGGGGGTGGAGAGTTTGGAGGAAATCAGAGGGCCGATCAGGCTGAGGATGGTTAAAAAGTAATATTATGTATGATAGTGTCCATGCTATGCGATGTCCCAATAATGCTGTGTACAAAGGAAAGGATATCGTGTTCGTCCAACAACTCCATGAACGCCGTCTACCAATGCAGGCATTGTGGAATCATGTTTCGGGGTGCTTGGCACCACTTTCATCCAGGCCTTGCCACTTTTCGTCCCAGCCGTGCTTGGTGTCGGTTGCGTTGCCTGCATTTCCTTCTTGCGCCAGCTTGCGTATGTCGCTCCAGTACTCCAGCTCCTTGCATTCTGCGTCTGCAGCCTCAATAGCTTTCATAAGATTGTTGATCCTGCGTTCTTCGGCGTCGCCTTCTGGTTTTCCCGATGCTATGTGCTCGTCGCGGTGTGACTTGGCGGCCTCGAAGCGGTCCATGAGCGTGGAGAGGAGCTGGCGGCGCGAGTTTTGGAAGATGAGCATTGACATGATGGCGGGTATCTACAATCGTTAGTCGGTCCTCGTCAATGCCAGAGACGCGGCCATACCTGTTCTGCAAGGTAGTGCAGCTCTTCCCCGCCGTCGTCGATAAACTTGTGGATGAGGACAATCTTCTCGCGGTCGATTGCCGCCTTCTTCAGCTTGCTCATAAGTGTCGCAATGTCCTTGACCTCTTCGTTCAAAGAGTTCATGCTGCTGTCTTGCGCACTCGCACTCAGCGTACCCAGCGTAGCGGACCTGGCTAGTGTTGTGCCGACGCTGAAGGTCTCGCCAAACAGCCGCTCTCGCTGACTCGCCTTGGTCTTCGGCGGCAGCTTTTGCTTTACGCGTTTTCGTAGCCAACGTCTCCGCCTGACGAAGCTGTGGAACCACGGGTGGTTGCCGTGCCATGGCGAGCCTTTGAACAGCAAGCTATACTGCCAGCCCTCCTCGTCGACATCCAGGCTCATGTCTACATACCAACTCTTCCAATCCCACACCCAGCTGGGGTCAGGCACCTGTGCATTTGTGATGTTGACGGCGGAAGGCCTGAACTTTGCGTCCACCCATGGTGCGGGGTCAATCTTGAAGTTCCACAGCGCTTTCGAGGAGAAGAGAGGTATGCCGAAGACGAACCACCCTCGCTGATTCTCGTATAGTATGTCGATGTGTGCGTCTGCCGTGTGTGGAGGAGGAGAGGCTTCGGTGCGTGTCTCCGGCGTGTTGCTGCCATTCGTGTGGTCCACGAGGCTTATCTGTTGGTCTGCCATGCCGGAGCTGTGCTGATGAAGTTTTAGGCGTCACGCCGTTACTATCGTGAATGCATAGGGTCGGTGTGTTTGGTGGGCAAGTACGGTGTGTCAAGCGTAAAGGGGCGCGCACGATATCGTCGTCAACATAGGAAATCACGACACTGCTTGTAGCGATAGTGCAGTCGCAATTGCACGACCGATTGATGAGTAAGAATGACAGGAGACGATAGAATCCAAGCTAGAGAGCGGCAGACTTCCTGGCTCTTCACAAGCCTCGTGATGGCGATCTGGTTCGCGCGCCACGGTAGTGGACCGTGCATACCAAAAGCTAGGGACTGACGTCACAGCTTGACAAGCACATGCATCATCATAGTTTCCCCTCCCATAAGTATCTTCCGCCCTTCCTTGTACTCGCACACTCAATCCGCGAAATTCACTATCTGAAATACCTCAAGTCTACTCAAATCTCACCTAAACCATCAAACTACCATCAATCACAATGTCTGGCCGTGCCGTTCCCGCGCTTGGTGCTATTGCCGCAGGTGGCATTGGTTACTACCTGTACACTGCTGGAGGAGATCCCAAGCTTGCTGAGAAGAAGGCTGAGCGTAAGTTATGAGCTTTCGGAGAATGTATGCGCCCGGACTAACAATTTCAGACGATGCCGCAAACGCAGTAAGACGTGTAAAGGGCGACTTCCCTGGCTCAGACAAGGAACTCAAGAAGGCTGGCGAGGAGGGTTACGAGGCAGTCCGCTCAACCGCCCAGCAATACGTACGTGATAATGCATCTTAGTAAGGACTACAAATCTGATTTTCCATAGGCCAACCAAGCCAAGGCCGAGGCACACAAGGCCGAGCAGAAGCTTGACCAGTACAGTGTCGAGGCCAGGAAGAAGTACGAGGAGGCCAAGGCCCAGGCCGAGAGGGAGTTTGCCAGCACCCGCAAGGAGGTCAACTCTGCCGTTGATACTTTCGACAAGAAAACCATCGAGGCAACAAAAGAGACCAAGAGCTGGTTCGGTTCGTGGTTCAGATAGATGCTGGACTAGGAGACAGACGATGGAGTAATTATCAGGATGTAGTGATTGGAAGTAGCATTGCTGTTTAGCACCGGCGTACGGGGGAGTCGCTTTTAATCTCAATGAGACTTACGATGTTCTTCTGACAAGCTTTGCCGCAATATGTTTGTTTTTCGAAATGTTGAAATTAGGGGCGGCGATCAAGGGACAGTTGAAGGATGTGCAGCACGTGAGGACAGGCTCCACTCAAGGCGCTCAGACACTTCACCCAGCCGTTGCACGGCAGCGCATCCCAGGACGCTCATCGCAGTGCAGTAGATGCAAGAATTGCGAAAATGATTAGTCGAAAGCTACGCTTGACTCGTTTCGTGAATTGATGAGATACTACTCACAGCGCATTGTCATTGGCTGACGCGAAACGCGTTCGCGTGTCGCGCCAAGAAGCAGGAGCGCGTTTCGCTCTTTCCTGTTTTGCCAACCCCTCGGCACATAAACACTGCAAACGTCGTCCAGCACGGCGCCCACGACACAATACTCGACTCCATTGATTTCTTTATCTCATCGCTGTATCCATTGTACTATCATCACCCGCCATGTCGCCTATTGCTCCCGGCCAGCTCCCAACGGAGCTCGTCAACCTCCTGGCGCTCCACTCATCCTTTCTCACTGCGCTGTCGCTGCACTACGCACACAACGGCACTTCATCGCCCGCAGACGTCCGAGACTTGTGCATGTCGGCCACCAAAGTTTGGCGGCAGCGACAGGTTACCTTCGATGACATCCGACTTCTCTTGGGCGTCCTCGACCACGGCCCGTCCGGCAAACACAACCCCTACTACCTCTCCGACTACGGCCGCGGAAAGGTCTGCCTCGAGATCAAGGAGAGCAGTCCACTCATGAATGGCATGACGCACCTAAACGAGCAAGCGCTTCAAGATCTGTTCAAGGACGGGCTAGACAGCCTTTGGGCGCAATGGCGGACCTCTCAGCAGCTCATGACGCGTCCGATCGCGACTCTCAAGCGAACACGTGGACGACCAAAGAAGGCAGATATCCAGCAGACACGTATGGACACGTACCTCGATGACGACTCCATGTCAGGGTTCCTCTCTCAGCTGCCTCTCGCCCAGGTTACAACCTGCGAATCGCTCGTCGCGCTCGCGCCGTCACAGGAAAAGGGCCGCAAGAGGCTAAGGGAATTCAAGGAAAGCGTACAGCAAGGACGCGCGAAGAAGACCAGGCCTTCCTTGGGCAAAGAGAACGAGTGTCAGCAGCCAGTCCAGACCAAGATGACAGAGTTCGCTGCGGTTCGCAAGACAAATCTACTCGACCGCATCCTTGCCAAACAGGAAGCAGCCAAATCCGGGCCCGCCGCACCGACTCCCGCCGAGATGCAACGCACAGCTGCTCTGCAACGCACGCCTGAAGTTCTTCGCGTGCTTTCCCTGCTGTGCGCCAGCAAGCCCGGCATGCGCGTATCCTTCTCCACAGCTACCCTCGTTCAGTCACTGCGAAGCTCAATACGGTCACCAATCTCTCAAGAGGAGGCAATGAAGTGTCTCGAGGTCTTGGCCACCGAAGTGGCACCTGGATATGTATCCGTCGTCACCATGGGCACCATGTCCAGTGTCGTTGTAAATCAGGCAGCGAGGCCAACGGATGTTAAGGGCCGTCTTGTAGCTCTTGGTGTTGCGTAGGCCCAGCGCACGATTGATTGTTCTTTATTAGAGTATCCTGGATAAAGTTTGCTTTTCTGTTTTGCATGGCGGGCCGGTTTGGTCATGTTCTGTTCCGAAACACTTGTGCTTCAGCTATACCACCCCATCTAATATCAACCGCCTATCATCAACCCCGCTATTCTGTTGGCGTGTTTTTTTCTTATCGAGATCTGACGCACGCTGTGTATCGCGTCCCGCGTACTGTCCGCTCCGAAACTTCGAGACGCGCTAACACGCGTCCAAACCTGTCCGATCGCACCTTCAACATGGAACATTGCGGGGATGCCCTGCTAAGCTTTAAGGTACCGATCCCGACCCCACTTCTTGGACGTTCGAGACTTGTCACTTGGTGCAGCCTTTCCAGAACAGGATCTACAGCGGCAGCAAGCCGTCTAGCTCAACCCAGGCACCATGTCCCGTTCCTGTCAACTGAATCAAGACAACTAGCCTGGACCTGGAGCGCATGATGAGGCCAAGTCTCATGTGTACCCAACATCTTCTAGGTGATTGAGTCCGGTGCACCGAGAGATGGAGCATCGAGCCGGTGGTTGAAAACGAACATATATATGACCCAAGGCACGCAAATTGAAGAGCCATAAATCCACCACCCAGACAAGCAACTACAAATTTACCAAAAGTACTCCAAGATGAAGTCATCAAGTGTCATTCTCGCCTTCTCAGCACTGCTGGTGCAGAGCGCACTGGCTGCGCCTCACGTTTTCGTTGTGCCTCGTCAAGGTTAGTCAAGTATTTTGACTTTGGCAAACTATAAGATTGACAGATTGTAGATGCTACGCTCCCAAGCCCTGCTGCTGGAGGCGCTGCCCCGCCCGCGCCTCCAACTGGCGCTGCTCCAACAGGTGCACCTCCGGCACCGCCTGCTGACGGTGAGGGAAAAGGCAAGGCAAAGGGCACTGGTGCTCCGGATGCCAAAGGCGATGCCAAGGGTGCAGCTAAGGGCAAAGGTGCCGGTGCAGCTCCTCCTACTCCACCTGCTGCGGGCGGAGCACCACCAGTGGGAGCCGCACCTCCTGCTCCACCAGCGGGAGCCGCACCTCCTGCTCCTCCAGCGGGAGCTGCACCTCCTGCACCACCAGCGGGAGCCGCACCTCCTGCTCCACCAGCGGGAGCTGCACCTCCTGCCCCACCATCTGGTGCCGCTGCCCCGCCTCCACCTGCTGCAGGCGGAGCATCTGGTGCGGGCGGAGCGCCTGCTGCGGGCGAATCACCTGCCCCAGCAGCAGCAGCCATGAGGAAAAGAGCTACACCTGACGCAGCTCTTCCTCCTCCACCGCCGGCTGCTGAGTCTGGCCTCCCACCTCCGCCACCACCTGCAGGCTGTGAGGCCCCCCCTCCCCCTCCACCAGCCGCTGGCGCCGCCGCCGCCGCTGCCGCTGATGCTGTTCCCCCTCCTCCTCCTGCTGGTGGCGCCCCTGACGCCAAAGCCTGCCCTCCGGGTCCGGCCGCGAACGGCACTTTGCCGGATGCGAAGGGCAAGAAGGGCAAGGGCAAGAGCGTGGGTGCGGGACCAGTGCCGCTTCACAGGAGGCATTAGAAGCCAGGGGTGTGTGTTAGAGGTTTCTGTACGATTATATAACAGCCCCAGGAGGGTTTCATTAAATGTATTTTCTTAAAAGATATGGATAGGGGTATGGAATTGGAGTTGGGGTTGGGAAAGGATAAAGAATGAATTAAAATCAATTGATGGGACGTCTACAATTGCTGTTTTGTTTCGAAGGATAGTGCTGATTGTATGTCTGGTTGCAGCGACGTGTGCAGTAAGAAGCATGCTATACCATCATCAAAGAAAGAAATGTAGTTTTGCTTGCAAGGGATACACAAGTACGCGTAACATCCAGCTCCTCAAGTCCCCATTTCGTGCACTCAGTCCTATTGATTGTCACGCGATCCGTTGAAGCAACGATAGTTCATCCGCGTACATCGACACCAAGAGACACAAAACCCACGATTGCCAGCTCTCACCAAAGAGAATCGCGATCTGCCCGTACGAGGACTGCTAAGCAGAGGTGCAAATAGACCACATCTGCCGCCACGTGCGCAACTTGCATATCAAATCGACAGAAGTTCTTGGTGGACTGTTAGCTGCAGACGACGAGATGGCTGCAGAAACGATCACTTGGGCGGATCTACCTGCCTCACATTCTTATGCTCTGTCAAAGCTGCCCGATCTGCTTCGTCTCGTGAATGTTCCCTTACGTTGATCAGAAGTCCTGAAGTTACTCGATGCTTTCGATCGCGACTCTTGATATTTGAGAAGTGGACGTAGCTGTCTGGCCAGGTAAGCCATGTGCAGTTTGATCTATAACTTGAGAGGCTGTCGCTGTCTCTCGTGACTCGAAAGTGAGGTCACAGCATGGGCACCCGGGCTTGTTACCAACTTCACGAATGTGGGCAAATGCAAACCTCCCTCTTCTAATGGCTGGCTGTTTTTGTTTCCGTTTTCGCATCAGTGTCATACTCTACGAGCTGCCCATCTCGCAGGCGCTTCAGTGACACGACACTAGCTTATGCTACCGGTACGGTGGCGCCCATGATACCACGATTAGCCTGAGCTGTAAGGGCCTGCAGGGTTTTGTTTACGGCGACATTTTGTGCCTTCGTGCAAGATGTGCGCAGCAGGTTTGAAGCCTTGTCTTCAAGGTCTAGGACATCCAGGGTGTATTGACGCTGAAGAGTGAATACTGTCTCTATTTGTATTCCAAGTCAACTTTCCGGTGGTGCTTGGTGCTTGGGGGCTATGGGGAGCTTGGGGAGCTGAAGGCCTTGGGAGCTCATGGAGAGCGACTTGGAGTTTGTGGCATGCTATTTGAGCTTGTCAAAAACTATCTCTCCTTGTGTGCTACCTTGATCCTGCAAAACGGACTGTCGATTCATTAGTCGCGAGGTTAGTCTTGTCTATATTATTGCCTTCCAGCGGCAGAAACCGTAACAAAGCAGCCATGTTGCGTCCTGTGAACGTTTGAACACTGATGTCACGAAAGAGGATGTCACGGTTCGATCGAGACGCGACGGATGTGAGGCGGTATTTGATAAGTGAAAAAAGAACGACAAGAACGTGCGCCAGTGGAAAACGTCAGAAGCTAATTCAGCTAGATCCATATCAATAAAGATAGACTATGGGATCAGATATTCATAAAACTGGTCGAGTTGCAGCGTGCCAGTCGTGCGAGTAGGCAGAGGTTGACGTGGTAGTGTAAACATTGGGAACAAAAAAGCATAAAAAGCAAAAAAAAGACACTAAGCCCGACGCGGGGGTCGAACCCGCAACCTTGAGATTGGATCAATCGCTTTCTGAGAAAGTGAAACTAAGAGTCTCACGCTCTACCGATTGACTGGATTGATGTTAGGTTGTGTTGGAAGTGATTGAGGAGGTTGAAACTTACGCTAACCAGGCTGATATTTGATGGGAAGACTGCCAGTTTATACCTTTATATTGAGCGCAGATTTTCGGGCGTTACAGTAACACAAATTGCGTTCTGGCAGCATGTGAGGAGATTGGGCTAAAGAAATGCTCCCTGTTCGATATCGGAGCTTCATAGGCCTTGATGGTGGCGGGACATCGAAAATTTGGGTTGCTTAGCTTACCCCACTTTGAGATGAGGCAGGGTAGTTAGCACAAGACACACAAGAGATCTGAATGCGTCTGAACACTTAACTTGAGTATAAACTCATCGAGGCATCTAATTCTAGAGCGTTCAGTATGCCACTGATTGCTAGTGACATCGCAAGTCAAGATTCGTGCATTATCTCGAAGTGCGGTTGCATCTCACCTTACCAAACATAAACTCAAGGACAATACTTGCAAGAAACACTTTGTCTAATGCTTTCAAGTATTGCTATCTAGTCTAGGAGCAAATAGGTTTTGACTTCCATCAGACCAACGGACATAATTGTAAAGGACCATTGCATGGTTTTGATTACCACCGCCGAATTCCCCCGCATCACACCATCGCTTCCCACATCCGACAGCCTTACCATAGCGCGCCGTTACGTCAGTCCTTGTAACATCCAACATCTTGTGAGATAACATAGCATACTCAAGTACCCATCAACAACAGCTAGGAATATCCAAACGTTAGCACGACACCATCGACATGAGCCAATACCACTTCGAAACACCAAAGCTGGACCTCGATCCGAACTTCAAAACCTTCTTCCAAGACTTCTACGCCACGTCCGACACACCAGATGCCCATGAACATTATGCAAAGTACTTCACAGACGATGCAACGCTGATTATGGCGAGTAAGAAAGTCGAAGGACATGATGGTAACCCGCCCGAACCTAGTTTCTCAACAACCCTAACACGACTCTAGAAATCCTCGCTCTGCGCAAATCCATGTGGGAAAAAGTATCGTCGCGCTCGCACAACCCCATCAAGATTTTTCCGTTTGGCTCGTACTCTGATGAGGTGATGCTGTACGGCACGGTCAAGTATGGACTGAAAGATGGGGGCGAGAAGGAGGTGGACTGGGCGGCGAGAGCGAAGTTGGTTAATGAAGATGGGAAGATTAGGATGAGCTTCTATCAGGTTTATTTGGTAAGATTTTGCGGGAGAAGAGAGCTAGATGCATATGAGCTAATACATTGATGTAGGATACTGCACCACAGGCGAAATAAGTGCGGTGAAAAGTAGGTCAAGAGGAGGTCCTGGCTGCAAAGTCTCCAAAGATGGTATGGGTGAGGTCACTTAGGTTTAAGAATAATTTGCTGCTGATTGATTTACAAGGAAAGCGACCAGGATGCAGCGGCAGCGCAGCCTATTTGATAGCCCGAAGTTATACAAAGGAACTTGTCGTAGAATCCGGGACCTGATGATACTGAGGTAGCTTCAGGCTGTTGCAATGGCTCTTTGCACTTTCTCTGTTCACTCTCGCTAGCATGTGGTAACCTGCGGCCTTGTGGGGATATTCACATATTTCTATATCCTAGAATAGGCATATTGTTCTCGATGTTGTGTTCATTTTGGTCGCTCAATGCAACCTCTTTGGTATCTGTCGGCGCCAAAGTGGCCAGACATGAGAGTTTCCCCAGCTCATGCGGTATGCCGTACCTTTTTCATCCTCTCTGCTCAGAAGCGCACCTACGCTGTCTCATCTGCAAGTAGATCTCGCGAATCATCGTTGGCCCTCGCTTTACCTCCGCCACGACCGCCACCTCTACCTCCCCTCCCTCCACGTCCACCTCTTTTGCCCCGACCATCACCAACTTCCTTTTTCCACTCCTCAACATCTACCACGACACCTTCCGGCAGCTTGCCATCGCTCATCAACACACCTCCATCCTTCTTCCGGCTCTCTACCCGCTTGAAGAACTCATATGACAAGAACCCCTCCTCGTTTCCTTCTGTCAAGATCACACCGTTCTCGCTGATGTAGAACTTGATATTCGCAGCTAGCGCAGCTTGTATGTCGATATATACAAGGATGCTTGAGTTCTTACGCATACCCGAGATGACTGGTGCGGCTTCTTTCTCCTCAGTCGAAGCGGTGTCGATAGCAAGCGACTTGAAGCCAGCGGGCAGACCGGAAGCAAAGTGAATATGATTGCGTCCCATTCTCCTCAAACCACCGCTCTTCAAGATCAAGCGCCATGCAGGCTCGTCGGTTCCATGGACCACGGTGTCGGGTACATTACCTGCTTCGACTGTGACTGGAGTTAGAAGACCTTCCACATCTACTTTAATGGAGTGCCCTTGATTTGCGCGGATGAGGTAGTCTGCTGGGTTGTCTGACTCTGTGATGGTTTCGAGAGTCTCATTAGCGAGATCCTCTAGCTGTGCTGCGTCCTCTTCTGACTTTGACTGATCTTGTGAAGCGGCTAGGATCATCGAGAAGCGCTTTTTCTCATTGTTGACTACAGCGTCGCGAAGTTCCGGAAACGTGATGTTCAATCCCTTCAGTGCGCGCGTGTTGAGCTGGAAGTTGTTAGATTCGAATTAATCTTACAGGGTGTCCAATGAGCGGACTTCTTATGCGTGTATTTAGTTCGATTGCCACATGTAGTATAGATGTAACTCGTCGTCTTGAACCGGGGGCAAACTTACTGCGTCTTGCACATTGACATATCCTCCCTTGCCCAACTTCAGTCCTTCCGAACCGGCACCATGCCTTAGCAACCAGCTAATCTTTTTTGAAACTTGCACTTCTCTAGATTGGTTTGCTGGATTGCGGCTACCGCCGCCACGACCACCTCGTGCCATCTCTTTCAAGGCTCTGGAGAAGAATTGTTTGCTTGAAATTTTGCTAGTGGGGGTGATGTAGACCTTTTAGAAGGACGCGAGCTTGCTTTGGTTTTCGTCGCAATTCGTTCAAAGTGAGTGATGCGAGAATGAGTCAGTATGTGTGCCTGACAGTGTATGAGCAAGCCTGGGTAGGCACGGAAAGGGTAAGGGCGAAAGGTTCGTGGTGGGGTGAGGGGTTTGCGACCAATCATGATGACGCACTAAAAGCTGTGTTGACATTCCAGCATCTCCATGGGCTGTTCTTGATCATCAATACTCTTTTTTGTTTTCATGCAGTGCATCGTTGTGATACATGCTATGCAACGACATACTCGGATGCAATCAAAAGCGTCTTATGCATATCACATAGTGCATATTGCTGCCTCATCGGCCTTATTCTTACTCCTTCGTGTCTAGCCTCAATCCTTCATCCAGAGATGTACTCATCCATTCTCAATCTCACATAGATCCATTCTAAAATTTCGAAACGAAGAACGGCCGTAAAAATGTCTTCAACCATGACCATCGAAGCGATCGAGCTCCAGCCACTTCCATCAGGTCCCAAACCCGCCTCCGAGCACTCCAACCACGAAACCATCACTCCGCTCAACATGCCCTCAGACCCAATATCGGAATTCCAGTCTCTATCCAAACTCCAACTAACCATGACAATCCTGCAACCCTCCCTCGTGAATTTCTTCGGTAGTTTCACATCCGGCATCATCACCGTCGGTCTCCCGATAATCGCGTCTTCTATCTCACTCCAACGCTCTTTATACCTCTGGCCCGCCTCAGTCTAAAGTCTCACATGCGGCGCCGCCCTACTGATCGCTGGATCCGTCGCTGACATTATTGGCCCGCGACGCGTCGAAATCTGCGGCATGTTTATACTCGGAACAAGTATCTTGGCCTGTGGATTCGCACAAACCGGCATCCAGCTCGTCGTATTTCGCGCTTTTCAGGGCCTAGCACTTGCCATGCATATCCCCGCAAGTGTTTCGATTATCGCGAACGCGGTGCCGGCGGGTAGGGCGAGGAATGTGGGATTCAGCTGTCTGGGATTGAGCCAGCCATTGGGATTTTCGTTTGGCATGGTGCTGAGTGGTATCATGATTGAGAGGATTGGGTGGAGGTCTGGGTTCTATCTGTGTGGAGCTGGGATCTTAGTGAATGCGGTCCTTTCGTGGATCTATTTACCGAAGATGAAAGGTGAGGCCGAGAGTTTGTCAAAGCACGATCTGACGAAGAAGCTGTGGACAGAGGTCGATTGGGTTGGAGGGATTATTGCTGGTAGCGGATTGGCGTTGTTGTCATACGTCTTTGCGTAAGTGCTCATGGCCGTTCCAAACTCAAGACTAACATGATACAGAATGGTTAGCGCCGACTTGACAACAATCCGATCCGCGTCCACAGCCTCCCTCCTCGCCATCAGCCTTGTGCTATTCATCGCATTCCCCGTGTGGATGCGATACCGCGAAACCCACGGACAATCCGCCCTGATCCCCAACTCGCTCTGGAACCTGCCGTTCTCCAGCATATGCGCACTCGTCGCACTGTCCTACGGTGCAATGAACTCAATGTCAATCTTCTGCAGCCTGTACTTCCAAGAAGTGCAAAACCACTCCCCGCTTATCGCATCCCTATACCTCCTCCCCAACCTCGTCATCGGCGTATTAATCAACCTAAGCATGGGCATCTTCGTCGATCGACTACCTGCCGGCTGGACTATTGTTGTATCCTCGCTGCTCTGTGCGCCGGCCCCGCTCATGATGGCGCTGGTCGATCCGAGCTGGAAGTACTACTACCTTGAGCTCTGGGCGCAAATACTCTCTCCCCTGGGCATAAACGTGCTCTTCACGGTCGGCCTCATCATCGTGAGCGATAACTTCTCGAAGGAGACGCAAGCGCTGGCGGGTGCGGTATTCAGTACCGCATCTCAGTTTGGCACAAGCTTGGGTGTTGGCGTGTGTCAAGTTGTTGCTCTGGGAGTGATGGGAGACTTGAGTTCGGAAGGTGCGACTTCGGGTAATGCTAGCGACATGCTGCGGGGGTATCGGGCGAGCTTCTGGGCAATGTTCGCCTCGATGGTGTTGTGCATTCTCATATCTATCGTGGGCTTGCGCCGGACTGGGAAGGTAGGTTTGAAGAAGGACTGATGGTACTAGGTATTTTGACAACAATTTTGTGCGCGCTCTGGATTACATTACTTTCATTGGTGTTCGACGTTCCCAAAGAATGTAGACAGAGTTGTCCAGCACAAAGCGTTCGAGGTCCTCTCTGCTTGAGAAGATTGGGGTTCTGCAAGTGATGCAGAGCCGGTCGATGATTAAGAGTCGGTCTGGAGCAGACAGTCAGCCATAGTAAGTAATGCAGCCGCAAAAATGGAATACATCGTGAGCGTATTGACGAAGAGCAACTCGTCTCGAGGCAATGCTTGCATGCCGTTGCAACATATAAGAGGTCGCGGTGGTGGGAATCCATGAAAGAAGTCGAGGACAAAATCCGGCCAATGAGGAGTTGCTATCTCAAGACTTATACGCCGGCGGCGGATCAATGTAATCCCTCACAACCTCCTCATCTACCCTCGCCCTTTCCGCTTCCACCCGCTCAATCTCATCCCACCCGGGTCCCGCCAAAACAGGCGCCTCCACACGCATCCCCCTCGCCCCACCCTGCTCCATTAACTCGACCCCTTCCTTAACAACCCTCTCCCTCTCCTCACTCCCCATCACCCTCCCCGCCCTCTTCCTCCCCCCACAACACCCGCAGCATCCATAACAGCAACAAACCGTGACCAGCGCGATGATGCCCACGATGACGCCTACGATGATGCCCGCCATCTCCCCACCCGTCAGTCCAGTCAATGCGTCTTCATCGTCATCATCGTCGGATTTCGGTCTCGATGTCGCCGTCGCGCTGGGGAATTCTGCAGTCTTGACGAGCACCACTGTCGGGCCTGCGTAGACTTCTGCTTCGCTCACGCCCGGCGCCTTTGCGCGCATGACTACCGCTAGCGTTTTTTCATTGCGTACGCCGGGGATGTTCAGCCCGAATGTGGTGTATAAGCTCTCGCCAACGAGAAGCGTCGTGTTTCCTGTGTTGTTGAGCCGTGGAGTGATGGATGTGCTGAGCGTGTAGCCGAGGGAGATTTTGGAGTCGTTGCCGTAGAAGGAGCGCGGGAAATAGAACGGGAATGAGTTGATGGTGTTGGAGACGCAGATGCGCGTGCCGTTGGGCGGGTAGCAGAAAGATGTGTTGGAGGCGAGTTGGCAGGCGGTTATGTTTGCGAGGAGGGAGGGTATTGGGGGTGTTGAGATGCAATCGGCTTTGGAGTGTTAGAGGGTTCGGGGGAAGGTTTGGGGAGGGAGACGGACTTGAGAAGTTACTCATTGTGAGTGTGGGAACGCGGTGTCGGGAGGTTGATGTGATGAAGACGCGCGAATTGATAATTTGGTGTGCAAGTTGTTCAATGATTTGCGCTTGAATCAAGCCATGCAGTCGACTTTAAGACGTTTGGCTCAAGTCTGACTCTCGCCTTTGACTACACAACACAAGCCACCTGCAGCGTGCTTTAGCGCAAGGCTGACAGGTTATTGACTGCACCTCTCAGCCACGTCACAACCGTGCAGCGATATGGAAGTAGTCCAGCAACACGAGTCCAACACCGGCACCCTCTCCAGCTCTGCCAAATCCGATTTCCTACGCGTTTGCGCATGTGGGATTTGTGAAGAAACATTTCATCTCTCTTTTGCATTCGCTTACCCTTGTCGCATGTGGTTGGTGTTGAAGAGGGGCCGACCAATAGCGAGCTGATGGTAATAACGTGGTTAGGCTCGTGATGTTCCGATACGGGAATTGACAATGGCACATCAAGCCACAGCCGGGCTGTGCATTCCAACGTCGGCGAGGTGTACTTCGGTGAACAATTTGGGAAGTAGACTGTGACAGAGTGGTGCTTGCATGACAAGATGACTGCGGAACATGGTGAACGCAAATGTAACGATTAAACATCAGAGATTAACTGGTATTGACGATGGAAACTAACCGCATGCAACGCCTCAACAAAGGAAGCTCGCTCGAAAATCCATATTCATATGTTCAGAAAACTGCATGTACCTGCACCAAACTAGTCTCAGCATGCGCAACCCTCCTTTGCGCCCTCTGTACGGGCACTGCCAAGATTCACTCGCGCGTCCTCTTGCCTGCCGAGGTTTGTCTGGCCACCGACGCCTCGTGGGCCTTTCAAGCTGGTCTCTGGAATTGCATTCGCAATCGCTGTAAAGACTTCTGCGACGTTCTGTCCGGTCTTTGCGCTGGTCTCGAAGAACAGCAGGCTCTCCTCTTCGGCATATGCCTTTGCAGTCTTGACGGGTACTCTCCGTGCGTCAGCGCCGTCTTCTTCCGTGGCATCCTCACCCTCAGCTGCCGGCGCATCGTCTGCGTCTTCAGTGACATCTTCTCCACCAGCAGTTGCCAGATCAGACTTGTTTCCAACGAGCGCGATGACGATGCCGGGCGAGGCTTGGCGATGTAGCTCGGCGACCCAGTGCTGGGCTTTTGTGAGGGACGAGGGTTTAGTGATATCGTAGACGACGAGCGCGGCCTGGGCGTTGCGGTAGTACATGGGCGCAAGGGACGCGAAGCGCTCTTGACCCGCCGTGTCCCAGATCTCAAACTTGATAGTTCGGGTTGGCAGGTTGCATTTCTGTGTGAGGAATGCGGCTGTCAGAGTGAGTCAGCATAGATCTGGCGAAGGCATGGATGTGTCTCGCCAGTAAGACATGATTCCGGATCAGACATTGCATACCTCCAATTGTGGGTTCCTTGTTTTCTTGAAAGTCGTTGTTGACGAAGCGCATAACGAGCGACGACTGCGATAAGATTAGCTTTCTGAGCTCAGCGATGTGTCTGCCCGTGCGATATACCTTTCCGACTGCTGCTTCGCCGAGCAAGACCAGCTTCACGCTGCTGCTCGGTTTCGGTTGCGCGGATCCGTCCGCCATTGCGATGATGTGGATGTGGGGGCGCGGTTTGCGATCGGAGGTGGTGGTAGCTAGTGCTGGGGACGGTTGAGCTTGAGGAAGAGGTATAGTGATCGTATAGCGATGTGTTGCGGGTGTAGAAACTGTGTCGTTGCAGGCAGATGCTCAACCGAATGGCGCCAAGCGGAGTGACGAAGTTGTCACACGTGACGCGGCCATATCGGGTAAGCTCGATTTTGCGCTGCCTACTGTTGCAGACGATTATACAGCGTCTTTGCTCCGACAAACTTCTAAGATGATCTCTGCGCCTTCACGAGATGGTCTGGTCTGGATGGAATCATAGAACCGAGTTGATCCGAAAGAATGCAAGAGCTGCGCAAGATTCAGGACTTGACATCAGACAACTACGGAAGTCTCGACGTCAAACTCTAGATACTTAGACTTTCTGGCCGAGCTGTTCATCTGGACGTATAAAGACGTGGTGGTTCGTAGAAGACGCTGAGGTCGCTTGCAGCCTCGCAACCAGTACGCCTCACGAATATGCAAGCATTCACCCACTGCATGGGAGTCATCTATCGCCTCATGTTGGATACCAAAAGCACGGAGACGTGACAATGTTAGCGCACTAACTTCATGGGAAATTAGATTGTGGGAGGTACAGCCTCTGTGTAAAAAAAAATCGTAGAACGTCTTGCGCTCAGTCTACCCAGGGCATAAAAAGAACAGGAATACGACTGGACATTGAGAAATGGAGGGAAATTATTTTGTACCAATGTGAGTTGTTGGTAACTTGGCACGCGACGTTCACTGGTTCGGAAAATCTCGCAGACATTGAGAGATGACCGAGTATGGAGAAAGGAAGGACGAATAAAAAAAGTCGGTCAGATAGTAGCCGAACAGTCGGGCCCTACACCATGAAAATTCCTGAACATCGACGGCACAAATCTCGAGAATTAGCAATCGACGATGGAATTCTGTCCCGATAAAGTTCGGGCGCTGCGCCTTGCAGAAAGAGTATAGCAGACGTATCTGACAGCCGGTCCGAAAGTTCGCCAAGGTGTAAGGTTGTGTAAAGGCCCGGATTGTGATGCGATTTCAAGGTTATCCATGGATGTCGTAGTCTTTGCACGTGACGACTAAAACGAAACCCTGGGAAGGTGGTACATAGGTACCGGAATAGCATGGCCTTGACGAAATGACCATGGCTGACCGGTGAGCGAGTCCCATTTCATGTACGCCAAGGTGGTGTGATTGTACATGACCGAGTCGACTACAGTGACCAGGGTGCATTCTCTAGCAATGCATAGTCTACACATGTCAACGGCCCAAATGCCCGAATCACGTCACGCTCCACAGAAAGGGCCAACGTCATCTATACACGTTGACGGCGCGGAGCAACTGGCCGACGATGTTACGAGAGCCTTGAGTAAGCGCGGGAATTTTTATTTTCTCAAATCACAGAGTGGGAACTTTTGGCCGCAGCCTGACGTCACTTTGTGGGGTTGGAAACTGGCAGCGCCGGCGAAATGTTTGGACTAGAAGCAAAAGTGGATCATGCGGATGTGTTCCATGGTCCATGGGGCGATGCCAGCTGTCAGCACGTGCAGCGAGGAAGCGGGGGAAGATGGGAAAAAGTTGGGCATACGAGGGGTTCCGAAGCAGCACACGTCAGTCGAGACGAGATGGTATTCTCTGCCATGGGAGATTGGTGATTGTGGCGTGGTGTAGCCTGGGCCAAGGGTCTGTCGTCCACATCTCTGGGAATCCCGAAGGGGAAGGCGCAGATTGGAACCCCTCACGCACCTGCATCAGGACAGCGATATCGAAACTAAGTACTCTGGTACCGATTCATCGCTCGCTACAGCTACGCACGACTCGCCCACCGCTACCTACAAACCGCCTTGCGCTGGCGGTGAAGGTAGAGTTCCAATGTCAATGTTGCAGAACGCCATGTCGCACCAAACAGGCTGGCCATCGCAAATGCAATTCCGTCGTCGCAAACAAGTTGACGGCCCGCGGCGGCCACGCGATCTCGACCGCGCCGATCGGTGTCCATCAAAGGCCCAGCCATGACTTGCAGCAAGGAACGGCTTTTCCACGGCAGACATCAGGTGTCGTCTCATGCCGCGGAGGGTCACCACAGCGCTCAGCGACCCCGCCCAGCGAATGACGGATGGGGAGGCGGCCGCTGCGAGCGCACATTGGAGCGACTGTTCATTATGCACAGACAATTGCGCGAGACAGATCGCCCGATGGCGCCAAGCCCAGTGTCTCGCTGTCAGAACCGCCTGGGTGAGACGGGTGTTGGGCGCATCGCCGGACTCGACAGCGAGAATGCACACAGAGGCGTCACGATGGGAAAAGGCGCGGCGAACAGCTGTTCAGCACGCGGTGATGCTGTGTAGCGCTCTCCCAGCCACGGCAGCGATGGTGCGGGTTAGTCAGCGGCCAAGTCGAACAAGCGCTCAGTTCCCCATGGCCTTGATCCGCGCGAACTGGCCCAAGCGATGGACGGTGGCAGCGCAGATCGGCGGCGCATCCGAATCCGGCGCTGGCCTCTATCGACTTCAGACGACGCTCGAATCACGCCTTGCGAGAGGGGAGGCTGCGCCGCTAGAGCTGGTCCCTCGATGCTGCATGAATTCGCGCCGCGCCAGGAACACGCACAGAAAGCGTCCCTGGATTCGGTGGCAGCAGCCTGAGGCCGAAATGCTGGCTGGGCGACCAAGAGGGCGCATCGAGGACTGAAACATGCAATTCGCCATGTCAGGGAGAGGCCGCGTAGCTGTCGCCTCACGAAGCAGCACGGCCTCTTCCAGAAAGTTGAAAGACGTCAAAGTTGGAGCGACCATGGACGGACGGCCTTGTTATTGCCGCAGCCCTCAGCCACGACGCAGGCGGTACCTGGTGAGGGGAGCTCGCCGGGGTGGACGACTTATCAGTGATCACGCTGGCGCCATGGCTGGGGCTGTCGCTGCGTCCGGCTGACCCCAGGGCCGCGTGCCAGCCTGCCTGGGCCCCGAATAATAAAAAGTTGCAGCGCTGCAATTGCTTGCTGCTTGCAACCGTAACGCATCTCTCACACTTGCGCCCTGGCCTCTGATCTGTGCTGCTGGCCGCCATAGCCCCCGTCTGAAACCTCAAGCATCGGCCGCATATTGCAGGCGCTCCGCGTGTAACGTCCCAGATCACCACGAGCACGGCCGCACACTCCGAAGTGGGGTCCATCCTATCGCATTCCAATACCTGTCCACACTTATTTTTTGGAAGGAGCGCCGCTCGTACCTGCCTAGGTGAACCGTGACTGTCTAGCAAACGCGCCTGGCCTTGCACACAAACGCTTCAATAATATAACCTTTGCTCTCGACACCACCTCCCTGCCCTGCCCTGCATCGCCCTCGGATCCCGATCAGCCGCATCTCGCTTTATCCCACCACGCCCTCCGTCACCTCGCAAGCTGTGCAACCCTCCGCCTGCCTGCGTCGCTGACTGACACTGCTGAGAACAAAGCACTTTTTTTGGCGAGGCTGCTCACTTTTGGTCACTTGTCACTTTTGGCACCATGACTGTCCTCAAGGTACGTACATGGCCTGCCCGGCACTTGCACATGTCAATTGGCGCTGACAGCTCCCGCGATCCAGGAACCGATTACTGTCCGGCCCAACACCCAACACCGTCACTCTGGCAGCGTAGCCGGCTCGCTGCCCAAGTCGCGGCCACACTCGCTCTCCACCGGCACCATAAACCCGGCGCATCGCGTCACCCGCAGAAAGAGCATGAGCTCGACGGCGGCCAGCAACGTCGCGGCTATGGCTGCCGCCGCCAAGGGCACAATAGGCGCGCCGCTCGAGGGCAGCAGCAGTAGCAGCAGCAGCTCGCGGCGCCTCTCCAAGCCTGCGTCGCAGTTCCGGGGCCCCGCGCTGGCACTGCACCCCGAGATGGCGTCGAGCATGCCTGGCAATGGCTCGCCGTTCCGCCCCGGCAGCTACAACCCAGCGGTGCACAGCGAAGCCATCACCGACGGTCCTACGCTGGCGTCTATGCCCGAGCACGAGAAGGGCAACTCCAAGTCGCGGAACCGCCGCGCGAGCGAGGGCTCACGTCTGTCCAAGGGCGACGGCAAGCGCGCAAGTGGTAGCGATCTGAGATGTGAAAAATGTGGGAAAGGCTACAAGCACAGCAGCTGTCTGACGAAGCACCTGTCAGTACCCCTTAGCCTAGCACTGTCCGCCCACACACTTTCACACCTCATGACGAATGCCCTTTCCTCTCTTGAACCGTGTCTAACTACAGCCCTACGCCACCATGCGCCACGATATGTTCTGTGTTGACTTTTGATCTAGTTGGGAGCACACGCCGGAATGGCAATACACATCTAAGCTGCTCATCTCCAAGCACCAGCAGGTGCAGCTGCTCGAGGCCGCGTCGGTCCTCGTTGCCATGAACAAGGAGAGCGATGCCGGCGATAGTGACCACTCGTCCGTATCGCCCCCGGCCTCGGGCTCATCCGACCTGCGCGACGAAGTGAGCTCCACTGAAACTACCCCGCCCCCGCAAATCGAGGATCATGCCGTAGGCTCCTACCCGCATTCTCATTTCGGCCACCGCTCCATCAAGCGATACTCCGGCAACAGCTCGGCTTACAGCCAGTCCTACCAGTCTGCCGTCTTTTCCGACAACGGAAACGGCCACCACTACCGCCAGTGGAGCAACGTGTCTGACCGTCCCACAACATCAGGCACGTCTGTTGCCGGCTCCTACCACGATGATGGCAATGACCACGCTGACCTTGCTGCCGCCGTCGGCTTGCTGAGCTGCTCTTACGGCACGCCCAAGTCGGGTCCCTCAGGCCTCCCTGCCGATGTGCCACCCGTGCCCCCGCTGCCTGCCAAGTTCCTTGAATTTAACCAAGGCCAGTCTCTGTCGGGCAACACCACCGTAACGCCCCAGCAGTCGAGTATGCGCAACAGCTATCGCTACCACAGCGAGAGCAAGGACGTTGACATGGACGACGATAACTTCGCCGACGAGGAAGACTACCGTCAGTCAAACTCGCGCAGCCGCGGCCGCATCGATGAGGACGACGATGCCTTCTTTGGGAGGATGGAGGAGTAGGCGACTTCGCTTCCTCACGTCCCAGCGTGTCCATACATGGATTTTTCTTTTCCACCTGCTGTTCTCCCGGCCTGTACCACAAACCGCACCTTGCCATTTAGCGATCCCCATCTCCGCAGACATCCACCTGTCCCTGGTCTCTTCCCCGTCGCATCCGCAAGCACCGATGAGAGGGCCTCCACGCCACGTTGTGCTCTTGAGGTTGAAGCTTCGAATCCGGGGGACTAGGTTAAATGCGTCGAGAGCCCTGGCATTTAAACCATATCAAACCGGAGTTTTCTTCTTTTCCCTTATTCTTCACATTTTGCCCGCCTACGCCTACCCCAACCATTAAACCACGGTATAACTACGACTCGACATTTTTGTTTTCCTCTGGAGGGTGAGGTGAGGGCATTGGATAATGCTGCCTTGGGGACCTTTTTTCGTTTGGCTACACACCCGTATATATTGCTGGACGAGGAGGGGGCGAGGGAGAGACAGAGATGTGGACGTTTGAATGTGAATCAAGGATCGAGAAGTTAATACCAATCTTTCGAGCCACCTATTTCTTCATGCACCGCTCGTGATGCTCAAAACGTGAAGAACAATGACCAGAGCAGAGAAGCAGAAAACAATGGAGGGCATCGCGAGTTGATAAGACCAACCCTTAAAAGGACCGAACCACCAAACCCTAAATATGTCTTTGTCCCGTCTAACCTACCTCATTCTGCAGTCATCCTACCTGACGCCGACCTTTCGCGACGAATGGGCAGGTCTTCCGCGGATGCTGTTTGCAGGTACTGGGCGCATGTGATGCTCGCATGTCATACGTGCGTAACTTATCTTTCCGACGGGCTAAGGGGAGACTAGGCAGACAGACGACACGATACCGACGTGAGGGAAGCAAAATCACCAAGTAGAACGCAGAGCGTGGGAGAAGGGACGAGAAGGGAAGGGGTTTACAAAGCAAAGGGAGGTGAAGAATCTTTAAGTACCCCAGGTGATGCGAAGGATTAATCCTTGATGTCGATCTTGCCCAAAGCTTCGAACCCTCGGTGGGGACGGACGGGGGCTTCAATGCAAGGCATGTCATTGGATCGTCGTTGTCGTTGTCGTTGTCGTCGTCGTTGCGGCGCGTACCACCTCCTTGTCTGGCAGATGTGTGTTGTGGTGCAGAGTCTTTTTTTTTCCTTTCCGCTGAGGGTTGGAATGGCGGGTGGGAGTGGTGCGTGCAAGCTTTATCAACTCGAGCGCAGAACAGCTGGGGGAAAAACGCGTTGTTGGTGGACGAAAAACCCACCCATGATGTAAAACGCGTGCGAGGCTGACCGACTGCTTTCAAAGATATGCAGTTTGCCTTGTTTCGAGTAAACACACCGGGAGCATCATTTTGGTGGGGATGCCGGCCATGGCGCGTCGCGTCGTTGTGTCGATATTGGCGATCTTTCGTTGTTTCGCGTTAAACTTGTAACTTCAGCAACATCAACCATTGGTGTGAAAGAAGAAAAGGAGGAAAATGGGAACATTGGCAGAGAGGCTTTTTAGACAATTTTGGTATTGTGTACATATATGTTTCTGAAACAAGGGGACGATGCTCGTGGTTGGGAGATGTGGTATGCAAAGGGAGACGCGGACATGTTCGGCATGCGAGGTGGGTGATGGGATGGTATGACGACAGATGATCTGCGGTGTTGTAAGAGGTAGATCGCGATGGAGATCATCAAAGTGACAGGATGCTTTAATGGACTGAAGATGAACCTGACATGCATCAGACTCTTGAGTTGCATGATCAATTGGGCATACAGAACAATGGCTACAATTTCCCATGAATAGAAATGAACCAAGTTTGGCATAGGATTAATCTCACAACTTTTTTTGATCCGGTAAATTACAAGAAGAGTATGGATTGATGTCGGACGAGCTTGTAAACAAGTCTTAAGATGTGGAAATACGAGGTCAGCCCATTCTACCTTTCCTGCGATGTAAGAGTCGGGATCCCTCTACCACCCTGTCGCGAAAATGAAACAGTAATGGCATGTGTCTAGGCTATCCTCAAGCCTTTCAAACTTCTTGGTCCGCGGAGCAGTCCCCCAGAAGGACTAGCACTCGGCGCAACAATAATTCGTTGCCGCAGCAGTGTTCTTCCTACTTGGTCGCAACAAGCAGAAGTATTCCAAGGCATCAAAGAACGCTGGTATGAAGTAGCATGGTATATCATAGCATGATTAGCTCTAATGCTCTATAAGTCTATGTTATCCGCATCTGCGATGTCCAGGTTAATCGAAATCTTCTGAGTTGACCACCCACCGCTCAGCAAATATCGCTAGGGCTGGTGTGTCAGATCATGAACGGTTGGTGAGATACACTTGGCTCTTTTCCATCGTGCCATCAATGTATTCCTCGAGGAAATAGTAGCCATCGCCACTGTACTCGTCCAGCATCTGCTTTTTCATTTCGGACGTCTCCCCGAAAGTCACTTTTGGCTTCAGTGAGAACATGTGCTTCTTGAAACTTGTCGAATCTTTGCGGTGGAAAGTAGAGTCGTGCTTGAGCCTACCGGGATAGAGCCGGCACGTGGCTGTGACAGATAAGTACTCTAAACTGTCCGTCGGTTTATAGATGTCAAGGCCATCACGGACTCTAGTAATGGTATCCCGACCGAGAGATTCTTCAGAAAGTGCGCCTTGGTCAACATGGGCGAAATTTTGATCTTCACGGGCCCAAGGCGTCTCAGTGAGATGAAGGACTCAGCGAAGTCCTAGTGTCTGCAAATGGCTGTAGCCGGCGAAGATATCCTGAACTTGTAAGCTTATGTCCATCCCATTATCGGCATGAGTAACGTACAAGGATTGAGCCGTAAGTTCTGCAGTTGAATCCAAGATGCATTCCAGAGTAATTACTGAACACATCTGCCACGAAGAGGCTCAGATGCCGAAGAGCAGGGAGGGCTCCGAGAGCATCTTCTGCTTCGTTCTCAACTGCCGAGAAAGAGCACGTGTCCTGCAAATTCCATAAAGATAGTAGTTGAAGAGTCCGCCCGTGTTTAGTGATCTCCGAACAATCACTAAACCAGGATCCCACTCCCTCAACGATGAGCTCTCGCAAGCCTTTCAATCCACGCATAAACACACGTAGAGTAACGGAGTCGACCGTGCCATGCGTTTTGACCATCAATGCTATAAGCTGAGGAAACGCTTTTGGGTCCAGATTAATGAAAAATAAACCTTCAAAGTCGCAATCGATCACGGCCAGAGCACGTAGAGCTGGAAATTCAATGGCGTTGGGGCTACTAAATGTCGTCCCATGTAGAGTCAAGCGCGTTACTGTGGAGTGCAGCCTTTTCCGATTCATAGATGCGTTGATACGGACCCTAACAGCCTGAGATGCTGCGTCAGCGGTATCCCGTGAGAAACGAATGTGCAATTCCCGAAGATTCGGGGACTTCTTAACGATCTCGTAGATTTCTCGATCGCAAGTTTGATCGTGTGACAGCGCAATGTTCAGTTCATGGATACGGGAGAACACTTGACTTGGCTGGAAATAATCCCGGAGACGGATGCTAGACGACGCTTCCAGTCCAGGCAGGCTGAGCGTTTGAATGCGTCCCTGAGTCTCGATCAAGGAAATGACGTGCTTCATGGAGATGCTTCCTTTCCACATCGCCGGAGGTCCTGAGCTATCGCGCTATCAGTGTACGCTCTCGCTTGGTAAAACCGACTGACGTGAACGAGAGCAATTGGTTTCTCCTTAATGTCGCAGTCAATGTTCCGGTCACCAGAGTTTCCAATCTCCTTCCCTTCTCGGTGTCGTCACATAACGAGGAAATTGTGAGATGCTGAATGTAGCGCAATCCGACACCCGATGCAAGATTTTGCCACGAGGACTCCTTCGAATTGGGTCCAATCGTAACGGTGATGCGGTTAGCTTGGATTGGCCTACCTCTCATGAGAGTCAAGACATCAGTGTCGAACTTCTTTCTGCTAGTACGGGGTGGTGCTGATGCTCTCTCCACGCATCATCGAACTCTGATGAAGGATGATTCATGTCCACAGCTGTTCGTCTTATTCGCCCCGGAAACAAGTTTCAGGATACCAGCCCGGTCATCACAACGTTCAGCGTGAATAGCGCTGTGGGGTTCGAAAGGTCGAGATGCATGCAATTCCACGATTTTATAAAGTTCCTCTGAGATGCTAGATCGATGTTCCTCCTGCAGCTGTAACAAGGGCAGAAATGTTACCGACAGATGATGCGATACGTCACTGTGGTAATGGTGATGGTGGCGTTGTAGTGCGAGGGCTGCCATCGCGTCAGACTCGCGATTTCCCTGCATGAAGATCGGCGCGGCTCCTTCCGCGCCTCAGACTCGCGATGCCTCCTCCACTTTCCTAGACATCCCCCATATCACAAGACAGACTCGATGCCCTCCGACGAGCGCTAGCCTCCCGCCTCCACCAATGCACCCGGCCGCTTCCCTCGTTCTGGAAAATGCGTACAAACACCACACCCTCCTAGCCCCGCTCGTCTTCACCATCTTCGCAACCGTCACGAACATTCACCAGCCGATCCAGCATGCGCTCCTCATAACGGCTGTCTCTTGGCTCGTAATATGGCTGGCCACTGCTTTCAAGGCGGGGATATGGTCGGGTGTCAGCACCAAGAGGAGGAAGATAAGCGGACTCGCAGGCGCATGTCTTGCATTCGCTCACATCTGCGATAGAGTCGCATGCGACAAGCGAGGGACATGGAGCACAAAGGTACGCAGCAACATGACCGACTGGAAGCTATGTGCTTACTCTGTTCAAGGGTCTACTGCCCCTCCTTGTCGTCCTACTCACAAACGGGATCCTTCCCAAGCTCGCCTCGCTACCTACCCACGATTCTCACGACGATGCCGCGAAAGAGGCCAGCGACACCGACCCGCAATTACAGAACTATTCGTCTGTCTTCTTGTTCCTCATCACGGGGTCTGCTACGACTGCGCTTCTTGCCTATACCTTACCTGCTACCATCGTGCTTGGGCTGAGTAGTGCCATCTTCACAGCAGTCGGATTCGTACTGCTCGAGAGGGCCACCAGAGGCGTCGAAGATGACGATACAAGCGGTTTATATGAACCCATGCACGGGACTGGCACTCAGACTGGGCGTGGCCGCAATAGGACAACTCCCGCCGTTTCACAATTGAGTGTTCTACGGGACGCGTCCGCTACTCTAGCCATGATTTGTGTCTTGGCTTCCATGTCCATGGAACCGTCCATCTACAACATCTACCGAGAGCCGCCTTCAAGGAAACATCAACAACACTGGACGAAGGGACATGATTCTGCCATCCTGCAGCGAATCGCATGGATGGTGCCCGTGAATGTTATGACTAATACATTGATGTTCATTTTAGTAAGTCAACTTGCTTCGCAACTTCTGCTTGAGCAGGATGTATCTTGAGCCATACCTTGATTTGATCCCGTCAATACTCGTTCTGACTGTCTGCAGCTTTCTCAGCATGGAGCTGTACATACATCTCTTCACATCATATCTGCTTTCATACTCGCCAAAATACACTTTTCGATCTCTTTCATCAGCATAGTATTCGCAACCATCTTCGGTTTGACTTCTTTCTTGTTCTCGAGTAATGACTCATCTGTCGCTACGTTCATAGACGCGCGGAGCTCAACGCGTACAGTCAAGCGTGTCATTTTTGGCGTTTCGGCATTCTTGGTTGGAACACTACTATTCCAATATGCCTCTGGAGTGCAACCTCAGAAGCTGGCGAATGCTCCTTCGTCCTTACCTACCACCACTCCATCTTCGCCGTTCGAGCCTATACCACTCGATCTCAGCAATGGTCACCCAGCTGCACAATTGATCAATGCAGCAGAGACAGACTTCCAAACAGTCGTGGATCGTCAGTCCAAGTCTTTAGCTGCTGCTGTTCAGGAGTATCGCCGCAGGTACGGGATTACACCGCCACCGCATTTTGACAAGTGGTACGAGTTCGCCGTGCGCCAACGACGTAGTCATGATTGACGAATATGATATGATCAACGAGATGCTATTACCATTCTGGGCCATCAAACCCGCAACAATACGTTCAAGAATCACCAGAGAGCTGGGTGGTGAAGACAGCGCTTTGATCGGAGTTGCGATTCGTGACGGTGCCGTGGTCTACATCGAGAAAGGCGACGAGTGGCAACGACAAGCGACCACTGGGATGTTGGAAAAGTTTGTCAAGTATCTGCCAGATATGGACTTGGGCTTCAACGTTCACGATGAACCACGGGTCGTAGTAGCAGACAGTGTCCTTGCAGCTATGGTCAGTAAAGCACAAGATGAGGTGTTACCACGCGTGGCGAGATCCGACTCTCCACGAAATACCTTCTCCGGCCGGCCAGAGGACATGAACGATGGTAAGCGGTTTGCGGAAACGTACGTTTCCAACTTCAATAGGTTTTCCCATCAGCAGACATGGACCCATTCCCGCCTCTCTTGCCCCATCGACAGTCCTGCGCAGGCTTACGAGGATGGTGCACCCGACAACCTCACTGCCTTTGCAACAGGTCCACTTCAGTACATCTACAATACGACGGCCTTTTCTGACATCTGCATATCACCTTCGCTCTCTTCTACGTTTGGCTTCTTCGAACGCCCCAACGCCTTCAACATCATTCACGAACTCACTCCTATCTTCTCACAATCCAAGATATCCAGCTTCCAGGACATCCTCTACCCCAGCCCATGGTACTGGATTGGAAAAGTCAAGTATGACGAGTCTACCGACACTACCTGGGAAAACAAAACCAACGCCCTCTACTGGCGCGGCTCCACCACCGGTGGCTTCTCTCGCAACGGCGGCTGGCGACGTCAACACCGCCAGCACGTAGTACAGCACATCAACGCCCCTGACACTGCGCAAATCGTCGTTCCAGAAAGCGAAAATTCCAAGAAGCACACAGTCGTCAACATCGACCGCCGCAGCCGCAAATATCTCATCGACGTGCACTTCTCTCACATCGGCCAATGCGACCCAGGCGACTGCGACGCACAACAAGAATTCTTCCACGTCACCGACCGCGCCGACGCCGGCGACGCCTGGTACTTCAAACACCTGCTCGACATGGACGGCAACGCCTTCAGCGGCCGCTTCTACAGCTTCCTCAAGAGCCGCAGCCTCACGTACAAGATGGCTGTGTTCCGTGAATGGCACACCGAGTGGCTCAAGCCTTGGGTACACTACATCCCGCTCAGCTTGCGCGGCGACGAGCATCTCGATCTTGTGAGGTGGTTTAGCGGCGATGAGAATAAGCAGGGCGGGAATGAGGAACCGAGTAAGAGTGGGAACGGCGAGTCTGAGGGCGAGAGGAAGGCGAGGGAGATTGCGCAGCGCAGCACGATTTGGCATGATAAAGTGCTCCGGAACGTGGATTTTGAAGCGTGGTTTTTCCGGCTGTTGCTGGAGTATGGGCGTGTGGTGGACGATGGGAGGGAGGAGATTGGGTATCCTGGGCCCTAGAGGGATGAGACGAGTGTGTTGTGTCATGTTATTTATGCATTTATGCGAGCAATTTTTGTTTACGGTCTTTGGTGTTGGTTGGGACGTGTGATTTCTCTGTTTGGGAAATGATGGGGGTAAAGTATGGGATTTTCGCGGCTGGCCTGGCCTGCTGTCTTTCATCATCGATCGCTAGCTACTCGAGTTGTAAGAGCTCGTAGCGAAAAGTGTATCAGATCTTCTAAACCTTTCGTGCAAGATCCACATATCGAATGCGGACAGGACTTCGCAAGCAAACAAGAACTAACCGATATGGGTTGATCGTGTGCCGTCAGAGGATAGTTGTTGGGTAACAGATAGAACACAGATGCTGAGATGTTTGTGATGACGAAGTTTTTGTTAACTGAACAGACTTAAACTAGTAAGAGCGTGAAATGTACCATCATGATTGTGAGGAGTCTTCATGTTAGCAGTGTGGTGGTCAGGCGCAGAATTGCAGGAAAGTGTGAGTCGAAACGTGCAAGGGAGCTTTGTCATAGATGAGTACCCGCTGTAGTATTACAGTTGTACCCAATTGCTGGTTCTATCGTATTATTGACTCTGCCAACGCTGTGGGGGTGTTGGCTGCCATCCCCGGATCATGAACGGTGCAAATGTCTGCTCAGATCAGATCTGGCGCAAACGACCTCGAGGATCATTACGCAGGTTCCTTGTGATTCGCTACCATAATGGTGCTAAGGGCAACGTCGTTGAGGATAGGCAGTTTTGACTGAGTTTGCCAGTTCCGACTCTTCGGAAATCTCGTCCTGCTGGCCTATAGAGCATGCGGCTCGAAGCCGTCAATTTGTATTTTTAAGATCCATGGCTACCACGTTGGGTGGTCCGCAGCTCCACTAGTATTCTTTGTTCGGGAATCTGCGCAGGCGTGTTCGCGGTATCGTGGGTAGATCATGGATCAAGTGTGATTCCCGTAATTGGGACTTTTCCGCCGGTCGCTTCGACAGCTCTTTCGATGTCGTCTTTCATTTCCGGAATGGCGATTTGGAGCTGATGTGCAATCTGTGCTTGGAGCGCTTGTAGTGCTTCTGAGCGGCCCTTGAGCATTTGGTTCATGCGCTGCACTGTCTCGACAAACTCGCGATTGTAGATGTCGGGGTTTCTTGAGCCCTCGACATACATGACGATTTCGGGCGGGATAAGTACATGGATCGCGGGCGCTGTTCGAGATAGCTTCACCAAGTTCTGAATAAGCGACTGGCTGGGGAGCATTAGTTTCGAGTGCTTTTACGGTTGTTGGGTGGATTGAATAGACAGGCGTACATCTCACGCTTCATAGCCTCCTGCGTCGGACTGCCACGATGGTCATATGATTGAACTATCAGGTTGTATAAGTTTTGTACAATGTCTTTGAGCTGCGTCTCGACATCTAGGTACACCGCTGTGCTGGGGGTCAGCTACATTCATGGCTAGGACCGGTGAATCTCACACTCGGGAGTTTCTCCTGTGGATGCTTCCGTAGACATCTTGCGCGTCCTCGTAGCTTATCCCGCGAAAGAAGGTTGGTGGTGGGAGACTCGGTGGGGACGGCGTGCAAGGGCACAAACAACGCGCTAAAACCCCGGGTTAACTCACCTTCCGCGAATTCACGTCATCGCTCTTCGCACTCACTACATCCCACAGCAACACTCACCCGTAATCGCGCTTCTGGACACGCCATCACGTGCAAACTGGCTGCACATAGTCGTAACCATGAACGAAGTTCGGACATAATGGCGACGACACATTGGGCAACCGACGAACTACCTGCAAGCCCCAAGGCCTCACTATTGTCGAATCATGGAAGCGAGCAGCCATATCAATCGCGTACGGCTGGCGCAACACGAACAACCGATACACCAAAGCTTCAGTCTGACACTACTTCGGACAGAGCAACTGCGGCATTTGTTCGTCGCACTCTGTGTTCGCACAATGTGCTCCTAGGAAACGGCGAGAGGGGCCGTACTACGCCGCGTCCTATTGAAGAAGTACTACCACCACTTACCAGTTCGAACGAGGTTGATCTCCAGCTTTACGGTATCATCTCGGTGATCATCAAAGAGTTTGTACAGACGTGGTACTCAAAGATCACGCCCGATCATGTATTTGTCAATGAAGTGCTCCAAATCATCGCTCATTGCACGAGAGGTCTCGAGCAACGCCTTCGCAAAGTGGATCTGGAAGCGATGCTTCTAGACGAGATTCCCGAGTTGCTTGAAGCACACTTGAAGTGTAGGTGTCTGCAACCCCTGAACTTCATCGTGATGCCTATCTAATTATACACCGTGAAGCTATACGCCTGGCGAAGCAGCAAGCGTCGTCATCACAATCATTGGCCTCAAGCCCTCGTCTAATTTACCACACTATCCACCCGCACCCTGCGCTCAGTCCTGTTCCCACCGATGCTGTGCCGTCGACTACTGTTGAGCAACGGGAAAACGAATCCGCTTGGCGCCAATTGCTCGTCCAGGGCGTCCTGGTGGTTTTGTTACCCACTGAGGATCTAGAAAATGGCTGTCTTCGTGCTCTAGTAGCAGAGATATTTGCCGAAATGATCCTCGGAAATGGCATCAGTGGCAAGGCCTGTGAGGGCTGGCTGCTATGGGAAGGTATCACAAGCATAGCAAAGGTTTTACAGACCGATGCTGCAAAAGAGGAGGTTCACCAACCAGATGACCCGATTTCAGGGCAATCGATGACCCGTTTGGAACGATATGGCCTTTTGTCGTCGGCACGAAACGAGGAGACCAGATCAGCAAATGCACTTGCACCCAATCACAAGACCAGGTCAGTGTCTATCTCGGGGCTTTTCTGGACCGTTATCCAATACATCCTTTTGGCGTTTACAGCGCTCCGCGCGGTAGTCTCGACTTTGGCAACATCATCATCTCTTCCCCCGAGGTCTATGATCAAGGAGGCTTCACATGTCGAAGCATCGGACCAATTACAGGTCTCTTCAAAGGACACATCGCCATCCACGCGCCCGTTTGGAACGAAACGGCCTGTCGTAAGCATGAAGTTGTGGAGCTGCATGGCGCAGCTCACTCAATTGAGTGTTCGCATGCCTTGGCTTTCGGGCTGCATTTCAATGCTGCAATGGGGACTACTGTCGGGCCCAGGCAAGGTGGGTGACACCGACTGTATATTGGATAGGTGAGTTGCGACAATTATTCCTTATCCCCTTCTGGTTGGCCAGCTATACAAGGGTCCGAGCACAGTGCAACACAAGGTGCATTTAGTCCCGCATAGGATTTCAGTCACTTGACTTCGCTTCAGCGAATGCGACGGCCCGCAGGCTGGCACACTTTTAGCATCCTTGTCGGGGCGGCGCATCGTTCCATGCACGCCCCGGCACCCGTTCCGAGCGGCAAAATCGAAGCGTTTCGCACAAGGGGCTTGGCAGCGAAATCCTGCCCATAACCAACATCTTGAAAACGGCGTCACGATGCGCGCACTATAGTTGGACCGCCCGTAGCTGCACCAGATGATAGGGCAGAACCCAAGCCATATTGAAACCGCAACATGAGGACTGTAGCTTAAGCCGCCTTATCGCGAGCCTAGCCACTCCGGACGCTTACGCGCCGGTTGATTTGCCCCACTCTATCCCAGCTCGGGACTGGCCGTTGCTTCGCCAGACAGGACATTGGTCGCAAACCTTGATCATGCCACCAAGGATCGCAGGATTACGCCTCACTTTTCTAAAGGTGTCCTTTATTTGACGAGGTTCGATATCGCCATCGTCGATCCACTTTGTTCGGAGTGCTCGAAGAATGATGCCCATGCTGACTGGCTTGGCTCGGCTCACAAGTTCGAAGATGGCTAGTGGTCTCCATTCCGAGTCTACGTAGATTCCGGAGCTCATTTCCTACATACCACGAGATCTCCATGCAAGCATCCGGGCCCGCTGTACCGTTTGGTGGCTGCCGGTTGAGTCCCTTGGATCGCGAAGCTAACGGAACAAAATTCGAGGACTGCCTATGATTCGAGCTGCATTTTCGTACGGAGGCAGGGACAGAACAATCATGGCGCTACCTTACGCGCTCTGGCTAACCACATTCCGCGGAAGGTGTCATTGCAAAGCGCCTTGCAATGATGCCACTGAGGATCGTACTGCGCATTGAGCCTTGCGTTTCACTTGCTAACTGTTGATCAATCTAGGTTTCTATCGAACTTCATTCACAGGCGCATTCTGAACCCCACCTTCTTACCAGCCATTCTCCGAACGCTCCGCGCTACGCTCTTTCCAAACAACGCTCTCGGACCCCCGCGTCAGCTGCCGACAGATGACGAAGTCAAGGAAATCAAGCAGCGTTGTGCCGTCTCTATACTTACCTTGTTACCGCCGAGCCTAGCGGCGAAATTCTTTGCGTCCGAGAAGCGCGAAGTACAACTTGCGAATGTCGAAGAAGTTTTGAGCTGTCTTGACGACACATATCTTAACAAGCATCTGATTTTTCAGATCGTCGAGTTGATCGTTCTACGGCTATTTCCGGAACTAGGAGTCCATGGTGTACGTGAGTTGATGGAAGAGCGTTCGGTAGACGTGCATACAGAGCCACCTAGTCAGTCGTTTTCGTGGACCGAGTTAGGGTAGAGTCTATCGATGCTAGCTTGCAATCGTCTACCTGCAAGGACTTCACCGCCACACACATGACAATCCAAACAGTAACACCCCCTTCGAAAGGATCATTTCGCGGCATTTGTTAGTCAAAGCCCCAAAGTTTGGACCCGTTTTGGTCGCACTAACAGACCATCAATCCGTGATCGGCCTAGTTTGCATTGACTCCTGGTTGATTCCATGTACAAACAACTCATACTGCGTCGACTTGATTGCTGTTATGGTAAAGGTGACACCGCCGGACACGAAAAGAGGGGTTGTCGACCAATGAAAAAAATCGTAGGAAAAAGTGTTGAGGTAGTACAAGAATCCAGACTGCATGCACCGTCGAGCACCTGACTATTCGAGGAAGTGCCGAAAGCAAGTACACGAAAAAGCAAAGCGTGGTTCCCCGCAGTTCTTTGCTACGCTGAGGTCACCGGCGCTGGACGAGTCTTCTCGTACTCCACTGTATGCAGCAAGCCGCGGCGGATTTACATATGTCAGTGAGGCGGGTCAACGAGTCGATAGGCGGTGTAGGTAGGAAAATACTTGTCAAGATACATTCTGCCCAGAGAAGCTCGGATATTATCCTGTATTTCATCAGCCTCCGGGGAGCTTCTCGGTCCGTGTCAACATGAAATAGACAGGCCGGTAATCGTGTACCCATCTGCAGGTGTCGACATTGCCAATTAAGCGGCAGCCTTCAAAAGGCATAGTACCGGACACCGATCGGTGGATGCTTAACTCCGTTCACTCGGTACTTGTCATCCTAGGACTCTAAAGTATGTCGGAGGAATTCACGGGCACCACACTACACACAGTAGCACTCGTGACAATCAACCATGTCCGCTCAAGTCGATTAAGACGTGGGCGCAACGCTCGGAAGATCACTTGACGTGCTGCGAGGCTTTCCGCAGGTTCCTAAGCCCCACCGCCAAGTTGTGTAAGTCAAAGCAGTCTCACAGCCAGGTTTTGCAGCCGAAATCAGCCTTGGATTGCGACCTCTGATTCCATGGTTTTTCACGTGCAAGAAGGACCATCTGCATCCACCCACGTCTAGTTCTGCATCATGTTTCAGGACCGAATCTTGCAGAACCGATGGTGGCAGTAAAAGTTCACTAGTACCCCGCACGCCACCGCCTCAAGAATGTGGCCTTATCGCAAGCGATGTGTGCCTGAGGCCATGCAGGCTGCCGCCGAACTGTTTCAAAGCTCAATTGGTTGGGCATCGTGTTGCGAGAAAACAAGAGGGTTGCTGCGCCGTACTAAGGCTCATTGTGAAGACGAGAGCCTTACTCCTCAACATGCGATGACATCGTGTCGAATACCGCGCGCAACTAGGGCGCGTGCGTAGAGAAGGTCGCGGCTGGCCCCCATCTCAGGATCCATCCAACTCCGAAGATCGAGTCAACACCCTGGATACCCGTTGAACTTTAATCCTGAGCTCGCACTGGCCCCCACCAGCCCCCACCACGTTTACGCAGGGAACCATGGATCCCTAGGGCAATTCTTGAAACTGGACGCATTGTTCAGGAAGGAACGCTAGAGCTCCTCGCGAAGAACCCTGGCATCTATAATCAGTGTCTTATGTACACCCGGAGTGTTCGCCTCATTGACATGGTTCCCTTCCCACGCGCTGATCCAGACATTGACAAGGCTTCCATGCGAACTACTCAGGGGCCTCGCGACTTTTTCACGGACAACGGACAAGATGCCGAAAGCGTCATGTTGACGCCCAAAGAACACGGGGTAGTTGACTCGACGCTGCAAGACATAACCTTAGAGGGAAATCATCGTGTTGCTAATCATCCTTGTGAGCATCCTTGCGGAGAGGTGGAACGAACATCACCCTGGAAACAAAGTGAGGCGCTACCTCGCGACGACCATCCTGTAATTGCCAATAGGTCATCGTTCATGCTCGGTCAAGCAATTACGACAACGCAACTAGAAGAGGTCATGTGTGACAAACTCAATGTACGCGTCAATGCAAGCTTCAGAAGCTTCACGGATGTCACCGGCGGTTGTGGCGGCACGTACAGCATGCCGCATCGAGCCCTCAACCTCCGCAGCTGACATTAACTAACTTCACACAGTAGCTATTACAAGCTCCCTGTCGGTAAAGACATGGCTCCACTGTCAGCCTTCGACTACGGGTATTACAGACACGGGTGTATGGGGTGTATGCGTCTGACAGGCGGGAAGCAGCATTATGGATAGCAAGTATGGCGAAGATAAGCGGAGACATCCAACAGGTCTGAAGGTATGACGAACTCGTCGTACGAACTTGTAGGACGAGACATGTCTCACAGGGCCGGATCAGGTACAAAACGCGTGGGCAATACTCACTTACACCAGAGGCGTTTCGCAAAATCGCAGGGTAGTTCGTGAGCATGTCTTGTTATCCGCATACCTTTTGGCATTCGACACGTGCTGGGGATTTCGGCTTGGCAATATCTGGCCACTAACGTTTCCTGCGATAACAGCCCGGAAGCAAATATGATATCAATAAATTGTACTTCGGCACTCGAGCCCGAACACATGGCAAGTGCGGGACCTGAGTGCTGTGTTACAGCTAGATATTGGTAGCACGAAGACTTCAACCTTTAGGACGTACCCTCTCTCTGTACCTTCGAACTTTGGAAGAACATCAGCTAGCGGTTCCACCCGTACCGCGTTACACGGCATTCGATATCAGTCACGTGGAGACTAACGCAGGTACCTTTTCCTCGTCACGAACATCAAACACTAACATTCTCACGTCTGCATCGTCTTCCACGAAAGGCGATCATAACAACCATTGCCCATTTCCAGCAGCCTGTTCAAGCGCACATACCAACCCATTTTGCATCGTCTATTACCCTCACATTTTGAAGATCCCGCGATAAGCCCGTCCCAAGACAGTCAGTCAGAGTCGCACGTCCACTATTTTAGCTCTTGCGCTACACTTGCAGCAACGATAACCTTCGCCATCTCCTCACCGGCCCGAATCATCGCACCAAAGACCACGCCCCCAAGCGAGTCCTGCGCCCCCATTGGCTCCCACACACATATCATTAACATAATAAAAAAAACCCTCGTGTCGTACGGTTTTCGAGCCATCACCCATTTGCCTTTGCGATCTCAAGCGGCACAGATCTCACACCCAATTTACCCGTCCCATGAACCAACAATGCTGTGAGACTTACGCCCTACTCCTACATAAGTCACACTGCATTTTTTTCGCTGCTGATCGCGGCTTTCGGCAACTGCAGCTGGATGTGTTTCTTTGGAAAAGGGTTGGTCGGTACGGCCCGTAACGCGAGAGTTTGATAAAGTGCGGAAGACAAAGGAAAGGCTCGCGACCGGCCGGAGTCGTGCCGAGAGTGGTAAGCACGCGGCTCGCGGCGTTATTTTCGCGGGAATTAAGTGGCTTGTTTGCTTCTTTGCTCGCGAACGCAAGCGAATATGGACCGTTTTTACTCAACAAGGCTTGTTTCTTTTTCATGTGTATGCATTGCTTTACAAAAGCGTACATTGAGCGTCCGCACCCCATTTCCATGTGCAACAATGTCCATGAGCATACTGTAATCTCCCTACATCTATGCGCATATGCCTCGTCAGCATTCAAACCCAGGATTTCACCTCAGCCCAGACCGGCGCCAATAAACTTTCCGAAACGAACGTGTCTCAATCGGGTAAGCCCTACGAAAAGACGCGTGCCGATCGACGTGTTTTACGCCGGGGATGTCGGGAAGGAGAAAATGCCATCCAGACTCAACGCAGTGTGGATTCAGCTTTGCACTTGCTTCGAATCGGGCTTTGTTCTGTGTCGTCATGGACGCTCCCATGCTGATCGTGATGTTGAACTGTGCTCATGTTGCAGAGCGGGCTTCTGCGCGGCCTCGCTTACCGAAGCGGCGGGGTTTGAGCTTTGCCAAACGACGCTGATCCTGAGACTCACCGTTCCCTGTGGTATATGTTGATGAGGACGTCTGGAGTGTGCTAGTTGAACACAATGACACAGACAAAAGTCCAAAGATGGTTCTTTTGTTGCTTTTTCATTCGACATGCATAGTTTCTGCGTTCATTTGTGCTATGCTGTGCAAGGACATGTTGTTACGCTGCCGATGAGCCGAAAAGTGACAGCGGCAAGTACCATGCGTTCACCACCACATGACCACTTCGGGCGATCCCTTACTCCCAATGTTCCCAGATCAATGCACAATGCAAAACCACTGCAGGAGATCGCGTAACTGGAAAGCTGTCATTTCTTCGGTTGCGTCTCACAGACTATGTTGCAAGACTACGCCTAAGGCTATATCATATCCACATATAGGTGACAAGGAGCGTACAAGAAACGCAACCCAAATAAGCTCGTTTCAGGCATTGGACACTTCAACACCGTAGAAGGCCCGCCCATGAGGGTCGCGACAAGATTGTGACGGCGAAGTATGAAAAACAAAACGGGAAATGAAGCGTACAAGTACTAGTGGCCCGCGCGAGCGGTTACAGTCTTTTCCTCTGGATGCAACAAGTAGCATGATGATGTGTGCGCGCGGAAAAGGGGGTATAGTCGACCATCGTGGGATTAAAAAGAAATCAAACCGTGATGCATAAGAAATAAGCGAAGAACAATGCTAAGTATGCTGATGCAGAGAGACAGAAGAAATGCAAATATTGTGAAATCACTCTCTTGAGCCAGAGATGTATGCTGGGTTGTGTTTCCAGACAGACTTTGTATCCTTTTCAAATGTAGAGACTTGCATCGCGTCTTGATGCACAGTCCGATAGGCCAGAAAAGCGTATCGTAAGGCGGATCCTTCTCTCATCTTTGAAGGCCCATAGTGGTCGTGCATCAATGGATGGTGTCCACGCCCTCAAGCTTGGAGAGCGTGAACTCCGTCTCTGATATGCGGCGCATGCCCGGTGGCACGCTCTCAGAACCCCTCTTGATTCGAAGCTTCTCCATCAGCTTCCCGATAGTAACGTATTCCTGCGGCTCTACCACGAACCCGGCATGTTGGGATTGAAAGAAGTTCATAACGAGCTCCAGCGCGCGTGCGGCTTCTTCTTGCGAAGGTGTAATGGGCGAGGAATCGTTGGATGAACTCTTCTCGTCGTTGTGAGCCATTGGAAGAGGTGGCGGTTGCATCGAATGAGTCTGCGTAGGCGATACTGACATCGCTTCATCAATCGCAGCCAATGATCCAGGGAGCTCTGTCATGGGAGAGTCGAGGGCACCGCTGCTGACAAACTTCGGTGTCAGTGCATCTGAAGAGCCTGGTGGTGACATGTACTGCTCGACGCCAACTAGCAAGGGAAACGTCTGGCTGCGTGGTCGCTGGAAATTGTTACTACCTGGCTGTCCATTTGCAGCCTGACGTCCCATAAACGGACTGGGGCCACATGCTGAGTCTGGCGTGAAGAATGGAGATGACAGGGAACTAGGGCTCGTCGGACCGGCTGAGAAAGAGGACGGGGGCGCAGTATCAGTGAAGACACTTGACAAAGAAGTGCTGCTTTGTGAATGAAAAGGTCGGCGTTGATTAGTAAAGTCGTAAGTATCAGGGCTTTCGCTTTTGAGGTTCTCTGTGCTCTTCTTGGCTGTCACGGCTGTAGTGGAGGGCGATACCCCGCCAGGCGATGTAGGCGAAACGGCCCCCGGCGTCTGCACATTCGACGCCGGATTGGATGTTCCCTCGGACTCCTCCGCTATCGAGCCCTTCCTCGATCTCGCTCCCATGAGATGATTCTTTTGCTTGAACTTTTCCAACCAACTGGTGCTATTTGCCTTCAGGTGGCTGTCAGAGTTACCCACGGTCGAAGCGAAGAATCGGGCCTTATCTCGGATGATGGCATCGCTGAGTGGCAGACCCTGTCTTTGGTGGTTCCTCGCCCAGTTTGCAAGCGCCCTTTCGATGTCTGGAAACTTGCCCTTCGACCTTTTGATAGGTGAACGACTCCCGTCATCTTGGTAGAGATATTTCTCCTTCTGGCGCAACACTTTTGAAACGGTACTACACATGAGAGTCAGCACGGAAAGATACATAGAAGCATGCTGTGGTACCTTCTTTCTACACCAAACATTGCTGAGTGACACTGTCAGCGATACGATCATTATCACACAAGGACAGATGCAGACATACCTCCGATCTCAGTCTGCTTGACAGTTGGGTTCTCTTCGTGATATTGGCACATCCGTCGACGATCCTGATCAGTGAGAGTCTTTCGAGGCGTCGATGAAGTGCGTGAATGAGTCGAGCTTGCTGACACTGGAGTCGCAGAAGCCGGCGTTATTGGGACTGGTGCAGAGGGAAAGATGGAGGGCTGGTATGTCGATTGGCTAGTCAACATACTCGGCCATTGTGGCATTATCAAGGGCTGTAACTGTGGGTGGGTAGTTCTAGGCGTTGGGTGTGGATGGTGTGGTGGTGGATGCATAGCAGTTCCATACATGGGCTCCATAGGCAGCGGCGCAAAGCTGTTGAAGCCATTGTAGTCTTGCACTGGAGACTGATGGTGAGGGTTGTATCCAGTGTTGTCGTGCCATGAAGCATTGTGGTCATCAAAATGATCCTGGTGATGGTGTTGGTCGTGGTCCATTTGGAGCTGGCTCATGTCGAAGCGTCAGTGAGCAAATTGGAGTCTTGTAACCGTGCGAGGAGGAGATGGCCGTATCAGATACAAAGTAGAGAAGATTCTCTGGCGGGCATCTGCACTGCGGTGTTGCTGTGCCTGGGAACGTCGGTGACCTCAGTCCGGGCGGGCGCATGCATGCATAAGGTGATGTTCTGGATCCTGAAGCGAAACGACAGCGACGAGGATATGGATGTACCGCAGTAATACGGGGCTTGGGCTGACAAAAGGCGCTGTAGTATGACAGCGGTCCAAAGCGAATGGTATCAAGTAGCGCGGCAAAGCAACGAACTCAAATGGAGGGACAGGCACTGCAGGGAAATGCCTGGCGCGGCGGGTCTGCAGCGCGTACTTGAAGAGAGTCTGGGGACGCTGGTACAAGCCCTGGTGTGTGCGATGCGGGCGCGGCCTGCTGCAGCTTGCGGGAGAGGGGCCTGTTTGTTTCGAGCCCAAGCGTGCCGACGAGAGACTGGCTTGTTGGCGTGTGCACTGTGAATCCTGGACGCCATCAGGCCAAGCGACGAGCAACACCAGCGACGACGTTGGGCTTAGCGTGAGCGGGTCTCATCGGGGATGCGCCCCTAGCAGCTGTGCGGGCCAGAATTATGCGGCCGCCTGGCTCAAGCTCAAGAGCACACCCCGGCGCACGCCTCCACGCCTGTCTGGCGCTGCGGCAAATGGGATGTCAAGGCGGACGGATAGGATCACCCATCCCATCAAGGCCTTTGCACCGCCTTTGCACCTCTGCGGCCGGCTAATATAATGCCACCCGAAACGGACATGGTCAGAGTGGACGCGCTATATTGGCATCGCCCCGTGCGTCCGGCGCACTTCTGGCACTGCTGGCCGTTGCCGTGCACTCGTGGCGCCACGCCCGATGTGTCCAAGGGACTTGCTTGCTGCTCAGGTACGCGACATGGTGGCGATTCCCACGAGCCTGCATCGCACGTCAATCAGTCGCCGCTGCATAAAGAGAGGCACAATCTGTCCACGGCTGTAACCCTTTCGGAAAGCTGCAATAATCGCGCCCACAAAGACGCGAGCCATCAAGCACCCATTAGGTTCTGCCGAACAGCCACTCACAGCCAGGAGCGATAATAAATTAGCGCCCAACTCGCAGCGAGCGTTGTGAGTCGCCAGGAGGACGACGCCCCCGGTCGCCTTTTCTCGTTTTCTCCGAAGTTGACCACTGTGCCCGTTAGAAAGCCAATAAGAAAAGCCAACGCCATGAAAAATTGGGCCAGACAATGGTGATCGTCTCATCTTATTCCCTGACATTCCGAAGTAAACAATATGGGTATGGGAAAAGAAAGCTGACACCGTTCCAATAACACTGGCGACCTCGTGGTTGGGACGTCTGCACTCCGCGTTGCGCCTTCGCGGCAGCAAGGCCATCTTGTCGTGCTGATAGCTCGCGGACGGCAACGGACCGCCACAGTCCAATGTGGATTGGCGAATGATCCGCGCCGAGTGCGGTCTTGTCCAAGTAAGCGTACGTGCTGAGGCCGAAGCAGTGCTATTGGGACGGCTGCAGCGGCCAATCTGAGCTGCGAAGTCGGCATCGAGCCGCGTGCTACTCGGTATCCTCAAGTCAAGCCTAGCCCTAGCAATCGTATTGTAGTAAGACATGCTCAGCCATCCAAAAGCCTTCCATCACTCCACTCACTCTGTATCGCAGAAGCCGGAACCCTGCATGCCGGAAGATCTCACGTCACAGGACCTCGTCTACTTCTTCACAATGGTAACTGGTTGACCGGTAAGTAGGAGCGCTCCACTAAAGGCCTTATGTCGGTGCAAGGTACTTACCGATATCTTCATCGGCGAGCTCGTGGGAAAGACCCACACGCTGGGGCTGATGCTTGACCGATTTACCGTACACAATGGCGTGTTTGAAATCATCGACAATCGTCTTGTGGATGGAATGACACTGCTTCTGTTAGTATGCATCGCCACGCCAAAGTACTATTAACCCACAAAGTCTTCGACCGTGCACGCCGTGGAACGCAAGACAACCGGTGCAGTATAGTCGGGCATGCGACCCTTTGGCTTCGTGTAGACGCGCACGAGGTTCAACTTCTCCCACATCTGCTCCAGTAGCTCGTCGATGTTCCAGCCATGCTCGGAACTAATGGGACAAGCATTTGGAATACGGTACAGCAAATCAAGTTCCTCGATCGTGATGGCGTCTATCTTGTTGAGCGCGTAAATGACGGGGATGTAGCTTCGGCCCTTCGCCTCGATGACATCGATCAAATCGTCCACGGTGGCGTCGCATCGAATAGCAACGTCTGCGTTTGCCATACGATACTCGTTCAATACGGCCTTGATCTCGCCATGGTCGATGTGCGTCAGGGGGACGGTTGAGGTAATACTGATGCCGCCCTTGTCCTTCTTCTTGAGCACAATGTTCGGTGGGCTCTTGTTGATACGGATGCCGAAGCCTTCCAATTCGTTCTCGATGACGCTCTTGTCCGTCAGAGGCTTATTCACATCGAGGACGATGAAGATCAGATGGCATGTCTTCGCGACTGCAATAACTTGTCGACCACGACCTTTGCCGTCTTTGGCACCCTGAATGATACCAGGCAAATCGAGAATCTGGATCTTGGCACCGTTGTACATGACCTGGCCTGGTACCGTGGTAAGCTATGCAAGAGTCAGTAGACCACTCGTGGCTCTTGTCATGGGTGCGGTACCGTTGTGAACTCGTATGCGGCAGCTTCCGAGTGCTGTCCCGTCAATTTGCTCATGAGCGTACTCTTCCCCACCGAGGGAAAGCCAATGAAGCCGACACTGGCAACACCAGTACGAGCAACATCGAAACCGACACCCGCACCGCCACCACCACTACTGCTCGGCTCAAGAAGTTCTCTCTTGAGTTTCGCGAGCTTTGCCTTCAGTTGCCCTGGCCTGGTATGAGCATATCGATATACAATTCATAGTTGGTGTTCATACCAAGATGAAAAGACGTTGCTTTGTTCTTCTGGGTCTTGGCCATCTAGAACAGGGATGTGAGTCGCGATCGATGCGTTTGCGGGAATGCGGTCTCTTACTTCGGCCTCGATGTCCTTGATCTGTTTTGGCAATCACGTCAGCAATCTGAAGTACAAATTGCGCGGGGCGCACATACCTTGTCCACGGTGGTCGCCATTTTGTCTGATGTTCTGCCCTTGACAGTGTTTCAAGATGGGTGTGGTAATTCTGGTGTTGACTATGGAGAAATTCGATATGCAATGACGCGGGCGGGGTCCGGCGAATCGTTTCGCCGGATCGGAGCAACCTTAAATCGCCCTGCATATCATGTGATGCCCAGAGAAGACCAAGTTGCCTGCACCAAGCTGTCCTTTCCGACATTTCCGAAGGAAACCGACGACCGTTACACAACATCGCAGACGGCATCATTCCTTTGGGCAAGTAGGTTTGACACATGCATGTGGCTCGACCTTCGGTGTGAAGCAGCGAATAGCACGCGCAGTCTCGGCGACTAACTTACATAATGTGACACTTTTTTGCATTCACGTGTCGTTATCTTGTTCGCGCATTCCACCTGCTGATAACCTGCTTGTTCGGTCTTATCTTCATACATACTTAAGCTATCTTTGTACCTCCAGCTCGAGCACGACTTATCCCGTTGATTTTCGCACCTTGTCTCAGCGCAGAAAACATCATGCCGGGCATCACCAACCACGAGGATAAATTTCAATCACTTGTTCAGGCTCTCAGTGAGAAACTAGGACCTTGTTCAGGGATCGACTCTGCAGATGTGGACGAGAAAGTGCTCCAGCAGTTGATGCAGGACTATGTTTCCAATGAGTCAGAGTGGTCAAAGTATTTCTTCCCGGCATCGAACATGGCCTATACTCGCAACTTGGTGGACAAGGGCAATGGCAAGAGTAACTTGGTACGATCTATTTACTATAATTGCATCGATTCTGGCAAAGAGAAGCTGACTTTGGTAGATGATTTTGGTGTGGTCGCCAGGGCGCGCCAGCCCTATTCACGAGTAAGTTTCTTTGTACACCGCTTATTGACACGAAAACACCGAGCTAGGCTCAACATCCTCGACACTCTGGCTTTTGACTCCACGTGACGAAGCGGCTTTTGCTGCCGATCATACGATCGATGCGTCTACAGCGTAGGAGGTACGGTAAGACCGCCAATTTTCGATACTCGCCTATTGTGTTTTGTTATCTTTGAGAAATTTGCGAACCACAGCGTTGTACGCTATTAATACGCCAGAATTGTACTGACGGAATGCAGTCATGCAAACGCACACTGTATCATGAAGATCCTTAAGGGCAGTCTTACTGAGACACGCTACGCATGGCCAACAGTTGATCGCAACAATGCCGAAGACCATCCACTGCAGGTTCTATCAAACAAGACTTTTGGGGAGAACCAAGTCACCTACATGTCGGACAAGCTTGGATTGCATCGCATTTCTAACCCCGATCCCAACGACTATGCTGTCTCACTTCACTGTAAGCTGGACGTATCTGTAGTTCGGAACCTCGACTAACTACGACCAGTGTACACGCCACCAAACGCCGCAGTGTATGGCTGCAACGTCTTCAACGAAGAGAACGGACATTCTACCCACATCAACAAGTGCACAGTATTCTCAGAGTATGGCACACGACCAAGCTCCATGTGAGACATGTTGTAAGTAGTGTGATGGACACCCGATCCTTAACACTGGAAACCTGGATGAGTGGGTGCAGGAAAATTCGGAAGTGTAATGCGTCCTTCCTTTCGATTCGTGGCGAGGTTTGAGAGTTGCTAGAACCTCGGTTTTCTACTTGTTTCTTCGTTAGCAACAGTTCAAATTCATAGATCCTACTTTGAGACCTTCGCAATATCGATGCTGTGACATCATCTTCTTTTGATCGTCATTTTTGTTTCAAAAGTGTTTGTTTATGTCCGATCAAAACCTCAACCTCTTTGATGTGTACTGACCCTTTCCAAGGCCCGACGCCTTACTTGCAAGGACAATGTGTGTGAAAGGGTTCCAAACACTCTTCAGGTTTGCCCAATCTGTTGTGTTCTAGCACCTTACAGACGTACTGAGTGTCGACTTCTCTTTCCGTCCATCACCGCAATTGCTTTGAGGACCGTCACCGAAGGCTCCTGCTATCCCATATCGCCACTCGCGTTGTCTACCTCTCGTCAAAGTCTATACTGACAAGTTCATGGCGTCGCTCATTCACCGCACCGCAAACGCACAACCATGTGATGTCATTGTATATACACAGCGCACGAACGCCCTTCACTAAGCGCCAAAATTTCAACATTATACATTTACAATTCTTCCTACCGCACGAACACTAATTTCACGATCTCTTCTACGCACCGCAATTCTTTCTACCCATCGATAGAGTGTCAACTCAAGCGCGCATGCTGCCAAAGTTCCTTCACCCCATCACTACGAAAATACCACACACCTTCGGTATGCCGCTTTTCAGACGCGCAGTAATCAGTCAACCGGCATCCCCACCGCCTGGTTCTATAATGAGTGAAATTGCATCTTCGTGGGTAGGTTTTGGGGCGCGCTCCGACTTCGCCCTCGAAGAGCCCATCAATCGCTTCCAACTTCTCCTGGGACTCGTCCACATTTCCAGAGACATCCACTCTTTTGCCGACAGAGCTCAATGGCGATTGGCGCACCACTACCGCAGACACATTCAAGCACCCCAGCGCCACTGCGAAGTCCGTTAACGACGCATTCCAATGGCCGCAAGTTCGTCAAAAACTCACCAACGCCGCGGAAGCAGCATCTGAATGTTTCCAAGAACGCCTGAACCGCGCGTTCGAAGGCAGCGATGTACCCGCCATGCACGACAAAGCCATGTCTTACGTTCCCTCACTCTCTATACCCACACTCCACCAAGTCAGCCAGAGCGTCGACGCACTCACAGACAAAGCGCATGCAGTCTTACCACAGCGCCGCCACTCAAACGCCTTTACAGACGAGGAATTAGCCGGTGATCACCTCGCGTTTGCTTACCAAATGTCGCAAAAAGCCCGCCGCGCGCTCGTAAAGCAGGGTATATGTAAATCCTGGCAAACAGATGCGACGCGCGCGACTGTCCAGTGGTACGACCAACTCGACGCAAAACTTTCCCAGCTCTTTTCCAATGAGAAAGTGAATTTTGGTGTCAAGCAGTTGTTTCAGATGAGCCCCATCTGGACCGGCGATGTTGGCTGTAAGACCTGGAATCTAGAACTAGATACAGGTATGACGGAGGTTGTTGCTGAGGGCGAGGGCGACGAGTGTGAGGAGAAGCGGGTGTGTTTGGCTGTCGGATTTACGCTGCCGGAGACGGCGGGGTGTGTGCGGGTTGAGGATGTTGAGCGCGGGACAGTGGATGAAGAGGATTGGATGGCGGTGCAGTAATGGTTGAACAGAGGCGGAGAAAAGTGCTTGGATGTAATAAGAGCGATTGATACCCCGAATAGAAGATAGGAATGACATCAGACTAAGATGATAAGCGTAAGACTTCCACGTGAAAGCTTGTCAGTTGTGATTGCGAGTGATATGTCTTTCAAGATACAGTAGCCTCATATTGCTAAGTGCCGCTTTCTTTCCATGGCTAGACTAGGCCACCTATACTACTATCGGTTTAAAGTTATGTTGAAATTTGAGACCTTGCATCTATTCGGTATATCGATAAACGGCTATGATAAAACGACGCTCCTTCAATACGTCTTGTGCCTGGACTTTGTCCGTCGCATTGATTACAACACCGCCTTTTGAGCTTGATCAAGCAAAATGCCGCCAACAACTTTATCTCGCGAGCTCTCCTGCACGCTGACGTACTGCGCTCTGCTCGCTATGCTGTGACCCCGTTCGTGTCGCCTCAAGTCTTCCAAGATCATCAACGCCCTCTTCCTTCACGGGTTTCATGCCCGACGGCGTTCCGCCAAAGCTCACAAGCACCGCAGGGTTCGTCGCAGTCAGATCGTCCATGACGCTGAGTTCGTGTTCTGTGAACCACTTCGGCATGAGGAACGTGCGAATGGGGATGAGCGCGATGATAAGCACGGGAAAGCCGATTGCGGCGATGGTTTGTGAGATAGCAACAGTGCAAGCAACGCCGAGGATTTGGATGCCGATGAAGAGCCATATCTTCTTTTGCGAGACGGTATTGAGCGGGTTGTCCCGTTGGATGAAGCGGTGTTCAGACATGAGATACATGAATTTTGCGAGGATGCCGTTGGATTCGATGGAGCCCCACTGGAAGAGTCAGTATTGGACAAGGTATAATCTAAAAACACAAAACTTACACCAACAACGAAGAAGACACCGGCGAAGACTGCTGCGGGCATGATGTGCAGAACTGTCAGGAGTGGTCCAGTCATGGTCCCCCAGATCGCCATACCCATGAGGAAATGGCTGACGCGCTGTTCCACGACTGCTGTCGCGTGGACCACTGGCTTCCTGATATCTCCACCATCCTTTGTTTCAGTGATCTCCAGCTTGGTTTCGTAGATAGTCAGAGAATCGGTATGCACAGGAGCTTGCGGCACAAGTCCATTGGGCAGAGGCAGTCCAAGAATGCCGCTAACGAAGCAAGTGCATCCCAGAAGAAAGAAGTCCCAATGAAAGCCAGCAGGCTTCCTCAGTGGATATTGTCGTGCTTGAGCCGTGAGCGAGGACACGTTGTGATCGTAGTAGAACAACAACATCATCAGGAACCCAAATGGCACCGCCACGAAGATCCACTTCACATCCAGGTTCCAGAAGTCGATGACCCAATTTCTGGCTTGAGTCGGCTCGAATGCGCCAACCGTCGGTACGCGATAGATTTCTGTGTTTGCGAGTCGACCGGGAAACCAGTAGAATCCGACCCAAAAGAAGGTTGGGAATGCGAAGGAGTAGTCGGCGAGTATGCCTCGGACCCATGGCTTCCAGAGTGTGCTACTGCCGAGCTTCTCGAGACCGTAGACGGAGCCGAAATACAGAATAGCGATGACGATGGAGAGGTAGCCGCCTGCGATCGTAGTAGGTTCGAAGAGATAGACCAGTTCTTCAACGCCCTTGACTATGGATGATGTCAGTCACGATTTCATAGATTGAGTTATGGATAGGGAGTACACGTACTGCAATAAATGATACCTACATACAGGCCAAACGTTTCGCTCGAGAAGTCTGTAACGTAGGCCATGTAGTCGCAGTAATTTCCAAAAGATACTATCCAATGGAAGATGGCGGCCCAGATGCCTACCCATGCTGTAAAAGCAGGGTAGATGGTGGGATCGTGCATTTGGATGATGTCGTAGATGGTGTAATTGAACAACGCGATCAGTCCGGTCACTCCAACAATTGTGAGTGGTTGACATGATAGAAGACTGAACACCATTGCTGCCAGTGCGGAGGAGAACAAGGCTTCATTGATGCCAAAGAAGCCGCCTGTGCGTCGGTACATGTCGAGAGTAAATGCAATGGCTGGTAGGACGCTGAACTCGTTAGCGAGAGGTACACTATAGTTGAGGATAGAGCTTACTTGACAAAGTACATTCGAACAGTGCTTGCGAACACTCGGTACGTAAACGCGTCTCTAATGTCGCTCCAGTAGTAAGGCGCTCGCCGCTTCACATCATGGTACATGCCCCGTCCGGGACGAAGTATGCGCCATCTTCGCCAGCCTTTTTCGCCTTGAAATGTGTAAGATTCGGTCGTCTTGATTCTGTCTAGCCTGTCGCCATTCCCTTCAGGATCCATCACCTTTTCTCCCATCTTGCTCTTGCTGGTACAACGCTTCGAATGTAAACAACGGACAAAAAGAAGAGGAATCGCTAACAACGCTCGGATATAAGCTTATGCTGTGCACGGCAGAGGCGCGGGTATCACGATGCGGACCCAATGAATTACCGTCCTGCTCTAAACCCTGAGCATTCTGCTCTCTTATACCAAGCCAACCAGATTGCGCAACCAGGTTGGTAGACTGCGGTCATTACGGTCGACAGCGGCGGTCGCTCCTTGGCAGATGTGGGTACTTTGACTCCACCCTAGTGAAGCAGATCGCCGGTGAACACCTCAGTTCTAACTAGGCGTCGGATTCGGATTCTGCAAGTGAAGTAAATCCAAACATTTCTAATCCCAGACACATAGTAGACCTCATTGTTATCGTGGCATAGACTCACTGCAGCCACAATCGCAGTTGTGACGAGAATGACGTGCAGGTGATGTTCGAAAGCGTGGATGACTGATGCAGTTCGCTGCACGTCTTTCTGGTTAGCGCCCGCGCCACATCGACTTTTGTCGGAGGATTGTCCTTGCTCTCTGCCGTTAATCTCTCCAGTTGGCTGCCCGAGCAGCAACGGTCGATCGATGGGCAGAAAGGTTTCTAGCTAGTCTCCCAATTCGAGGATTGACTTGTGCGATTGTTTCTGACAATCTTCATGGTTTCCCTGGTACATCGTCTATCTCCATTTTCTTAGGTGGCTGGCATGCACGTCCACCTGCATGACGCTACAGCCAGAGCTATCGTGTTTGCGGCACCTGTTGGAGATGGAGAGAATTCCGGGACTGAATGGCTTGACAGTAGCTGTACCCTATGAGCCAAGGCGCTATAGAGTTCCTACTTCGTCGACCTTCCTGCGTGCTGTCGCTGTCGCTGTTGTGGTTAGTGTTCGCGTGGACATTAGGGCGCATCATGACCCTTGGTTCGTCGGCCTTTCTGCGGTGCCACTTCGAAGTTCAGACGTCAATTCAGTCCGCCCCACTACATTGGACATCCTCAAAACTGTCTACTGATAATTCTTCCTTCCATCCGATTCACGCGACATCTGTCGTTAGTCCCTAGCAAACGGCCCGTTCCACACCATGCATGTGTTGCGCTGGGCACGATCATCATCCCAATAGCTTAGACGCGTGGCATCTCCGAACCACGCGCGCCCCGCCTGTTCAGGCTCAACGAGAGTTCTGTGGATGCGGTCAAAACTGCATCTTTTACGATAATGACCGCGCTTGACGGCATCGAGGGCTTGTCGGAATGCATTGGACGCGCGATACAAGAGCACCTTGCAAGGTCCAATCTCAATCTTGCGTGGCCTCAGATTGATAGTCTTGATCGTCCCATACTTCGGTTCGAGGCATTCATCGAAGATGCTGGTGCCGTTAGTACGGTTGCGTCCCGATCTGAAAAGATCGCTTCGGTACGTGTGTTTTCTTCCTTCCAAGTCGAGTATGAACTCCTGTATAACTCGAGCGCATTGACTCCTGCAGTGTGACAAGCATGCATCTCTCGGAGCTACATGTGCTCTACGAAGCACTGCGGGTACGGCCAGGATGCTAGCTTACTTCACACTGCGGCTACACGCGCTGCCGCAACGCTCGATCTGTATGAGAAACTAAGCTGACATGAGTCCAGCGAACCCTGGACCTGACTGGTATGAAGACTCCTCAACCGTCACGTAGTCCCACAGTAACCCGCAATGTTGCTACTCCCCACGCTGAGGCTCTGCATGATCGGGACGATCAGGAATCAGCTGATGATGACGATGATGATTTGCAGGACGATGCAGCAGCGCAGACTGCTTCGAGGAAGGGCACAGGCGGTCTTCGCGTGGCCAACAGCCAATTGATTCGAGAGGACCTTAGCGAGAATCAGCGGCAGATGCAAGTCGACTCGCGCACTTTCCCGAAGCGGAGGAAGGTAGCCTCAGAGAAGTTTGTTTTCCAGCCTTCTACTTTAGATAAGTTGATCATCGGCATCTGGGAGCAGGTATGAAGAACTCTCATATTGCACTGCAGATGAAGCGCGAGACTGACTATCTCCCCTGTGTCAGGTGCATGGATCAATAAACTTGGACCCTCAGGCAATATTTGAGCAGTTCCAGGTAGCACCAAACAGCGTTTCGAGCGTAGTGCGTCATGCGCCAATGGATGCCGCACCTGTCGCTCTCAGCGTCACGACTGAGCCTAGCGGCGGATCTTTCAGTCAAATGAATGTATTCTGCCGCAAAGTGACACAAGCCAGTCGCGTATGTCGTTCCATCGAAATCATCGTACAAGCTCGATGGACAGAGCTGTTCGAGGAGCAAGTCCAGGCGAGAACTGCCGCTCATCCAGAACTATCCTCGACGAAGCACAGAAAAGGAGTCTTCATGGAAGCTTGCCAAGACTTTGGTTGGTCAGAAAAAGAGCTCCGCAATAAAATGGCGATCTGGCGAGGATACAAAGACGTCAAAGATGCAGCAGGCTGGGCGGCACTAGTGTTTGCCGGCATGGGCATTTACCGGTTCTGCAAATATCGCGTGGGTTTTGACAAAGAAGCTATGCGTCGCCTGAAGAACTTGCGTAACCGACTGGAGGTAGCAGCAGACACACTGCATCCCCACTGGCGGCAACTATTGGCGATCGTTGGCGAGCCGCAAGCGCTAAAGTACCCGGGACACCCTCACGAGTGGGTAGTCTACGAGGATGGGTCGGACCCTGTACCACTTCGACAGACCTACATCGAGCATGATCCGTTCTTCTCGTTTGAGCACATCGAGGAATCGGTCGTTGATGGATCTGTGTGGGGCTGCGAAGACCCTCGCTGGATGCCACAAGAGAGCGCCATCACAAGAGCTAGCGGAACCTACATGTGCGCCCTTTGCAACGAGCAGCAGTCCGATGAGCCGAAGTTGAATGCCTGTTTCTGTTTCCCGTCGCTGTTTGGCTGCGTCAAACGTAAACCACCACCAGTTCAAATCTACCGTACGGCAGAGGGTAAGAACAACGGTCTGATAGCCCTGACAGCCTTTGAGAGAGGAACAGCAGTGGGGGAGCTGGTGGGTCTGATAACCAATGGAGTTCGACATCTCGACGTTATGGAGGGCTCAACGCCGCTGGCCAAGTATCAGATCTGGCAGGGCCGCGAGGGCAACTATACCCGCTTTGCTAACCACAGCTGCAAAGCAAATGCACAAACCTCGAACTTCACATGGCTGGACACACAGCGTGTGATTCTGGTCAGTAAAGGTATCGAAGCTGGATCCGAAATAACAGTGGATTATGGCGACAAATACTGGGCCGGCTTGGACAAGTCGTGCTTGTGTGGCGAAACGTGCTGCAGATACAAGCGCGATGGAAGGAGATGATGTTTTGTTGTTTACTATATCATAGCCAAAAAGTAGACATAATGCATATATTAATACACGAAGATATACAGGCGGAGCATAGAAAGAGAACGTGCCAGTGAATATATTCGGCCCGTGCTTATCGATAAGCGCATCCATGTCCAAAATTTCCTAGCCGCTACTTGGACACTCGTAAGAACATCACCGCTGCAACAAACATGGCCAACGACTACCCCAGCTCAGATGAGGAGATTATGGAGGCACAGACGGGATCAAGGAAGAGAAGGAAGACGTCGAGTGATTCAGAGTCCGACACAGCACCCCGAGCACCTACAGCAACCTCAATTTCTCGCGTCAAACCAGCCAAGGACCGGGCAGGACATCAGGCTGCCTCGAGAGTAGCAGTATCGAAAGCTAGTGTTCCCGAAGAAAATGGCAAGGAGAAAGTCAGTTTTGCTTCCATTGATGTTGCGCCGTGGCTTGTGGCATCGCTCGCCTCCATGGAGATCAAGCGACCCACCGGCATTCAGAAGGCGTGTATACCTGAAATCCTCAAGGGACGCGACTGTATAGGTGGTTCGAGAACGGGTACGGGTAAAACTGTCGCATTCTCGGTTCCCATTCTTCAAAAGTGGGCAGAGGATCCGAGCGGAATCTTTGGCTTGATCATCACGTGAGTATATCCGTCGCCTGAGTTTTGACAGTTTCGAACTACAATCAATATGCCCAGGTATATTTAGAAATTGTCTGAAGCTGTCAATTAAACACGTTTCTCTGCAAGTGCTAATACGACCACAGTCCCACTCGCGAGCTGGCCATACAAATCTATGAACAGGTCAAAGCCATATCAGCTCCACAATCCATGAAGCCCATCCTCGTGACCGGTGGCTCCGATCAACGCGAACAGGCCATCGCTCTAGCATCTCGTCCGCACGTTGTGATCGCTACCCCAGGTCGTCTCGCAGAGCACATCAAGACCTCTGGCGAAGACACCATCTGCGGCCTCCGGCGCGTCCGCTTCGTCGTCTTCGACGAAGCCGACCGGCTCCTCGCCCCCGGGCGCGGCTCCATGATCCCAGACATCGAAACCTGCCTCTCCGTACTCCCGCCCAAGGAACAACGCCAAACGCTCTTATTCACCGCGACCGTCACCCCCGAAGTCCTGGCGCTGAAATCGCAACCACGAGCACCTGGTCGTCTCCCCATCTTCGTATGCGAAGTCGACACCGAAACGCTCGCTACCCCCGCATCGCTCAGCCAACTCTACCTGCAAACTCCCGTCACGCACAAGGAATGCTACCTGCATGTGCTCCTCCTCACGCCGCTCAATCTGACCAAATCGGTGATTATCTTCTGCAATCGCACAAAGACGGCTACGCTGTTGGAGTACATGCTGCGTATGCTGGATCACCGCGTCACGGCCCTGCATTCCGGCCTCAAACAGCAAGACCGCATATCCAACCTCGCTCGTTTCCGTGCTCAAGCTGCGCGTATCCTTGTCGCGACGGACGTCGCGGCCCGTGGTCTCGACATTCCTGAAGTTGGGCTCGTCGTTAACTTCGACGTCCCGCGCGATCCGGACGATTACATCCACCGGGTGGGACGTACGGCGCGTGCTGGTCGGCCTGGTAACTCGGTGACGTTCATTGGCCAGCGTGACGTGGAGTTGGTGTTAGCGATTGAAGAGAGGGTGGGTGGCAAGATGAGCGAGTTTGAAGAGGAGGGGGTGAGTGTAGAGGGCAGGGTTGTTCGGGACGCGCTGAAGATTGTAACGGAGAAGAAGCGCGAGGCGTTGTTGAATATTGAGGAGGGGAGGGATGTTAAGGGAAATAGGATGGTGGGGATGAAGAAGAGGAGGGTTGTGGAATGAGCATAACATGTCTCGCAAAGGAAAAAAAAAAGTACACTAGTTATTGACGACTACTGAGTGTTAAAGCTAGCGGCAGCTCATCTCATAGCCTGGAAGTGAAGTATGCACCCCTCCCCCGCCGCCCTCCCCCTCCTTGGATCATTTTTTCTTACCCTCCATCTCTATCGCGTCCAATGCATACCCCCCTCGCCTTTGCTGTTTCCTTCTGTCTCCACTGCTCAATATACCCCTCAACCTCACTCCTCCCATTCTCCTTCCCCTCAACCGGCTCCCCCCAAGTCCCCCAATACGGCACAACGCCCGTCCACACATTGCCCCTCAACTCCCCACTATCCAAATCCTTGCGATCCTCACTCGGCCCGCCCACCCTAACCTTCGCACTCCCCGCCTCCACCCGCACCCTCAAAATCCCCGTGCTCTTCAACTCCACATCCGTCGGCGGCACGCGACTCTTCTCCCAGCGGCCCGGCAGCATATTATCGGTAATGAGTTTCATGGCGTACAGCGCCTCGGCGGGGTCCGTGACGAGCGCGGCGCGCCCGTAGACCAGCGCGGAGCGGTAGTTGCAGGAGTTGTGGAAGGGGGTGAGGGAGAGGACGAGGCCGTCGAGAAAAGTGGCGGAGATGGTGATGGGGAGGCCTGGGGTGGAGGAGGTGGTGGAGTTGGTGTCTTGGCGGAATAAGCGCGCGGACACGTAGCCGTGGATGTATATGTCTTGCGCGGTTATGAGAGGGTCGGCGGTTTGGTCCTAGATCCCTATCAGCCCAGATGCCTCCCTTTCCTCTCCCTTCCTCCTCCTTCATGCTACGTTACCTCGAAGTTTCCGGTACAGCCTAGCATTGGCAGGACGACGGGGAAGTCTTGCTCCGGGTCGTTGAATGAGACGTGTAAGACGGGGCAGGAGTTGACCAGGCCGTGAATCGTTGGGAAGTCGTATTTTCCTAGTAATCTCATCTTGTCAACTATTGTCTTCAACAACTCAGGCAGGTATGTTGACTGACCGCGGGCTGGTAAACGGCCGAGTTTGTTAAGGGGAGTTTTGGGATATTCTGGAGCTGCCATGATTCCTACTTTTCTTTCCTGCACTCTTCTTTCCTTCTTTCTCGCTTCTATCAACGACGACAAGAATAGTGAGTAACAAAGAGATCGGTCCGATGTCCCTCTCACTTTCCACTTTCTCGACTTATATATACCTCTCTCTTCTCTCACATCAATTACTTGTGACTCCCAGACGCGCCCTGTAGTCATCTCCAGTGCCCGCCGTTGGTGACGCTTGCTGCATGCGGAAGCGGGGCAGATAATCCAGTCCATCTCATTGGCGCAAGTTCCAGCCTTACTACCTGACGCCAGGCGTGTATAGCGTGTAGACATGTCTCGAAGGATTGTGTGTACTGAAGCGGTGGTTAGTGCAGGATAGACAAGGGGAGGAGGGGATATCGCAGGAAAATGCGAAATACGACATTTCAACGCCCCATGAGACGAAATGAGCGTTGCAAATCATCTATGATATGTAAAATAGTCTTGCATGGTTGATATTCCAGACTCTACTCATCTACACATTCTCTCTCGTCTCTCTAATCCCGTATAAACCTCACTTCCAAATCAAAAACCAACAAAGCCTCAATGGGCGGTCCCAAGCACCAAAAAAAACGCCAATATATGCAACTATTCCCTCCTCTTTCCCATCCCTATCTAAACTCCCAAGCCCCTACCGCCCCTCCCCTCCGACTCTCCAACTCCAGACACTGATACGGACTACTCTGCGGATCAAAATACAATCCCTGGAGCGCGCCATCGCTCCTCCTCAAACAGACATAGTAGAATCCACTAATCGTCAGGCCACACCCGCTATCATCAAACGTCGCGTGTTCAGTGTCGGTCGAGATTTCCACATTGAGCGCGTTTGTGTTGGGGTCGCGGACGAGTCTATATGGCGAGTCGGAGGCGTTGTGCGTGTGTGTGGTAGAGGACGGGGGCGGGGCGGATGTATTGAGTGATTTGACGAAGCAGCGCTCTTTCCAGCGCATGAGGATGTATTCCTTGTTGAGGACCGAGTCGTACCATTTCCTGCTCGTCAGGGCTTTCACAACGTCATCCTCTTTCATGTCGCAGAACGGCGGCAGTTTGCGCCAGTACATGGCGTCGTTGGCGACGTTGCTCTTGAAGCTCTCCGTCAGCAGGGTGTGTTGGTTGAAGTCGAGGATTTCGCCCTCGAGGTAGGTTGTTATCGAGGATGTGCGCGTGTATTGCTGGGAGACGAGGGACTGGTGCGGGTGCGGGTGCGAAGGTACGTTATACGCTTCCATGGTGGCGCTGAGTGTCATCTTGGCCCAGTCGACGGCGTGAATGGTGACCTTGACGGGCCAGCGGTCTTGCTGGGCAGGCGCGGGGGCGGGGACGGGTTCGGGGGAGAGCTGCGAGGTTCGACTTCGGGGTGTGGAGTAGCTGTTTGCGAGCCAGGGCCGCGTGGGCGGAGGCAGGGTCGAGAGGGCGGCCCCACTGGATGCGTCGTAGAAGCGCCATTGAGTTGAATCTGACGTAGTCCCCGGCGCGGTCGCGTTCACTGTGGCTGCTACGCTCGTAGCGTGCTGGCACCCTGAGAGCACTGCGCCCGGTGCCAGCCACGACGTCTCAGCTGGCGGCGGTATTGCAGCCGTGTCTGTCAGGAAGTCGGCATACTGCATGCAGAAGTAGTCCTTGCTCAGGAACCCCGCAGCCAGCGCATGGTTCAGGCTGTCGTCTATCGTCTCCGCATGGCGTATCCGCGAGAGGTACTTGACCGTCTGTTCGAGCAGCGGGGAGGCGGCGGGCGGCGAGTTGGATGTGCGGTGGTCGAGGTAGCTGCGCCGGTACGAGTCGGCTCGCGAAAGCATGTCTCTTCGCTCGCGGTCCAGCGACCTGTTCTCGCTGGCGGCCAGGCGCTGCAGGGCCATCTGGCGGGCGCTCTCCGACATGAAGCGCGCCTGCGACTCGCTGTGCTGGCTTTGGCTCGGGCGGCTGCTGGCGTCTCTGTCGCGGTCCGCGTTGTAGCGCGACAGGTACTCTCTGCGCGCCGAGAAGCGCGGGTGGCGGCGCACACTCTGCAGTATCGCGGTCGACCGCAGCGATTCCCCGCCCGCGCGCTCTGAGCTCAGCCGCGTGGATATGGAGCGCACGCGCTCGCGCTCCGACTCGAGCTGCGAGCGCCCCAGCACGCGCAAGATGTCCGGGTGCGTGTTGGGCTGGTCGCGGCGCAGCTCGTCGAGGATGTGGTCCAGCTCGTCGTCGTCGGCGTCGGTGGCGGGCGACCAGTCATACAGGCTGTTGGCGCTGGGCACGCGGTCTCCATACTGCGAGGCGGCGTTGGAGTCCTCCAGGCGGCTGAGGCGGCTCATAACTCGTCGCAGGCGGTCGCCGTGGTCCGGGTCGTCTCGCTGGCGCTCCAGCAGGCGCAGGTGCTCTCGTGACCGGTCCAGGCGGTCCTGCACCTGTCGCTCGCGCCGCCAGTATTCGGCGCGCAGGTGGTCGTAGTCGGGCTCGGCAGCGGTTTCGCCGTCGTCGCTGTGGGTGCCGAGCGTGGCGGCGAGGTCGAGGATGTCCGAGTGTGGGCTTTCGAGTTGGCGCAGGGCCGACGAGAGGAACGGCTCGGGGTCCTATACGTGCAGGGAAGCCGTGTCAGTCGCTGGCCGCAGCATCATGCACTGCACACGGCACTGCACCTCCAACGGAGTCGACTCACAGAAGAACTGTCGGGCATGGTAGCGCGAGTGATCAGACCAGGCTATGACGATGCATGCGCATCGCGGAAGACAAGCGGCGGCGGGGTGCAGCTCTGTCTATGCAGGTGCGCGGGCAGGCGGGCGCAATGAAGACGAGAAGGTCAAGACGAAGAGACTATGCCCAAGAATCGATGGAACAGACGTTCGCATGCACGGCTGCGGCGTGAGACGTGACAATCAGATGTTTCGTCCCAGGTCAAAGGCGGCGTCTCCAGGACAAGCTTCGGCGAAACATGTGCCTGGCACAAAGGCGTGCGTGCTATGCTGCACCGCCCGCCGCACCGTCTACCACCTACCATCTACCGGCTATCGTCACCGTCCCGCGGCGCCGTCTACTAATAATCACACCATGGATACACGGAGTCTCTGCTGAACCGACTGCAAGATAGACTCCATGTGCGCCATGTGCTGTGATGTGCGTGCGTGCGTGCGTGCCTTCCTTCCCCAGAAATCGCTTCGACTCATGCAGTACCGACGCCATGGGCTCTGATCTGCCGAGCCGCTCGACTGGACAAGTTGCTTTCAAGGTCCACCGACCATCACTTGGCTCATCGCCTCATCTCACGTGTCAAACTCGACCTCTTCTTTGCTTGTAAAAATTGTGTTTTTTTGAATTAACTTTAAAGTACTTGGGTGAAGCATGCTTCGTGCCAGCATCCATTCACGTCCTCGGATCTACCAGAGGAGTGCTTCTTCAAAGACTAGCTCGAAGTGTAGCAGATGAACCTACAGTCTCTGGCGCTCAGCATCGCATGTCAGGGGAAAAGAGGTAGAGCGGTGAGGTGCGCAGGCGTGTTTGCTCCGCAAGCAGAGGACCACTTCCTGTGAGGGGGCACGGCTGGCGTGCCCTTGTCTCGACCTTCGTCCCACTCTCTCCCTTGACCCGCTCCGCCTTGTGCACAGAGACAGCTATTACAGCGACATACCAGATGCCCGTGTATAACTTTTGTCGTCGCCGCTCAGCATGTCCTGCTGACACTCAATGCCAGTCTGAGTGCGGCCGTTGAAACGTGATTCGTATCTCATGATGAGTTTGGCATGCCAGGTGCTCAGCAAAGAGATAGCAACCCACTCCCAACGTAAACGACATTAAAAACAAAAAACCAACCGAGTGTACCCGCCACGTAGCCGTGAGGCTGTTATTCCGTCTTTCTTGTTCTGACCGCAGGGAAATGCCCGACATGCAGTGCCTCCCAGAGATGCTATAACCCAAGAGAAAAGAAAGACCCGGTCTGGCCGATGGTATGATGATGACAAAGGGAATAAAACGCTTCGCTGGAAAATGACAAAAAATGAGCCAGGTATCAAAGGAAAATGTACGAGAGAAGAGGAGAGGAAAAAAACACGCTCGCTAAAATCGATGATAACTCCATCCCATGCGTGGTTGGTGTCATGATGTCACGGTGTGAACATCATGTCGTGCATATCGCATTCGTCTCGTGTCGGCGTAGCATGAGGTTGGTGCGCAAGCAACCCAAAGGAAGAGCAAGGGGACTGGCCAGGTCCACGCTTCCCAGCTTCGACATGGTGAGAGAGACAGCAGGTATCACAGTATCACTTCTGCGCTTATACAAACGCTGCGTACTGTGGTGCGAATCCCGTGTCCCATCCGAATCCGCCGAACCCTCCGTGCACCGCGCTTGACCCGCATTGCTGGGCCAGCACACTCGGCAGAGGAAGGGCAGGGATCGGTGCCGACGCCGGTGGCGGGCTGTAGTACGAACTTGACGTGTATGGACTCGTGCAGTTGTATGGCTGGCTGAAGGATGGCGTGGGCGACGGCAGCTGGATAGCCTCGAAGCCCATGGTTCCCATGGTGCTCCAGAAGGATGGCTGGGTCTCACCGCAAGTTCCAATGGTCGGGCTGGGAGTCGATGGAACAACTCTCCATGAGTCCATCGGGGCAGCGTGTGACACGGGGATGTGCTGTGTTGGCGCCCACCAGTTTGCAGATCCGGGCGAGCTTGGGAGAAGCGGTGCTGGTCGGACAACGTCGACGATCCTTGGCGGTGGGGGCAGAAGGGGAAGGAACAATCCCATAATGGCGCTCTTGACGTCCTCTCCTCGTCCCCTCGAAGTAGTTCTCCTGCGCCATCCTCTTCAAGTCCTTCGAGTGACCCGTACACCAGTGCGGAACACGTAACGGGTTGAACCGCCTGTACGAACTTGTCCTGAAGCTTCTTGAGCTGCTGCTCCTTCTCGGCCCACTCCCATGTGCTGGCAGACACGTCGACCGAGTAGATGTCCTTGTGGTACTCGATAAGCGCTTCGATGGTCTCTGGTGTAAGCTTGAATGCAACCTCATGTTGTGACACCATGTCGACGTGTACGACGTAGGCCTCGATGTGGATTAGCTGGTAGTTGAACAGCGCTTCGACCAGTGGGTTGGAATCCTTGCGTAGTTCCGAATCCGGGGCCTTCGGAACCATGATGGAGCACAATGACCACATGGCGTTGGGACCCGAGAGTGTTTCTGTCAAGCACCGCGAATGTTGCTGTACGCTGTTGAGTGGTCGCTTGACTCGGTTGACTCTCTTCAGGGTCTGGGTTAACCATGGCTCAACCTTGGAGTTGAGGACCACGTTGACGGTAGATCGGGGCGCAAAGGCCGCAGCCGATGCGGGTAGTAATTGGATCGGCATTGTGATTGGTCGGTGTGTGCGCGAGACGGTGCGATATTATGTGGGACGGGGTATCAACGAAAGAGAAGAACAAAAGAGAGGGTAAAGAGGAGTCTCAGGCGGATATAATTTTTTTGCGAGCTCGCCTTAGGAGGGAAGAGACAAGAAAGGGACGGGCGAATGAGGAGGAGGGGAGGGCGAGGTGGGAGGTGGAGGGTGAAGAGGCTAGTGGTGGAAGGTGGGATCTCTTAAGAGCTTACGAGGGACGATCGTG